ACTTACTTGTGTTTTAATTTAAGGTTATGGCCTTCCCTATGCTTTGCAGAGCTCAATTAGACCTCCATATAATCCGACCCAGTTATTGAATATTTTAAATCAACAGGCAGTAATGACTTCTCAGTCCCCCTGCTTCCTTATTCCTGCAAGAAATAACTGACTACATGAATAATAAACTCTATTAAAGTCATTTTCTCCATAGAAGTGTCAAAATACATATTTTTTTAAGTTAGGCGTGACTCGTAAGAAAACAGAATGAACACTTGACGAATGCTGATTTAACTCATCAAGAAGAGAACCACCAGGAAGGCAAAAGAGCATCTGGGAGCTGCGTGTTGATGGTCAGTGAAGAAAAAACAGGGAATGAAGTTACCAGGTTAGAAGCGAAACTGGCCAAAGTCCTCCAGGGCGATAAAACCATAATCCTCAGGGTTGCTGTTTCTACCAGACAAAAGTCATGTGCTTCTCATCTGGGCAAAACTCTACCAGCTACCTGTGGTTCCCAGACGCTGGGCCCTAATCGAGAGTAAACAGGAAAATCAGAGAAAGCGGCGGCCCAGAGGATGAGGTCCCTGAGCCCCGGGTGGCTCTGCTAGGCTGCGCTCTCATGATACTGGAAAAAAGCACACTCCTCCCTTTGCCTTATTTATAAATGCTAGATACCTTTCATAACGTAAGGTGCAAATTTACATAATGGCAGTTATGGCTTTCAATTTTCCAAATGCAATTTGCTCTTAATATTAATCTACTTTTCAACCATCTTTCCTGTCGGCTTTCAACCCTGAAGGACAATTACCAATAAGCAATTCCGGAATTGCAATTCTGTTCCATTATAAAAATGAAATGTGATATTATTTTGATATTTATCTTGGTGGACACTATAACATTTTATGGACAATTTAAACTTTGTAGTAGGACCAAAAAGAAAAAAATGTGTATCTGTTTTGAATGGATGCTAGCAAAAAAAAAATCAGTTGATACTAACTGCAGTTTCTAATCTGTATTTGGACTTGGGACATAACTTTGGGCACATTACTGAATTTCTCAGCCGTGGCTTCCTCCTCTGTGAAAAACAAGACCTTCCTCGCTGCTGCTGCACTCGTAACTAGATGCCGACAGATTGAAAACTGGGATTATACTTCCGTGCTGTTATTTCACTCTGTTCTGTGCATTTTCACAGGTCACCATTTCTTTCAGGACTTCCTTGCAGGTTTCTTTTTTAATCATTTGTCTTTTGCTACATTGATGTGTACTTTATCCTCTTCTGATTTTAAAAAGAATAAGCTATATTTTTAAAAATCTTACCAATTGCTTTCTTTTTCCAAAAAAATATTAAATCGTAGGTTTCATCCTTCTTTCCTTTTTTGTAACAAATAAAATGGTCTTTTGATGACCCCTAACATGAGATGTGGTATTTAACAAGTCTGCTCTCTCTCTGACTTAATGCCACTTTAAACTGGAGTCTGTGTCCCATTATTTACCATCACATTTTTTAGAAATATAGAAAACACCAAAACATAACTTTATCTAGAAACTATTAAAAACTACATGCTTAGCTCACACAGCCAACTGCTCGATTAGTTCTTCACATGTGTTGGTCACTAATTCGTTTTGTAAATGACAACCTGTTCATTCAAACACACTTAATAAAGGCAAAACAAGAAGAACTATCACAGCATTATAGCTTCAGAAAGAGGTGGGTGCTCCCGTGCACTGAACCCCAGTGTCTAGCCAGAGCACATCACGTGAGCCCACCTGGAGCCATGTGCTTATTGAGATGAAACCAAAGGAGGCAGCCTGTCTTGGGACCCTTCCAGCTGTGTGTGTGTGTGTGTGTGTGTGTGTGTGTGTGTGTGTAGGTGTTCTGAGGTGCTCTCACATTCAGCCTTTAACTTGCCAAAAATAACTTCATTAAATACACTTTGCATGCAAGACTACGAGCCCAAAACTTGGATATTGTTTTAAAAATGGTGCAGAAACTGCATTATTTAAAACCATTGTGTTATACACTTTACATGGGTGAAGTGCATGTATGTGAATTATACCTCAGTAACACTTTTTTAATGGTAATAAAAGAAGAAAAAGATGAGTAAACATTCATGCCATTATAGTTTATGTGACTGTTGTATTATAATTTCAAATAGTTATTACTTATATATAACTCTTTTCATTGCCCAATGGATCTATTTTTATGTCTGTATAAAAGTATTTGGGTACCTTGGGCTAAATGAAATTCATCATTTTTCAATTAAAAAGTATTGGAAATATTTTTTCACTTAATGGCTTTTCGCTTAGCGTATTTTCAGGGACAAATTAAACTATTAAGCAAGAGATGGGCTTAATTATTTAAAACTTGGAGTTAAATTTGATGTTGAGATACATTTAATTATTTGAAACTTAAGAGTTAAATCTGAGGTTGGGATGAGTCTCAGTGGAAGCGCTGAATCGATTCGCCCCGGGTGGCAGAGTTGAAACATATTCTGCCCACTGAGGAGGACCAGACCTGCGAACCGGCCGGGGGCCCAGAACACTCATAGTGCGGGGAGGGTATAGAGGCCACTGAACGACGGAAAAACCAGGAAAGACACAGAAAAGGGCAAGTAGACAATTGACGGAGAGCCGACTTGGAAACGCAGTTTGCTGTCTCAGCAGCTGGACAATAGTTTACTATCCCATAGTCAATCAGTTGGCTTTCTTCAGCTCCAGATTTCAGAGGCAAAAAACAGCTGCGTGCTGAAGAGTTAAGAGAAAGACTCTAAGCTCAAAAGCAACTTAAATCCATTCGGTCTCTCACGTCATGAAAGACAAACCTCATCACAAACCAGAATTTTCTGCCTTGTGTTTGCTGAGAGAAAAACGGGAAAACAATACACGTTGGCTACTTTTCTAGTAGAAAAGGGAAATATGGACAATCTAACACTAGCAAACACAGAAGAACGTCTTTAAGGCATGTATCTTAGTCGATCAGAAATTTAGAATCTGAATGTGTAATGCCTAAAATTTTGAAGAAGATAAATGATGAAAATACATTATTCCTTGGTTATTTCCAGTAACTTGAGGGGGAAAAAAAACAAATAAGTATCTGGGTTCTAATCAGGAAGTGCTGACTGTGAACTTCATTGAATTTTTTTTCTGAGAAAGGATGGAGAAACACTGAATAATAAATCCAACAAACCAAATGAAAGTTCTTAACAAGGTTTTTTTTTTCATATTATACCTGATCTCAGCCAAGAGCAAAGAAAAGAGACAATGAGCCAAGAGAAAATAAAGTTACTGAAGCATTATTTAGGTATTTGATCTTCTGGGTAGGAATGGCTTGAAGCTCTCCCAAGGTCTAGGGACCTTGCTTTTTAAATAAAAGTTATCTTAAGAGGGATTTTGGTACATTTAAATGCAATTTTATACATTCTTTTAAAGACATTTCCAACTAATGGAAAGTCATTTTGGAAAATGTGAATAATTCCAGAAATATGGAGACTTTTCGTTTCCTTTCAACCTTCATTTCCCTTTAATGTTCACTCACCTGCAGCCCAAATTCCCCACGTATTTTGCCAGATAGTATTTATTAACTACTAACGGGGTGACTGCTTCTGCTTCATGAGATCACCTAAACTCAGAAAACGAAAATAAAAAACTAAACTGTTCAGGCTGATGGCTGATGGCGAGCACATCTGAGAAGCCCCAGAAGCTACTCAGCGCCTTTCTCCCAACTAGGTCATTTCCTCACCAGAATGGTGTTTCCACAGGAGTAATAAACGGTTTGGGAGATCCCAAGGTGCAGGATCTATATCCCTGAAAGCCAAACCACGACAATAAAAACAAAACAAAAAGTGTAGATGAGACGCTGGCTTTGGCTTGTTCTCCCTCCAACTTCTTCCCAGTTCTAAACGCTTCATTGTAACCTAACTGTTTGTGGGCAGCACCCAAGTAACACTGATTTTTTAAACTGTATATTTACTCAGTGCTTTCCATCGGTTCCTCGCCTCTCTATCCACCCCCAACTCCACTCCCAATTCATGATATGAGGAGTCTGAACAGTGCTTGCCTTACAGTAAGTGTTCAGTAAATGCTGATAATGACAATGTCTTATCATTAATAAATGTTGATAATGACAATAATTCTGCAGACAGAAAATAATACTCGATATTTAAATCCTAACTCACCTTACCAGTGATTTATAGAGAAAATCGCTGTCAGTTGAATTCTTTCCAATTGCCCTCAGGTAGGACGTTCGTTCATTGCTGACCCCACATGTTGCATCTCCCTTGCCTAGCTGCGTCCCATAGCTTTGCTCTCAAAGCAAATGCCATGGGGAGACAATGGGCAGGGGTCTGTTCTAGATTAAAAGAACTCAAACAGTCACAGCAAAATGCAACGTAACTCGATTGACTCCAGATCCGGGAATAACAACCAACACAATGCATTTTGGAAACAACTGGGAAAGTTCGAATATGGGCTGGGTAGGGATTATACTGCAGGACTGGTAATTTTATTAGGTATTATAATGGTATTGTGGCTAGAAAGAGGAATGTCTCTATTCTTAGAAGATGCAGGCTAAAATAGTTAGTGGGAAAGCACTGTGGTGCCTGCAACCTATTTTCACATGGTTCCGCAAAATCTTACACATTCAATCACAGAGAAAAAGCAAATGTGACACAATGTTAACAACTGGTGAATCGAAGTGGAGAGTTTGTAGGTGTTCACTATGTTCTACTTCCACTTTTCTACTGATGTAAATTTTTTAAGTAAAAAATTGGAGCCCTGACTGAGGTGACTCAGTTGGGTGGGCGTCATCCTGCAAAGCAAAAGCTGGCCAGTTCGAACGTGATCAGGAAGGGGTGCGAGTTCCGTGCCCGGTCAGGGTGCGTGCAAGGGGTAGCCGATGTTTCTCTCCCTTCTTTTCTCCTTCCCATCCCCTCACTCTCTAAAAATAAATACATACAATCTTTTTAAAAATTGGAAATAAGCAAAAAAAAATTGCTTTACTAAAACACCACACAGTTCTTTAAATATTTTACTGTAATAATACACAATTATACATTATTACTTATTTATACTTTATCAAAAGCACACCTATTTAACATAAGTACTAAATCTAATACTACCTTCAATCAATTATTAACTTCCAGTGCTAAGGTATGAACCTCTTTATCTTAATTGTAAATCAAAATAGCTCAATACCTACTTTAAATTAGAGACAATGAGATGCCATGTATAAGGATCATGGATTAATATTTCAAAGTTAAAGTTCTCAATAATTTCTTCTTTGTTTTTCTTCTTTGTCTAGCATAGTCTGTTTTAAGCTCAAAACAGCATCTTGAAATCCAGGATTTAAGTCTAATACTTTCTTGAAGTCTTCCAAGGCATCATCAAAGTACCCTGCACCGGAATCCAAAAAAAAAAAAAAAAAATGGAAAAGAGAAAAGAAGCTGAGTATTTCCTTACATAATTCATAGCAAAGTTTGGATACACACACTTTGCTTTTATATGTATGAGCTTTCAACCACTCCTACTGAAGGAATTTTTTTCCTCTTAATAATGACATAGGGGTGCCTATATCAAAGTAATTTTGTCTGCCCTTACAGAACAATATATTTCAAATTAGCTCAGGGCTTACTTATTGAGATTTAGCAGGTAAATTGCATAAATCATCATGGCATTTCAACAGAATTACATCACTTATTTTAGATAATTACAGTAAAATTAGGAAACGGGAAATAATTCTTTTTAACACTTTAAACATAAAACAGTACCTACGAGCTAAAGCTCCTTCACTTCACATGGCCTCGTGTGCCCTCAAAGATTTCAACTCAGGAAAGTTTCACGGGCGATCATCAGCGTCACCCTCGTTCTGCGGTTGGGCACGAGCGCGCACAGAGGAATGGGCCACCCTCCCTCGGTGCGCGCCCACGGCCAACTCCCACCCCCCACACTCCGCTACGGTCTGCCTGCCGTTCGAAAGCCTAAACGAGACTCAGGAACAACTCCATTGTTCCCGGCTCTAAACCGAAATGTCACATCACTCTTAAGCCTTTATGAGCACTGCATTAGTTTCACAACATCCGAGAGCTCCAAATCCGGCGGATGTAATAATCAAAGACAAACGGGGGGGGGCGGGGGGGGAAACATTCTTACCCAGCCTGTACCGTATCAACCCTCTGTTGTAATACGGAACTTCGAAACGGGGCTGGACGTCTATGGCAGACGTGTAGTCGTCCATGGCTTCGTCGAAGTCGACCCTGAAGTACTTGATCTGTCCCCGGTTGTTATACGCAGTAGCCAAGTCCTCGGGGCTGCATCCGCTTGGAACAGAAAGTCCACATTCAGCGCACCGCGTGACCAAATTCCTCCCGCGTCCACTTTCGTGCTCTTTGGGATCCTGCCCAACCTCATCGCCTAGAGCATGCGGCATGCCCACTGAGAAACCAAGCTGAAGGAACCAAGGGCAGAGCAATTAAAGCAGCGGGTCAACTTCTGTTTAATCCCGTTGTCTACTTGTGTACGGCATTACGACGTCCATCGGGAAAGCACATTCATTTCCTAGTGTGCTCAGAGCCATCTGGTTTGGCTGAACACAGTATCAGAATCACTGCTTGTTCTCTAAGCGCATGCCAGCCGGGCAAAGACGACGGATCAGACTCAGGCTGAGCAAGGAGGGGGAGCCAGCCCCAAGTTCCAGGCTGCTATGAACAGGTCACAAAGTGAATCGTCAATTTTATTCTCAAAAGTTTAAGTGATCCCACAACAATGAGTTTTGAAACCACTTCCCACCAGTAAAGAAATCAAAGTTAACCCTAAGGGAAAAGTCAACACGCAGATGCCCAGGGAGTGCTTTCTGGGGAGAGCGCCACCATGCTCCCTGCACTTTGGGCTGAGGTCCTGCCAAGGCCAGGCTGGTTTGCTATTGGAAGAGCGAGGCTCCGGTCCCCTTCGGCTCCTGTGTGCAGAATCAGCTCTGCATCTGAGGGCTCCAGGCCGCTCTGACAGCCACCAGCCCAAGAGGTTCTACAGCCTCCTACCCCTCCCCCTCCGCCCAGCCCCTGCTGTACAAATCCTCTCACAGACAACATTCAGGGGCTCCGTTCCAGGCCAGATGATTCTGTTTCTCTTTCTTTCTTTCCAAAGGGATTCTCAAATGTGAACCAAACAGGAGAGATGCAGCCTAAACTCATCTGCCATTCCTTTGCTACACCCCACAGTTCTCAGGAAATATTTCTGACTGCTGTCAGTGCTATTAAATTACCTCCCTTAATCTTCATCCTTGACATGTCAGTTAGGGACTGTAACTACTGCTGCCCTAAGCGGTACTCACAGCCTAGGGGTCTCCTTCAAGTCCAAGTTTGCTAATGATGGAGAGGAACCACTGCAGTTTCAGAAAAATGCCTGTTTCCACGGGCTGTGGTTGAGAGAGACTTCTGGATGCTCCTAGAGCCACTGTGACAGGGGAGGGAACAAGAGGGCTCACTCCCCTCACCCACCTGCTATGACACTAGGCTACCTGCTACCCTGCAAAGGGTTTAGGGGAAAATGCAGGCTCAGGAGTCCAGGAACATTTTAGTCATTAAATTTCTAGGCTTTAAAGCTTTGTTATAAATTTCTTATATTCAGAGGATCTTAGAATGTTTGATTCAGAATTAGACCTCATTACAAGTTCTAAAGGCCTTCTTTTCATGTGGAGGTTGTTTCCTAATTTAAAGACATGGATCCAAGTTTTTTTCTGTCATACTGAGATTTTTGTAATAATAATATTTACGGTAATGTAATTTAACCAGATTACCTAATCTAAATGTGGATTTTTAGCACTTGCTAACTTCAGCAAAGAAAAAACATTTGGAAATTGGGTTCTAGCTAAAGCTGTACTTTTGGATCGTAAAAGAACATGTTATTAAGCCATTCAGAGTGAGGCATTCGAAGTTTGCAAATACTATTTCAAAATGACTCAGTGACCCAAGATTTTTTAAATAAATGTGAACTCTAAAAGGTACATGTAAAGGAAGAAGTCAGAGAATTCCATTCCGATCCGTGGGTTCCCAGAATTTCAGAACTCCAGGGAAACCGAAGGCTCCCGTCCCAGATGAGACACTGAGGCTGAGGGAAGGGACGAGCTGCGCGGCAGAGCCAGCCCTGGAATCCACGCCCACTGAGCTCCCTCCTACTACACCAGGCAGATTCTCTTTCTTAAACTGGGCAGGGGCAGAAACGGCATTTCCTGCCAACACAGCGTGCTCTCAGGCTCCGATGTGCACAGGAAGAGGAGCAGCAAGACTCGATGGCATCCATACACTCGTTGCTGATGGATACTATTGAAACCTACAAAGTGAGTCTATTCTTGGAGCTTGAAACAAGAATAAAAAAACTATGTTTTCTATGTTTACTCATTATTTTGGTGGGGGGAGGTGGTACCATCTTCTTGCCTATTCAGAAATTTCGATTAACTATTATTCTGGTGTATTATTGAAAGAGAGGGCAATTTTCCTGGCTTCCTACATAAGGAGTTAACGAAGAGGCAAATCTTAAGGCACACACAAAGGACAAGCCGGCATCTTCTCAAGAAAACAAAAAAATCCTTGAGGAAAGAAGAGGGTGTTGGGGCAGACAACGCAAACTGTCAAAAACGCTGTTCATTCAACTCCCCAGTTCTCTGTTTTCTTGTCCTGGTCCCCTCCACGTCATCCAGAACAACTACGGCAAAATGTGGACTAATGAATGCTACACATTCATTATAAACAGAATCAGCTTTGGGCGAGCTGGTATTAGTGGGTGAGGTTGCTAACGTCACAAACAGAAAGACTCCAGACACTACCTACTTTCTGGTAGATGTACACACCACCTATAAAGTATTCTTGCCATACCGAAACTGAATTGATCAAACCCCGTGTAACTACCAACTTGCAAGCAATGTAGAGGACAGAGAACTATGTTAAATAACATCAGGGGGGTGGGTCCCGCAAGTCCAACATGTGGCTGGCCAACTCTCAGGACACATGACATGGTTTCCTGAACAAACTAGATGTCAACCAGTGGTCATTGGTGCCAATTCAACGCCAACAGGAATCCCCAATTTGGAATGTGGTGCAGAAGGAAACTTTCTTCAGTGCGAAACAGCACAGTTGTGATACAGCACAGCAATGAGAACAGCACAGCTGAAAGGCAGCCCCAGGGCAAGGATGGTCGGCTCCTGGATGGTCTGCTTTTCCCTGCTCCTGCTCTGCTCTGGAGAGACCTCTTCAGTGCTTCAGTTCAGCCAGGGAAACACAACTGTCCAAGGACGGGGAACGTGCACTCACAGAGCCAGAGAGGAGCAGGCTTATATGGATATAAGTCCCTGCCCCTGGTCCCTGATTGGTCTGTCCTCATGCAAAGGACTCCAAACCCTAGTGGTTTGGCCCAAAAGACACTGACCTCATTGGTCAGAATAGTGCCACGCTGTTGGTCAAAGCTGTGCATCTCCAGTTGATGGGGAAAGCCTCAGTCCTATTGATTGAAAGAGGATTCCAGGAACTGGCTCAGATGGCAGAAACATCATGCAGGCAAGCAGTTCTGTGCAGACCTCTCCCTGAAGTGCAGTCTGCGTGAGAGACCCCTGTGTAAAGATGTCTGCTAGGGTTGTAGGGGAGGGGGGTTGTTTGTTTGTGTCTTTGTTTTTAGTCCACTTATCCACTAGGAGCCCTTCTTAGGAGGTGTCTTCTTCCTCGGGGTTCACGAAGGGGAAAAAAAGGTGAGCCTATAGATTAAGAGACTGGATGTGCATCCTGACTTGAACCACCTAGTTAAAACCAACCAACCAAACAACAAAAGTAACTTTATTGTCCTGGACAGCTAGCTCAGTTGGTTAGCCCATGGTCCTGACAGGCTAGGTTGTGGGTTCAATTTCTGGTCAGGGCACATACAAGAATCAACCAATTGAATGCATAAATAAGTGGAACAACAAATTGATTTTTCTCACTCTCCCCCATCCCCCTCTGTCTCTCTCTGAAGTCAATAAATGGAGAGAAAAAAAAACGTTATTGATCAATCAGTAAAGTTCCAACACTTACTAGATATTTAATATTGACGCATTATGTGATGATATTGTGGTTATGTTTTTTAAGAATCCTTCATACGCGGAAGTACATTTGAAACATCCATACATAAATAATTTGAGGTGCAGGTAAAATGATAATGCTGAAGCTGAATCATGGTTACCTAGAGGTTTATTATACTATGTCCCATATATTTAAAATGTTTTCATAATACATGAAAAACAGAACACCCTTGCTGTGAAAATGTGGTTAGGGTCGCGGTACCGGGCACTATCGCAGCACTGCCCAGCCATGCACTGCCCAGCCATGTTCCCCCCACCCCGCTACACCAGGTCTCGGCTATCCATCCCACTGTTAAACAAGATTGGGTGGAAAAGCCCCACCGGGCCTGAGTCCCCTGATGGAGAGTCAAGTGAGAGCGGAACACAAGGCTGAACGGCAGCCAATGAGCCCGAATCCCGACACCCTCCTGGGTGTCTCCGAGCGAAGCGCAGGGCCTGCCCTCCAGGGCACTCCCCCTCACCGCCTTTCTGAGAAAACCAGCACCTGCCCTTCGGTTTTGCAGCCCTCGAGCTCTGGTTTCGGAGCAAAGGCGCTGCAAGACCCTAGCCCAAAGACCCCGCAAAGGCAGGGCTGCCTGCACTTCTCGCGATAGTTACCTCCCGAGAGACGCTCCAGCAGAAGCTGCACAGGCGCACTGGCGAATGTAAGCGGAGTACAGCGTCTCGGCCTCGGCGTATTCGCCCTTCTGGAAATGAGCCTGGGCGCGTGCTAGGGTTGTGCAGGTTTCTCGCCCTTGCTGCCCGGCCATAGTTGCTGGAGGCGTAGCTTTCAGTGTAGAATGGGAGCTGATTTCAGAGGCAGAACCGCAGTCGCTTCCCCATCGCGGAATCTAACCTCCCGCACTAGCAGAGGGGGCAGTTTGTGCCTTCTGAGGACCCGTCGTCGGGCCAGATCTGAACTGAATTGCTGGCGGGGAGTGCAGGCTGCCCAGAAAGCTTGGGGAGACCCTGGGGAAGTGCAGTTCCGTTGTTTCTGCTCATCCCGTCAGCCTCATTTCCTGGAGAAGTAATGCACCAAACCGGTTTCCAAATCCGTGCGTGCTCTGATGTTGCAAGGAGCTTGCCCTTTGTACTAGGGGAGGGGGGCGTGCCGGGAGAGGAAGAAACCTCGGGTTTGTTTTATGAATGGATAATCGTAGCGCCTATCCAGTTCCTGTGTCCACTCTTAGCCTAACCCCTCTGGTTTTCCTGAGACATTTTGTGTCGGAATGCCATTAACAGTTGTCCCATGGTGCGGAGTTCAAATTCGAACTTTATTAGCTCCAAGACCCTAGATTGCAAACTTCTCAACCTTTTTGAACCTTTGGAATAGTGTAAACATTAATTACATGGTAGTATGTGTCAACAGTCCATGGTCTATGGATGATACTTTACATTCCTTGGCTGTTTATGCCAAAAAGAAACCCAGGCAGTAATTTAAATATAATATGTTTAATTCACTTAAAAAATATGTAAAATGAACAATCCAGAGAAGAATTTTTTAAATTAAATTTCCATTTACAATAAAATCAAAAACAATAAAATACTTAGGAATTAACCAAGGAGATGAAAGACATACAATGAAACATGGCTGAAAGTAAAGACATAAATACAAAAGCAGCCCACGTACATGGAATATAAAACTCAGTATTTTAAAGATGTCAATACTACTTAAAGCACTCCAGGATTCAATGGAGTCCCTCAAAACCCCAATAATGTTTTTACAGAAGCAGAAAAATCCATCCTAAAATTCATACGGAATTTTAAGGGATCCCAAGCAGACAAAACAACCTTGAAAAAGAACAAAGTTGAAGGACTCATGCCTCCTGATTTCAAAACTCACTACAAACCACCAGTAATCACAACAATACAGCACTGGCATAAAGGCAGTTTTCTCAGTAAACAGTTCTGGGAAAGCTGGCCCTCTGCATGTAAAAGAATGAAGCTGGACCCTAACCTAACACCATATTTAAAAATTTACTCTAAATGGATTAAAGACCTAAATATATGAGCTGAAAATACAAAATGCTTAGAATAGCACAAGGCAAAAAAGCCTCGGGACACTATTGGACAGTGGTCTCTTGGATATGACACCCAAGTGATCACACGCAGAAGTGATCACACTGACGGCCCGGCCCAAGACAAAGAATGAAAGAGTCCCACTGATTGGACTTTTGAAATGGCTCCTTATTGTCCTGAGGACAGAAGGAAATCCCTCTTTTCTCATGCCTGGTCTGATTGTGATGGGAGCCAGACCTTGTGACCAGTTTGGTCATTAGGTGCCCCAAGGCATGGCCAGCTGCCCAATGGTTTTACCAATAGCCACAGGGTCAATTTCAATGGTGACGCTGTCTCTTCTTCTTCAATGGCCACTTGGTCACATTGTTCAAGGAGATGGACAATGTGTTCCTAGAATGTCTTGGGCAGAACGGGCCATGTGATTTTGGGAATAAAACTGGGTCAGGCTTTATGCTTCAGTCCACATAAGACAATACACAAAAAATACACAAACTGGACTTCATAGTCCAGAAAAAATGTATTTCATACAGAAAAAATACACAAACTGGACTTCATAGAAATTAACAACTTTTGTGCAACAAAAAGACCATGGCCAGAATAAAAAGGCAACCCAGAGCATGAGAGTAAATATATTCAAGTCACACATCTGATAAGAGCGGGAAATGCAGATGGAGGGTCCGTGGGGCAGGCTAGGCTGGTATGTCTCTCTGCTCACAGAACATGCATGGTGTCCCCATCGCACTTGAAAAGCTCTGGTGTGTGTGACATTGGAGGTCCGCGTCTGGGACTGAAGCGCCGGGGCCAGGCTCAGCAGCTGTCCCTGTCCCACTCACATGCCCCTCTTCCACTGAGAGCGCCTGCACTCGGGGCTCCGCCTGCAGAACGGCATCATCGAGCCTTCGCTCCGCCAGCTCACCCAGGAAGAAACAGCTGAAACACCACGATGTGCTGAAAGCGTTACGCCCGCCTGCAACCTCATGCGCTCAGCTGCCACAGGAGGAAGTGTGGCCACACCAACACCTGAGAGCCCAAGAAAAAAGTCAAATAAGGCCCCTCCTTCCCCAACAGGGCAGCCTCCTACCTGAGCCCCAGGCACCTGGGGCCTCAATAACACTTCCATTTGGTTAACTGGAGCAGTGAAAAATAAAGTAAAATAAAAATAATTTTTAAAGCTACACATACATATACATGCACATACATACACATATACAGTTACATATGTATATTTCCAGTATACAGCACTTCTAAATCTCAACATTTCTGAAGTTGGTGTCCTATTTTGCATTTTCACCAGCAACTGTACGTACGAGGGCTTCGATTGCTCCATATCCTCACCAACATTTGTCAGTTTTAACCAATATAGTGGGTATTCATTTCTTTAAAAAAATGAATTGACAAAATAAGCATTCACAAGGGGACAGCCATAATATTGCTATTTGCCTTTTAGAAACTCAGTGGCAATATCTTGGAGCTATATCATTGAATTAAATACTCTTGATTTTCTCCTAAAAGTTGAGCAATGTAGTTTTCCCCCCATTTCTAAATGAGAACTCTGTGTGACCTCTAAGGAGTAATTCACTCTACCCGAGGTCCTCTGGCACGTGCCCAGTACCTTATAGATGGTGGTGGTTGTTTTTCCCATTTGGTAGCAAAAGTGATATTATACATTCACTGTACCGCCTGACCCTTCCTCTCCTTACCCACTCTACGGTCCAACACCCTCCTACCCAACCCCCACCAAAACATTTAAATCAACAAAACAAATACCGTGTTATCTGTAAGTTTTAATAAAGGAAACAAGATAAATACAAGTCTTTTTCTTACTTCACCACCTATCGTTTTCATATTATTTCACTTAATGCCACGTTAAACCTAAGGTCTCATCCCCTGAAGTATAAACATGTAGTTTCCGAGTGTACTTTAGAGAAACCGTGCACGATAAGGTCAGCCTCTGGGCACGACGACAGCGGGCGGGCCAACGGCGCTCTGCGGCTGGTTGGGCACAGCGCTCGCTCAGGCAGCGCTCCCAGCAGGGTCTGCCATCTCGGTACTCTGGCCCGCCACGCTTCTGAAACGTAGCATGATTCAGACCAAGGTCTATGATAAAGAACAACTCAGCATTACTTAAAGGGAATCAGTTCCTGTTGATTTCAAGAAGAGAACTGTTTCATACGCCACCTTCAGGACACTGCTTCTTTCCAACGTCTCTCCAAGTATTTGCTTCCCTTTGCTGTTTCACTACGGGAGAGTCTGCTGGTGTTGTTCTCAAATTTCCTTCACATACAAAACCAGCTGGGTCAATTCATACCGTGGGTCTTTGGCCTTTCTCTAGTACCATTTTCAAGACAGACAAGGTCCCCAAGACATGACAGATCACTGAAACTTTCACAGACACAAATCCCAGACAACAACCACAACCTTTCACAACAGCAGAAAAGGCATGCCCGACGTGTGCGATAATTAAGTCTACAATGCACACGAGGTTATTTCAGAGATTTTGGTTTCCACGTTACACTGAACAAGAAGCAGGGACAGCAACTCAGCTCCATCTGAAACAATCAGCTGGAGGCAAGGTCCCGGCGCTCAGGCATCACGGAGTGAGTGGCAATGAGACGGCGCCGAAGGACAGTTCCCAGCGGGCACGTCAGGAGAGGCTCAAGACGTCCACGGCTAAGTCTGGACTTGAAGCAAACCGTTTAACTTCTTTGTTACAACTTCGCCCCACTCCCATGCTGCCCCTATCCCCCCACCAAGATTTTTCAGTGAATTAGGAGCACTGATACTGTGAGAAAAAATTTCTTCTTCAGAGTATTTCCACACTATTATGTAACCAACCACTAGATAGATAGACAGACATGAAATAAGGTTGACTTCCATACGTTTTATATGAAAATCAGCATCATTACTTCATCGTCATAGTTTAACACAAAATTATATAAAGTACTATATAACATAGTTATAGCTGTGCATGTACGCTACACATATTTTACGGGGCCCCCAGCTCGTCCCCCGTCACCCCACCGCACTGTGGCACAGGGGGCAGAAGGTGTAGTTGCTGATCTCCTGGGCCAGCACGCAGTGCTTGCACACGCCGCACATCCAGAACTGGTACTCCGTGATGGGGCTTCCGGTGGCCACGCAGGTGGGAAGTTTCCCTTCCCCTCTGCAAAAAGAAGAGGAAAAACAAATAATTATACTTTAAAACGTCTAGTGTCTTAAAACTGTATTTATTACATTTACAAAACTGAGGAATAAAAAACATTTCAAGGTCAACAAAAACTTTTCTTACAATGAGAAAATAAAGCATTAATATACTTACGAGACTAAATAAAATAGGGTATAATGTTAAGGTAAACTACTTAAAAATTCAGTGCTTTAATTATTATTTCGCATTGCTATACATACACAAATCCAAGCCTCTCAGAAGGTAGAATGACACTTACTAATTACAATTAGTCTCACCCTTCGAGAAGGCTGTCCAGCTCCGACTTCCTGTTATCTTTTGGAGTATGCTTGGTGAAGATTTCTAGAGCGAGATCTTCATACTGCTGTTTCTGTTCTGCACTGAGGCTCTCTAGAGACTCCAGCTTGATAAAAGCTTTCGAACAAGTACCAAAAGCTCTGCTGGCACACGCACAGAGCGCTAACAGGGAGTAGATCTCAACGGCGGGGATAATGTCTTCATAGTCTCTCAGGTGAAGAGCTAGGAAAGAAAGGACAATCTGGATTTTGCACAGTAATCATGATCGTGCCTTGGAAAGCCCGGGTGCCGGGTGGTTTCTGTCTAACCGACGAGAACCTCAGCAAAGCCAGAGAAACGGTGGTGGGAGGTCAGAGCGCCGGCAGGAGGGAGGAGGCTACGTGGTCTCCGGGTTCTGCCGCATCGGCTGACACTCAGGGCCAGGAAACGTGATCACCACTAAACGACGCACATGCCATGCAGAAATACACACACAAACAAAATGCTGGGGTCTAAACACACATCTTTTGTTCCACATAAATACATTAGAACTGTTTGTGGCGTTCCAGAAAAAGTAAACTATTTTCTCTCCGTATTTCTTTGAACAGATTATTGCTTTTCTGTTTGTCTTATTGAAACAATACAACTTTGAGGAGGAAAAAGTCAAAATGAACCTCTAGTCTAAGTTGTCAGTTCAGACCATTTATTTTGACAGCTATCATATCCTATTTTCAGCTTTTCTATTCTGGAGATACAATCTCTTTCTTAAAAATGCACCATAGAATTAATAACAGATTGGTAACAAAATTGTATGGTTTTTTTCTTCTCTAAACTTTCAAATCTTAAAAATATCTTATAGTATAATATTAGAAATTTCATAAAATAATTTAAAGCAATATATTCATGTATTTTACAATTAGGTTCCTACATACTGGTTTGAGGATCAAAAGTTTACAACAAAGCTCACAAAAAATAAACTCATTCAGTAAAATAAATAATACCCTCTGACTTCACAGGGCATATATTTTTTCAGATCAGTTTATCACTGAAAGACAAAACTTTTAAAGTATATGGATATCTTCGCTCAGTAGGTGCAGGATTTCAAGTTAAAGGCCTAATTTTTCTTACAATAAATCTAGAAATTGTGATAGGTTATATAAAACACAACTATTTTAAATAGTATATAATTCATACAACATATTAATCAGTTAGAATTAAATAAAGGTCAGTTATAAATAGACACCAAAAATGAAAATGATTCTGATATGTAACTGATAAGCAATTAGGAAAAAACTTTACAGCCCCATTGCTAACAACAAAAAAACAGGAATACACGGCAAAAGAAATGTCCTGTGAACACAAGAGTACTACAGAACCTTAGAGAGAAACACAGGTATATAAAAGATATGAGTGTTTATTGTTGAATGAATAGTGAATGCTATAAATGTCCTTCTCCCTTATCTCAAACTTCTTATTTTTCTGTAAATTGTACATTGCTTTCTATGTAATAAAAAATATTGGATATATCTCCCCAGGCAAAGGAAACAAAATAAAAATTAAACAAATGGGACTCCATCACCCCAAAAAGCTCTTGCACAACAGAGGAAATTGTCAGCAATATGAAAATACAACCCACAGAATGGGAGAACATATTCACCGATATATCTGATCAGGGGTTAATAGCCAAAATTTATAAAGGACTTACAAAACTCAATACCAAAAAAACCCAACCCAATTAAAAAATGGGCAAAAGACCTGAACAGACACTTCTCCAAAGAGGACATACAGATGGCCAACAGACACATGGAAAGATGCTCAACATCACTAATCGTCAAAGGAATGCAGGGAAGGGTTTACAGGGATGAAGGACACATGGACAAAAACCGGGTGGAAATGGGAGGGAGGTGGGGAGGGCTGGCAGGGGTTGGCTGGGATGGGAGTAAAAGACAGAAAACTATACTTGAACAACAATTTAATAAAAAAAAAATTTAAAGAAATGTAAATAAAAACCACAATGAGGTGCTTGTCAGAATGGCTAGCATTAATAAATCAAGAAACAACAAGTGCAGGCGAGAATGTGGAGAAAGGGGAACCCTTTTGCACTCGTGGTGGGGGTGCAGACTGGTGCAGCCACTGCGGAAAGCAGTATGGAGATGCCTCAAAATATTAAAAATGGATCTGCCTCTTGACCCAGTGATCCCACTTCCAGGGGTATATCCGAAGGAACCCAAAAAACAAATTTGAATGGGCATCTCTGTTCATTGCAGCATTATTTACAATCACCAAGATATGGAAACAGCTCAAGTGTCCATCAGTAGATGAGTGGATAAAGCAACTACGGGACCTTTACACAGTGGAATTCTACTCAGCCATAAAAAAGAAAACTTTACCCTTTGCAACAGTATGGATGGACCTGGAGAACATTATGCTAAGCGAAATAAGCCAATCAGAGAAAGACAAATACCACATGATTCTACTCATACGTGGAATCTAACAAACTGAGCTAATAAGCAAAACAGACAGACTCACAGATGGAGAACAGATGACAGCCAGGGCGGGCAGGTCAGGGGTGGAGGGGCTGAGCAAAAAGGAAAAAGGACTCACGGACATGGACAACAGTGTGCTGACTGCTGGGGGGAGACGTGAGTAAGGGGATTAAATGGTAATGGAAAAATATAATAAAAGATTATATATTTAAAAAAATATATATGAACCTATATATAAAATATATATTTATATACTATACATAATAAGCATATAAAGACAAATTTATAAAATAAAAATAAATATGTTTATATAAATAAAAACAAATACATAAACAGAAATATATTGAAGTATATATTTATGTATATATATTTATATATATATAAAATATATATATATATATATATGAACCTGTAAAATATAAATCTTGGGGAGACATTCCCAGATAGGAAGTTAAATCATAAAATTGTAAGTTATTCTCAAATTACACATAGTTAATGCAATTTCATTCATAATCTCATTTTTTGTCAACCTAGAAAACAATATATAAACTTTATATGAAAGAATGGCAAAATTTAGTATGTTAAAAAAATAAAAAGAACTTCAAAAAGTGGAATGCACAAAGCAAATTACAGAGTGCAAATCCCATACATATGAAAATGCACAGGAAAAAGGTGTTGCTGAAATTAATTCTGGGGAAATTGCAGAGGCTGGCCCTTCCTACTCACGGCACAACCCGGACTCTGCGCACGCGGTAACAGGCCCACCTGTCTTCAGGGCAGTGTCCACGTAGCCCTCGTAGAGCTGCCTCTGGGCGAGGATGAAGAAGTGGTAGGCCTCGGCCCCCCTCCACGCGTTGTCCGTGAACCGGCTGGTGGTGGACAGAACCTCTTCCTCCAGCAGACCAGCCAGAGCCGACGTGGCCTGCGGGCAAAGCAGACGCGTTCCCGTCAGCACAACCACAGCGGCGGCCCTGCCAAGGGAGGGGCTGCAGAAACCGCTGTGCTGGCAGTGCTCAGAGGAGCCCACGGTGACTGCAGAACTGTCACCACAGACTCAGCTTCTTCACTATAATGTGTATCTTGTTAAACTCGTATGACCGCATTCTCTTCTGCTTTATTGAGGTACCATTGACAAATAAATGTAAGGGATTTAAAGTGTGCATTGTGGGGATTTGCTATAGACATTTACATACACTGTGAAAAAACTGATCACACATTAAAATAAAATTAATTAAACTTTTATAGTAAGAGATTCATAATCTAGGGAAAGATTTTTAGAACTCACAGATTAGAAGGGATTTACTAAGTTTTCAATATTTCCAAGTAGAAACTTGTAAAATGTGAGGACTAATTCCAAATCAGTCATTCGTCTTCCTCACATCATTTAAGAAAATAATGCAGATAAGCAGGTGAAATGGCCTGTCCAAAACGAGAAATTCAGGTGCTTTCCCCCCGCCCGGCCCCGAACACCGCAGACCATGTGGTCCTCTCCGGCGCGCCGCCTTACCTCCGAACCCTTCCCCTTAGCTTTCCCGCGCTGGGCACTCTTCATCTGCTCGTGGTACTGCTCTATGAGCAGAGCTGACAGTACGTACAGCTTCTTCACGCGCAGAGGCTTGGCTCTTTTCTTCGCCTCCTCATCTGCGATCTTTCACCATGAAAGAAGTGGGGGAAGATGCTGTGTAATCCTCGTTTGCACAGATACAATCAATCATCTCCACATTCAACTCTCTAAAGAAAGGAGGAAAGTCTGTGTGGTGGAATTTTAACACCCCTCATTTATGGTAAACCCTTGAAAACCCATTTTCTTTTCCTTAGCACCGGTAAGTGCTTAGTTCTTTCCTGGTATTTAGCCCTTGGAGTTAGAACTTACAACGTACTTAGGAAATAAGAGATGCTGTCAAATAAGTCAGAATAAAGAAAGTTTTCATGGAATGGATTGTATTTTCATAACAAAGAGATTTTTTTAAATAATATTCCAAGTACGCAGAGATAAAATAGTTTTAACATGGTATATCCTTCAGGAATTTTTATTTTTACTTATTTAAATGATTCCAAGGGAAATTTTTCATTTTTTCATTGAAGCAAATGGGAAAAGAACAGAATGTGAGTGTATATGCATTAATACTGCACCAGTGAGCTTCCTGCCAACCTCACATTATGAAAAGGGAACACCTTTAGAACTTACACATTTGAAAGGACTCAAAACTCTATTATCAACAGGAGTTAACTCCCAGGTAAGGAACTTTGTACTTTACGGCCCCTAAAATTTCTACAATTTTTCGACATCAGTATTAAATAAACACATAATTGTTTAGGTACCAGTAAGGTGCTAATATTATCAGATAGCCTTGTTAGTAAAGGTATTAATGCTAAGATAACACAGAGTTATAGTAGTAATAAAACCAGACATGTTTTTTCTACAACAAATAGTTGTTTCCAAATAAGTGGAAAATGTGTTCTTTGCCATCTAAGAAAACACTGGTGACGAGAACAAACCAAACACTCAGCACTAATGTTCCATACCTTAAACATCAGTTTAGCAGCATCATAGAAGTAATTGGCTTTCCGGTAGAGCTCTATGGCATCAAGAATTTTATTCTTTTCTAATAAGTGAGCTGCATACCTCGCTAACAGGGGTCCAATTTCTTTCATACTATGATTTTTAGCCAATTCAACAGCTTTGTTCCACTAGGAGAAAAAAATATACCATCCAGTCACGTATATCATAAAATTCACACAATAAAGCTTTAAGTTTATAATAATAACATTATACTAAAATTACAAACTGGTATATGTTTTTAAAAATCACTTCAAATCAGAGGAATTATAAGTTTTGTAAGTTAAACATGCATCAAAATGATTAAAGGATCTGAGGCTTTGATTTGCTCATAGAAATACATTTGAAAAAGAAAGTCTCCAAATTTATGACATTAATCTTAAAATTCTAATTCTGCACAAACTATGAGAGAGAAAAAGATATGTGTATAGTAAAACAAAATATGCAATTTAAGAAAATGTCCTATCAGATTAATATTTATAAGTTACTTTTATAAAGAAAATGAAGCTTTGTAAAATACTCCAGAGGAATGCATTGATTGTCAACAATTTCAACAAAAATTCTGCACTTTAATTTTAAATTCCAGGTCTTAAAAGTATCAAGTATACACTTTCTTTAGAGGGAAAAGAATAATACACTGCCCTGGCTGGTGTGGCTCAGTAGGTTGAGCACCTCCCTGCCTAGGCCGCAGGCCAATCCCCAGTCGGGAGCGTGTGAGAGGCAACCAATCTATGTGTCTCTTACACACTGAGGTTTCTCTCCGTCTCTTTCTCCCTCTCTTACCCTTTCTCTTAAAGTAAATAAATAAAATCAAAAATAAATAAAAATAAAGGGAAAAGAATATAGACTTGTCAAAATAAATACTGATAAAGTAACTCAACTCTTTCCTCTTGCAATGACCATTGCCTGGTCCTTCTCTAGAAACAAGACCCAATCCTGATGAAATGCGGACAAACCCGCCAGACTGAAAACACGAGGCTGGTTCATGTCCCCACACTGAGTGAGGTGTGACTGGGCCACCCCTAACGCTGGCACTTCAAAAAGGGAAGGAATGCCAACATTTTCTCAGTCCTCTGCTAAGTAAGAGACTACCCGTCTCCTTTCACAAAGTGCACCTCCAGCTCTCCAATCCTCATGTCCGCAACAGCCTTACCACGACAGCCACGGTAACTTCCCCTTTCAGCTCCTTACTTGGTTGAGATGCACGCAGGTGTCTACCGCTGCCTTGGGCTGATTGCATTTCAAAAATGCACTCACGGCTTGTTCACACATTCCAACCCTCACAAACATTTGTGCTATTTCCTGTAAGGGCAAAACAATACTATCAGATTCCACACACCAAGGAAGTCACTTACGTTTTAATTTATGAAACTCCACGGGGACATATGGTTACAGTAATTTTGCATCTGCACAGACACAGGGACAGAGGCCACAAACCACAGCGTGCTGGAGGCATCACCTTGGGTAAGACGAGTGCGTCACTGCTTGCCCTGGGGAGCTGAGGGTTCACGGGCCCTGCAGCTCCTGCACTCTTGTCTTTCTCGGTTCAGAAGCCTCTTTACTGCAACATTAAGTTCTAAAATAAGCCCCGCACTGGTGGGTAGGAAAAACCTTTAAGGCAAGAGATGGTGCAGTCAAAGGTGATTGCTCACGCGAGGCCTAGGGAACCCATTCACAGAGCTCTCCAATGCGTCCACAGAGGAGGATGCCCCAGACAAGCTGCCCAATTGGGTCAGGATGCTGGACCCAAAACAGAGCCCCCAGAGGGCGGTGGCAGGAGGGAGAGCCACAGCAAACGCCCGTCACTCCTCCCGAGTGGCTGTACTTCCCACCTCCAGAGTTTGTTTGTGTTTTTTTTTTGTCCTTCTGAGTATCTAATTGGCCAGAGTTTCTCTCGCTCCACCTCTACTTTTAAAATACTTTGGGGAATATCATAAAAGTACATTTTGTATCCAGCTATCTTTTTTATACACCTACAGTCCTCCACTCTACCACCTGAAGGGAGTCCAACTATCTTTTTTAAAGTAACAGCCATATTTTTCTGATTATAAAATAATACATCCTCACGGTAAAAATAAAATTAGAAAACACAAAACTGAAGGTAATTTTATTGCCCAAGGAGACCTCTCCAGTCTGATGTAATTTCCTACCGTCTTCCTCCTCCGGATACGTGCGTGTGGGAGGCGGAGCACGTACTGTGATGCGGTACAGGGCGGGCAAGGGAGGTTTACAGCTGGGAGTACGTGAAACACAGTCTACCCTCGCACTAGCGCTCACTAATTCCTGTATTACTTCCCGTATGAACAACTGTAGGCCGACTTCTGCCCAACCCTGTATATAGCTTTGCACCCTGAATTTCTCACTTAAATATTATGTATTGTTTACCATGTTATTAAAAACTGCTCCAAAACTTGATTTAAAATGTGCAGTGCTATTTAACATTTTTAATCACTTAATTATTTAATTGTTGTCAGCGCTGTGATTACTTAGTGTTTGCTCAGTAATATTACTATTCTGGATCCTGCCCTGCGGTACTTCTTTCCCGCGTCATCAGACTCGCCCGACAGACGACACGCACGTGGGCGGCTCGGCGCCCTGCCCGGGCTTGTCAGGGATTTCCGTTTCTGTCCCACCCCAGAACACGCGCGGGACTGGGAATAAGGGAGTGTGCCGTGCCATTACGACAGGGACACCTGCTCTCATCCACGGCAGATAACACTGAGTTACCAGAAGTCTAGACTCGCCTGTTAGCTACCAGACAAAATTTTCACGGCAGCACTCACAGCTGATACATGTGTAGACCCTGCAGTTGAGAGCGGCTTACTCTATAGGTTACTGTACGGCTCAGTGACTTACGTTTTAGATAATAAGACAAATAAAATACAAACTCATTAACGTCATTCAACAATCAATTAAAAGCTTGAAAAGAACAAAGTTCCAGAGAACTCTGCTTTTAGTTTCTCTTTTTTAACATATAAGCCAATAAAAGTCAAGCTATCTTTTAAAACTCTCATTATACTCAATTTCAAGCGCACACACACGCACACAGACCGCCAGACCCAGCATGGATTACCCTGGAGCAGCTCTCCGACAACACAGCGCTTTATCTGTGAATGTGTCGTGTGTCCAGCTGGCTTTTAAAAGCAATTTTATAAAACCAGCAAGACCAGTGGTTGTAGGTCTTAACCTACAACCCTTAACCCTTTCTTAAAAGGGATAAGGGGAAAAAATAGTAATGGAAAAAATACAATAAAAATAAACTACTTTTAAAAACTAGCAAGACTGTACAAAACTGCAATCATGTTAAAGTAGCAAGAATATGATTAATTTTCCCTTCCATTTTCAAGTACTCTATAATATTGATAGAGTGTTTTAACAGTTAAAAGCCCAACCCCATGTCTAAGAAACTGTAAGAGTATAGATTAATTTAAAATTTCCCTTGTTACAGAGGACACTTCCTGGTAATAACACAGAAACCTTGGCCCTGGCTAAGTGGCTCAGTTGGTTAGCGCATCATCCCAGTAGGCCACGGCTGCAGGTTCGATCCCCAGTCAGGTCACAAACAAGAGTCAACGAGTGGAGGCAGAAATAAGTGGAGCAACAAACGGGTGTTTCTTTCCTTCTCTCAGTCTCTCTCTTTCCCTCCCTCCCTTCTTCCCTTCCTCTCTCTCTCTAAAATCAATAAACTTTTAAAAACCATAAAAACCTTATAAAGTAAACTAAAAACCTCAAGAACTAAAATTTCCAATACCTACTGGAAGTAACTTGTGGTTTTCTGGAAGTGAGTTGGCAAGATTCTCCAATCCCTCGTAATCTTCTAACATGTAGTAGCACTCGGCTAAGCGTTCCTGGTTTCGGCCTTGCACGTAATATTGCACAGCATTCAACCTGTGGAGGGAAAAGAAGAAAACTGTGCAAGCTCATGTGACTCTCCTGATAAACAGCCTTCCACCAAACCACATTCCTTCATTAGAATCACTAGTTGATTCCAGTCAACATCCTCAGTCACAAAATGTCTTTGTAGCATATAAATCGGGGAGAAAAAAAAATCTAATATGGTGAAGAATTTTTTAGTTACAACATTCTTTGAATAGCCTTAATGTTGTTTTCATCCGATACACAGTGTCACTTCCAAACACTGACAGAAATAAAAAAACATGTGGATCTAAATGAAAACTTAAGAATACAAGCCAATGATTTCTGAAAATAAACTACAATGATAAAATAAGCCAACATAAAATACTGTTTTTATTTTTTTATTTCTTGAAAATCGGTCACAGAGCGGCTTGGAACTGCACACAGAAGGCCCCCACAGCAAAGAGCCGCCTGCCGCTGAGCACCAGCTCGGTGGGCTTGGGAACCCCAGAGTCCTGCGCTCGTCTGACCACCTCAAGCCTCTCGTGCCGCCCCGCCCCCGCCAGCGTGCCTCGACAGCTACCTGAGGTTTAGGATCCAGGGGGCCGGTCTCCATTTCCCAAGTATTACTTCATGGGTGAGTATGCAGGCAGCTGCATTTTAAGTGCCGGTGAGTGGCTGAGGGAGTCCAGACAGGTCACTTACCACTTCTGTCGGTCAGCAAAGTAGTCCCCGACGGCATTGTGGGCCTGTTCAAGGAGACTGTCATCGGCATCACCGGATCCAGTCTTCAGGAGCTGGAGGACCCTGAACCAGTCTCCCAGCTTCAGCCGGAGGCCTATAGCGAGATCTCTGCAAACAATGGCAGTCATTCATTCACTTGTCTTTTTTAAAAGATTTTACTTCTTTATTTTTAGAGAGAGGGGAAGGGAGGGAGAAAGAGAGGAAGAGAAACATCAATGTGTGTTGCCTCGTATGTGCCTCCTACTGGGAACCTGGCCCGCAACCCAGGCATGTGCCCTGACTGGGAACTGAACCAGTGACCCTTTGGTCTGCAGGCCAGCACTCAATCCACTGAGCCACACCAGCCAAGGCCATTCATTCACTTGTTCATTTGACATATTTATCAAGTGCCTACTATGTGCTAGGTTCAATTCTAGGGTACTTGGGAATACACAGCAATGAACAGGGAGACAAGGTAAATCTCCAAACATTTCAGAAACTTAACCTGACCAGGTAGGAAGCAAAGGGGAGAACACAGAATAGGGAAGAGGAAACAATTTCCCACCTTTTACTTCCCTAGACTTCCAATTTCTTTAGCAAAATAATGAAATACTAATCACTTCTTTCCATCAGTTTCCTAGATATGATCGGGCTTATTTAAAAACCAAACATACAAAAACATGTTCGGTTTTATCTCTCTGTGTAAGGCTCAAGTTGTATTAAGGATCTGCTGGAAGTACAAATATTATTCATGAAAATTAGACATAATGTTCACAGCTGAAATGAAGTTTATACATTACATAAATCTGAAGTGAAATAGAAAGAATAAAACTCAATCCCTAAATATGTCTGACTTTTATTCTGTGCTCCCTGACAACAGAAAATCAAATAATGGCCCAAAGCCAAGTAATGGACTGTGTAATAAATGACAAAAAGCCCCCCAGTCTCTGTATTCACACCATTATTTTTCCTACCAAGTGAAACAATCTCCTACGGCCGGCGGTTCACATGTGTAGAAACTGAGAAGAAAACTGCCCCCAAATTGCAAGCCGTAAATTAACGAGGGGCATGTGGAATAATATCTAGGACACAATCCAAACTGAAACTATTTCTACAGGAAACGGCACAGTACAGTCAGTCCACGTTACATTCGTCGTTCATGAAAACACTGCCAACTCGGGAAGCACTCGGGGGGGCCGCACCTGCACCACTGACCTTCTGTCCATATCGAGGTACATCCTCTCAGCCTCTTCGAACCGGCCAAAGTAGGCGGCGACCTCCGCCTGCTTCATGGACTCGCTCTGGAGGTTGCCCAGGCGCTTCACGAACTTGATGCCTTGGTAGTCTTTGCAGTGCACGAATGCTTGCTCCGCCGTGTTCAAGTCCAGTTTCTGAAGGGCTGCTTCCGCCAGCAGGCGCCTTCGGAGAAAAGAATCAGAGAAGTCGATTGCAAATTACTGATACGCAAGTCCTGAACTAGAATGCAATGATTCTAATCATGGTTGCCAGTGAAACATGGTGGGCAGTGATTATTTTAACACACTTTATACAAGTCTCATGGAATATCATGCTTATTTTGAGCTCTTCCAAATCTAAAGTGAATCCATCTCAGAAAGAAGAGCAAGAAGAGGAGGTCCGTCCCCAGGGAGGCTGGCACGAGAGGCACACCACGGAGCCGAGGCTTTAAAAGCGGACAGCAGACGCCCGGAGGAGCTTCCCCTTTCACGCACCACAGTCGGGGGTGTGGGTTGTCCTCGATGAACTGGGATGCATCTTCAATGCCAACCTTCTCGATCAGTGCTCGACTATCTCGCAGGGACCGAATCTCAAAGTTAACTATGTAATCCTTGTTTGGGTGTTCTGGGTTCTAAAAGAAAAGGTGAAAAGAAAGGAATTCGAATAGCTGCCTTTGGACTCTATGTTCCTTTTTTACAGTTTGACAAAAAAACTGCACCATGTTGTAAGCAAAACGCGGAAGAAAGTCCCAGGTGTGGGTCTTCTGAGTTATGTAAAAAGCATCCCTCCGGCGGCGGTCAGGCTACCTGTGGGGAACAAGGGGCAGTGGGGGAGGGGGTCCCAGTCTAGAGGAGAAACTTGTTTCCCTCAGCTCAACCGTCTTCCCCCCGGCAGTGCTCTCCTCTCGACCCCAGTGCCGGGCAAACACGGGCTGGGCCTCCGGCCCTCTCCCCTTCGCCGCCCTCCCGGCTGCGGCGATGAAGCGCTTGCTCCACGTGCTGCTGGGCAAAGGCAGACAAGAGAGAAAGAGCTAGTATTTATTCATCACTTTTCTTTTGTAATATAGTAGACAGACCAAAAAAAAAAAAACCCTGAAGGCAAGTCTTGCAGAAGAAAAGAGCTAGTGTCCAAAGAAAGGAAGCAAGAAGCTATAATGAACTCAGCAATATGTTACATGTTCCAAGTAACGAAAAGTGAAGCACTCGAGAAAATCAGGGCCCCCGGGTGTAAACAGCAGTGGCCCCCAGAGGCCAGAGTCTCTGAAGAGGAGAACCGAGTCACCGCAGGCACCCCCGCTCACCCTGCCACTAAACCGCTGTGTCCAGAAACGGGAAAGTTCTTGGGAACTCCCAGGGACGAAGTAGGACGCAGTATGGAAGGAGTGTGAGGCTGGCATTCAGACAGACGTAGGCTCGAATCCTAATTCCACTGCTTTCTGGCTACGTGGTAACTCTTTCCAGAGCCTGCCCTACCTAGCCCCCTCCCCACACAAAAAACCCAAATCATCTTCCCAAAACAGAAACCCCATGATGTCACTCTCCTGCTTCCCTCCCCCACTGACTCCAGGAGGAAGTCCAAGCCGCACAGCCCGTGAGGTCCCTCAGGACCTGAGCGGCCCTCCCCCGTCCCTCTCCCCTTCCTCATCTGTGCCAATTACACCCACCAGCCCCGAAGCCAGGCAGACAGCTCGGACTCAAACCACGTCTTTGCCTGCTGCTAATCAGGTGTCACCGGCAAACTAGTTTTTCCCTCCCAGCCCCAGATTGTTCATCTGAACAAATGGAGATAATCAAACGTACTTCCTTGAGTTACGAGGATTCAACGAGATAACATGCACCAAATACCTGGCACAATGGCTGAGGATTCAACAAGATAACATACACCAAATATTCGGCACAATGGCTGGCTGTGCTGCTCACATTATCCGGTCTCAGAACCGACCCGGTAATGCTCTCTCGCTCCAGACCTTTGCAGGGATACCCCCACTGACGGGTCCACAGCATGCCCGACCCTTTTCCACTTGCTGCGTTTCTGGTCTGCTTGAGGCCAGGAACTGTGTCTTACTGTCGATAAGCATTTGCTGCGTCAATGAGCAGGTAACTTTTAGGTAAATTAATTCCCTTCACTGTTAATTCCCTTCCTTTCCCTTTTGCATTCCTCCTTCTCTAGTCCTCCAAGAAATTTCATTTTACCCACTAAGAGCCTTCCTCATCTGAAAACGAGGTCTGTGCCCATGTACCACGATGACAGCAACAAAGGAACACAACATGTAACATGCACAGAACATTTCATGTGAAGTACATTAGTCACTGTTAATTCCCTTCCTTTCCCTTTTGCATTCCTTCTTCTCTAGTCCTCCAAGAAATTTCTCATGTTATTTCCTTTTTCTCCTGTTTTACTGAGACATAACTGACACATAACACGGCATCAGTTTAGGTGTACAACAGTCGAGTTATTTCTTAAACTGAATTTTTATCGGAATCCATAGTTCAGCTAAGTGTTTCCTGGTGAACACGGCCCCAGAGGAAGGCGCGACGATATTCCTTCCTTTAGGGTTTGCTCGTAGAAAGTCGGACAGAGAGCAAAACCGGCACGGAGAACGGGGTGTCTCGTGCAGCTCCGCACCTCCTGCCAGGAAGCGGGGCAACGGCACTGCACGTGTTCTTTGTCCTAATACACATACACAAAACGGCGTGCAGTGTATCGAGAGTCTTCAAGTCCACCTGACCGATTTACTTACATGTATTTTTAAATCCTTCACAGAAGCCAATGCAATCATCAGAGCAATGACACTGTAGGTGTTTTCAAACATTCTAGACCTTAAGCTAATCAGCAATGATGAGCCTTTCTTAAAAAAATTACAAAAAATTTAAATCCAGCCAACTAAAAGATTAATCAAAATTAAGGATTCATTTACAGAGAAAATGTAGTAAACATACTGGTAATACACTGCTTAGTTTTTTATACATTTTTTCTTAACTCAAAAAAATGGTATTGTTTGTACTGAAAAAATTACCTAAAGTCCTACAATTCCTTCAAGTTCACTTCCCAGTTATTAAATTAAAATTAACACTAAAAAGGTAGATTGTGCAACAATGCCATTTTTACAAGATTACTTCTGTCCATTTATCTGTTCTATGAAATCTATGTGCCGCTGACAAAGGAGGGAGCACCTGGGCTTTCCAATCAGCCTGCCGCGATGTGAGGCTGGAGGGGAAGGGTGCAGGGTGAGGGGTGAAGCTTAAAAGCTGTCGGCAGTCAAACATCAAAAGTGAAGTCTGCGGTATTCCTGCAATCTAGGATTATATGCTCTCCAAATGGGAGCACGTGGCTCTTCTCTGTGTGGGCAGCACTTCTGCAAAGAGTAAGGAAAAAGACCTGTAACCCTGGCTGGCGTAGCTCAGTGGATTGAGCACGGGCTGCAAACCAAAGCATCACAGGTTCGATTCCGAGTCAGGGTACATGCCTGGGTTGCAGGCCACGGCCCCCAGCAACTGCACATTGATGTTTCTCTCTCTCTCTCTCTCTTTCTCCTTCCCTTCCCTCTCTAAAAATAAATAAATAAAATCTTAAAAAAAAACAACCTGTGCCTGTTTAAGGTATTAGGCTTGCACAGAATTGAACTTGTTCCCACAGTTATTGTGCTATTTAAACTGAATACATAACACCAGAGAATATGTATTTTCCCTTTTCCTCTCTTATGAATGAAGATATAAGGCCTTTTGTTTGTCCTCTTTCTCAAAAGATTTACTGAACAACTACCCTGTAACTACCAAAAACCTCAAGCCAGTCTCCCTGCCCTGGTCTCTCAAGCCATTTTCAGACCAGCTTGAGATGCCTGCCCTTTCTCCCCAAAAGCCTCATTAAGCAAGTAATGACCTTCTCCCATGTTCTTGGTGTCTGTGGGGTCATCACTCTTGACAACCAGACCAAACTTTGGACGGGGGCCCATCCTGCTCCTGTAGGGTACTCATGACACAGGAAAAAAAAAATTCATAATAAAATGGCTGTAACTTACATATGAAAACATGCTACAAACTGCAACTAACTTCTGGAAATTTAAAATCTGTCCTAATTCCAAAAAATACATGAGGTACATACCAAAAATAAATGTTTTGGATAAAATGAAGCTAAAACTGCACTCAGTATAGTCTTAGAGAAAAAAGATTCTATCCGGAACCAGAAATGGATTATTTTTAAACACCAGCAAAAAAAAATGAAAAGATAGTGAACTTTGGAAAAAAGGTTATTCGAGTGTCCTAGAACTAAATTGTCAGGTGTTTCTTCAGAACTGCTTTGTTATTAACCTAAAACCAATGACAGCAACTAGCTGCCATTTTTTGAGCTCTTAGCACTGTGCTCAGTGCTTTTCACGCATTTTAAACTATATAGTGAAAGGTGCCATCATTGTCCATATTTCAGAGAGGCTGAAAACCGAGGTCTGTGAACAGGGAAGGAAACTCAAACAGGCGAAGGAGGCTCTGTCAAGGGTGACGACTGGCAGCGCAGAGCTGGGCGCCAGCTACGTCCGACCCCTCACCCCGCACTCCTAACCACCACACTGCGCTGCACGGGGCAGAAATGAATCCCGGTCAGGCAGGCAGCAGAAATATAATTGTTTTTTAAGAACTGCCTTTGGAAAAAGGACTCATGAAAAAAAAGAATTACCTTTAGTATCTCGTCCAACAAAACAGATTTAATTTCTAAGTCCTCAAAGTTACAAATATATCCAGAAGTCTGAATGGGTTCCTTGAAAGACAAAAACAAATGTTATACTTAATTATATAAAATTTCCCCTCCTTAACATATCATGATTTTAAGTTTTATTATCAAATTTTCAAACCAACAGAATAGTAGAAAGGATGTCATAAACACCCATATACCCATCAACTAAATAATTATTAACATTTTGGTTAATAAGCTTCCATCAATTTTTTGGCTAAAGTATTTTAAAGTAGATTTATAAAATCCATGACATTTTATCCCTAAATATTTCAGTTCGTGTCTCTAAAGGATGTCCTCTCACACGGCCACATTAGTATTACCACACCTTATATGACTGATATTAATTCCCTACTAACATCTAATATCTGTGTAAATTTTTCGGTTAATCCAAAAATGCTTTATAAAGCTTAATAATTTTTATTCATGGTATTTGACATTAAATTTAACTCAATAAAATTCACAAAAACTATATTTGTATTTAAGTACACACATACATGAAAAATCTGTCCTCTGTAAACATTAGCCAGAAAGCATTCCTGATAGATTTTCTACATGAGAAGATTTAGTTTGCCAATATGTAAACACTTGAGTCTATTATGTGTCTGTCTCTTATCCCAGTATTATAAGGCTTATAGAAATAAGCTATAGTAAATGAATATTGTCAAGTAGCTACCCTAAATTCCCAGCAGAAACAATAGGCATGAATATACAAACCAAAAGAAATGAATGCCCAATATACTTACTACCTCCGAGAACACTGGAAAAAGAATAGGATGAGGTGGTCTGGCTACAGAAAAAGTGCCAGAATGTAATGTTTAAAAATATGTGTGTAATAATGTATGTCATGATGAAACAGAAAGTAACCAAATTCCAAATGAAATTACATTATCACATATATCACTCTGAAAGTCCTTCATATATGATAGAAACTACAGAAATTTTTATAGGAAGATACCAAAATGGTGAAAATAAAAACCATATTTAGTTTGAGTAAAATCTGAATCATATTCAGTTTGAGTTTAGTATGTCTAGGTTTAAGAATGAGGCCCTATAAGTACATTATTATATATGTTAATTAGATTTTAAAATGTATATTTTCTTTTGAAAAGTAGAAATTATTAACTGAAATAGTGAAATTACATGAGAAAAATTATGAGATCCCTTTATTTTCTCAGAAAAGGAGGTTGTTTTACGCAAAGGTAATGTGTTCAATAAAAAGATATGTATTCAAAAGTTTGGAAATCCCTTGTCTGGAAAGGAAGCAAATGTACAAAAATGATAGCCTGGTGGATTAAAAATATGTGATATGAAAGAAAGATGAATATGAACAGGAGTACCAATGAGAGGGAAGATCCAAGAAAAAGAATAAAAGGGCTGACTCAGTACCTTGAGGGGTCCCTGGGGGTGAAAATGATCACGCAGGAAATATCAATATTAAAATTCTCATTTCCTGGATGGAAGCATAGGTAGATACGTTTTGCTTCCTTGCACAACCAAAATAAGGATAACAACAAATTTAAAAACAAAAAACAACCAGAACTGCCAGAAAACCAAACTGCATGGAAGTTCAACAACCAAGGAGCTAAAGAAACATTCACCCAGATCGGCAGGAGGGGCTGAGACGGGCAGCCGGGGAAGTGACCTGCGGCAAGGGGACCAGGTGTGAGGCAGCTGCTGTCAGACCAGGTGGCCCCACATTCACGTGCAGATAAACCAGGAGGAACAACCGGGGAGCAAGACAGACCACACAATCCAGGGTTCCAGTGCAGGGAAACTGAAGTGTCAAAACCTCTGGCTATAAAAACCTGTGGGGACTGCTGCAGGAGAAACTCCTTGCATCACAAGAGAGTTTGTTGGAAAACACTCACAGGGTCCTAGAATGTACACAGCCCCCTCGCCCCAGAATTAGCATCAGAAGAGCCTAATTTGCTTGTGGGTAGCAGGGGAAGTGACTGAAAGCCAACTAACATCCTAGCAAGCAGCATTGTTCTCTCTGGGACCCCTCCCCCAAAACACAGTGATGTGGACCACCCCACCCTGGCCAATGCCTAAGGCTCCATGTCTTACAACATAACAGGTGCACCCAAACCAAGAAATATGGCCCAAATGAAAGAACAGATCAAAACTCTAGAAGAAGAACTAAGCGACAAGGAGATAGCCAACCTATCAGATGCAGAGTTCAAAACACTGCTAATCAGGATGTTCACAGAAGTGATTGAGTATGGACACAAAATAGAGGAAAAAGTGAAGGCTATGAGAAGTGAAGTAAAGAAAAATACACAGGGAACCAACAGTGATGGGAAGGAAACTGGGACTCAAATCAACGATTTGGAGCAGAAGGAAGAAACAAACATTCAGCCAGAACAGTTTGAAGAAACAAGAATGCAAAAATAGGAGAAGCAGCTTAGGAACCTCCAGGACAACTTTAAATGTTCTAATATCTGAGTCATAGGAGAAGAAGAAGAAGAAAAGAAAAAGGAGAAGGAGAAGAGAAAAAGCAAGAAATTGAAAGCTTATTTGAAAAAATAATGAAGGAAAACTCTCCCAATCTGGTGAAAGAAATAGATGCCCAAAAGTTCAGAGTCCCAAAGAAACTGGACCCAAAGAGGAATACACCAAGACACATCATAATTAAATTATCCAAGATTAAAGATAAGGAGAGAATCTTAAAAACAGCATGAGAAAAGGAGAGAGTTACCTACAAAGGAGTTCCCATAAGTCTTATCAGCTGATTTCTCAAAAGAAACAGGGAAGAAGGGGCTGGAAAGAAGCATTCAAAGTCATGAAACAAGGACCTACATCCAAGATGACTCTATCCAGCAAAGCTATCATTTAGAATGGAAGGGCAAGTAAAATTCTTCACAGATAAGGTCAAGTTAAAGGAGTTCATCATCACCGAGCCTTATTATATGAAGAAAAAAAGATGATCAAAAATAAGAACAGTAAAATGACAACAAACTCACAAGTATCAACAACTGAACCTAAAAAACAAAAGCAAAAACAAATTTAGCAAACAACTAGAACAGGAGCAGAAACACAGAAACGGAGATCACATGGAGGGTTATCACTGGGGAGGGGGGACAGAGGAGAATGGAAGAAAAGGTGCAGGGAATAAGAAGCATAAATGGTAGGTACAAAATAGGCAGGGGGAGTTAAGAAGAGTATAGGAAATGGAGAAGCCAAAGAACTTATGTGCAACCCATGGACGTGAACTAAGAAGGGCAGGGGGTGCAGGTGTGAGGGGCAGTACAGGGCCGAGGGGGAGAAAGGGGAGGAAAAAATGGGACAATCGTAATAGCATAATCAATATAGTATACTTAAAAAAGTAAAATAAAATTCTCATCTCCTAATTCTCAAAGAAAATGTGCCTTGTCAGTGAATTAGAACTCCGCACACCAATGGCACCCTTTCTCACATGCAATTTGGAGAAGAGTTTACGACGTAAAGGAAGGTGCAAATTTAGAACTCACGACAACACTCAAACGGAGAAAACCGTGTTCGGCACGAACTGCCAAACAGCAGCTCCCGCAGGAACAAGGGCCCAGCACGTGTGTCTGAAGGAGCTGCGCCGAGCTCCGTGGCGAAGGGTGCGTCCTCCACGACCAGTCGGCTGGGGGTGAACGGCGGAGCAGTGCCAGCATCCTCAGGAGGGAGCAGAGCAGTACGGCGTGCGTCGTGAAGACATCCAGGCAAGGGCGAGGTTATAAAAATTCTCCTAGCCATAAATCTAATAGAAACCGAAGCACTTGCCAAGCCAGACAGCAAACTCAAACTTAAAAAGAAGGCTGTTCTGTTAAAACTACTTCAGAAACACTTGCCACAGGCAAAGGCTGCACTTGGCGCTGCACTCTCCGTGATGCTACACACACACTCCGAGCAGGCAGGCCCAGCACCCTCACTCTCCAGGAAATGATTTCGGAGTCAGTACAACTGTACCTAGTCATAATCTCCACGGAGGGGGAAAAGGACTGCAACTTTCACGAGGTGTTCCACCTCCATCTTCAAGGTTACCCTGCAGTCACCTGTGAAATTCCCACACCTGCCTTGTGGCAAGGGTCGAATTCCCGCAGGCCCTTGGAAGGGGCTGTGCTCACAGGTCAAACGAACGCCTGTGCTCTGAATCATCACTCGGGGTCTAAAAATGACACACGCAGATCTTCAAGAACCTACCAGCTTTAACAAAACCTTTCGGAGCCATTTTCTTCAGGTCATTTGCCAACCCAAAGACCATGTAGGGCTCAAGTGGGGAAATGTAAAAATAATTTAGAAGATTAAAGAGGTCAATACTTTACCAACAAATAAATTATACAGACGAGCAGCTCAGGGGCCCAAACATGCAGCTTCTTCCCAAGGAGAAAACTACAGGTCCACACCAACAACAATTAATGACCTAAACATTTATTAACTCATCTCTTATTATTTACCTTAGCGGGGTACAGAAAATTCCAAACTGAAGCTCCACTAACTGTTTAAAGGAGTTATCTTGTTAATGATGGCCACCACTCAAGTTATGCTGCATTTCCTAAACGCAACAGTTAACAGCTGATCCACGGCAGACCAAGCGACAGGGAAACTCAGAGCCTAAAAATGAGCTGATGTGAACCGCAAGGAGAAAACCAGAACATGACTTTAAAGTGAGTGAGACAGGGGCTTCCCTGTACCCCGGAGAGCGCAGACAAACCACAGCCTGCACCTGCACATTCGTAAGGCTGTCGGGGCGAGAGAGAGCATGGACTAGTGGCTGCCAGGGCCTGTGCGGTGAAGGAGGCCAGCTGGATCCACAGGAAAAAGGAAATGGAAGGCCAAGGCAATTTCAAATCCACGCTTTTTTCATTAGGTTATTTTAAGCAATTATGATAAATAAGCCACCCATTTTTTTAACTTTGACAGAAAAAAATGAAGACTACATAGCCAATAATCATCATTACAAGAAGAACAGAGGAAAATGCTAGGAAGTGCCTTTCAGAGGAAGTAGAGAATATTTTAAAAATAAATATCACTCCCCCTTAAGACCAAATATTTTAAAACTCTACAGAAATGTTTCTGTTTACTTTCAGAAATTCATGCAGCCAACATCAATAAACCTCTTGCAGAAACAAATGGGAAATATCCAGGTCCTAATCGTTGGCTCATTATTTAAGCACCATTAATGCTCATGTCTTGTTTTTACCTCGGGATCCAAGTTTCTGAACACGTACATCCTTGTCTTCTCCATCATTGCGAACAAGTCAGGATTATCTTTGGCCCACTTCATATCCCAGACATCTTTGCGCTCCAGTTTTAGCAGCTCGCCAGTGACCTGCTGTCCCGTGCTGTCTGTCACCGGCACGTCCAAGTCAAAGAACGTCAGCACTCCTGAGTTGTCTATGATAGCAAGACGACTGCCAACAACGAAATCGGAGAGGGGAAAGTTGTAAGTTACTGTCAGCAACCATGGGTGTAATCAGACACCTATAACCAGTCTTCTTCAAAGTCGGCCCAGTCAGAACCTGGAAATACGGCAGAAACGGCTTTAAGTGATAACTGAGTTTAAACAAACTTTTACAAGTTTGATAGAAGACACGGACTACGCTCCACTTGGCTCCTTGTAAGGAAAAGGTACCCAATGAATTAAAGTAACTGGTGTACAAATAACTTAAAACATTACACTAGAATTTCTAGATTTTGCCCAACTAGAGAAAGATATCTAAACACCAAATACCATACAAAAAAATATAAATATTTAAATACAAATAAAATACAGTAAAACCACATTAAACTATAGACAAGTTTAAGCCAACACGTATCTTTGCATTTATTATATAAATCCAGCAATCCAAACTGGTAACTTCTAAATCAGACATCTGCTTGAGGGCGTTTTCAAACTTACCTGGAGTTGCAATTCAGCGACAGCTGGTTGGCTCGACACTTCAGGGAATATTTTTTAATCAAACCAACATTAGGAAGGCTGTATCTCTGAATGATGCCAGATTCACGACCCTATGGAAGTTGTTTATGATTACTAAAGCAAATTCCCCATAATAACACTACATGACAACTACAGGCCCCACTCTATGTGCACACACTTGTTTCAAAATCAAAGTGATGGCATCACAGTGAATTCCCTTGTGATATTGAATCGTGTTATTGAGTACATATTTAGCTCCCAAGTTAATTAAAACCTTTTGAAATGGCAGAAAGGGATCCAATTTTTTTTTCATGTATTCAAAAGAAGTCAGCAACCTAGTTCTTCAATAACACACACATTCTTATAATCATAAGGAAGAAATACCTAGTATTACTTACGGTTGTCGTCTAGGGTGATATTCAGGGCACATTAAAAGCTAAAAATTTCATATATATGAAAAATCTATACAAGACCACCCTATGAGACAGTCTGAAAGTCTGTCTCATGACTCATGAAAGTCTGTCTGCTACTGAAAGTCTACCTGAAACCAGTGTATCCAATACCAGCCGTCTTTCTGACACGCGTTTGCAGCGAAGGGAGGTGATCAGACAGCAGTGATACAATCTGGGGGAGTTTAAATGTGTTTAACAGTAAAATAGAGTACAAGGCTCCATGTAACTCTGTGCAAGCCTTACGGAGAGAACTGTGGTTTCAAACCTTCTGTGCCGTGAACCGTGCAAAGGGACAGCAGGGCCGCTCGGCAGCCAGTCCTCCCACCTCCCCTCCAACACAGCAGCGCCGCCCGTGCAGCTCGGTTCTTGGGGGTTTTTTTGGGGGGGGGGGCATCAGAAAGGCTGGGGAGGCCCAGGGGCTGCTGGGGGGCGGTAATGGCTTAATTTAGAAAAGGGACATATGGGCTTGAAAAGATTTAATATATTGACAAAATGAGATTTCGTTTTTGAAAACAGGGGTCCTGTGGCTGAAAAAGTCTGAAAAAGTAACCGTCGTAAAAACTGGGCACGCGGCCACGGGAGAAGGCAGTTTTCCACGCAGAGGCGATCTTCCCCACTGAGGCGCCTGGCCGGTGCTGACTACGCGAGTGCTCTTCCTACAGGCAGCCTCTGTCATTTAGGCATTAGGTCAGTTTTTGTGATCATTCTGAGTTGCTTTTTTTTTTTGCAAAAGTCAGAAACACACACACACAAACCCCTACCATCTAGCAAGTATCAAAAGAAAACGAGAGACTCCACAGACCAAAGATCCAGCTTTAAACAAAGACCACAGACCTAAAACACACACCAAGACCATTTGGTGAGGAAATATGAATACTATGTTCTTAAAAAAATTTCCCCCCTTAAACTAATGGCTAAAGAACATAACTAGAACTGGAAACAGATCCTATTAAGGCTTTGTTTACATAATTCAAATTCAATGACTTTACCAGCATTACTATCTTAAACATTTACCTCTAAAATTAGTATTTTCAAATGTCAGAACTCAAGAAGAGACACCATATACTGATGTGATTTGAAAAGTTCGGCGAAAAGTTGCCATGTGCTTCTTCACTTTCCTGGCTAGCGGTCACACCGCCTCGTCGTGCTAAGCCTTTTCCAAGCAGCTGAGCCAAAGCACCTTCCCCAGTGCAACGGAGCAGGCCACGCAGAGGAGGACCCTTCCCAAGGCCTGCAGCTACCGCCAGTCCACCCCCCTTCCGCCAGCCCCTCAGGGGCTCCCGCAACCCGGTGCCCAGCTCTCCCCAGCGGGCCCCACTCTACTGCTTTTAGAAACAGCTCTTTCTGCAAAAGTGACAGCTTGTGAGGCAATCTCTAAGACTCTCGTTTCTTATATGTTGGACTCGGTAACACGCAAAGTGTCCCATAAGATGATATTTAAATCCAAAATGTATTGCTTTACTCTGTTTTTACAAATTAAATTTTTGTTCATAAAATAAATTTTCTCACAACTTACCACAATCAGCGTCTTATCAGATGCAGTTATGGCACAAATTGGATCCCTTGTGCCCTAAAATAAATCAGTCATTATTCTTTAACAAATAGTTACTGAATGATCAGCCTGCTTTAAGAGGGCATGCAGTTCAACTACACATTTACTGACAGACATTCACCAACTGGGCACCGGCTGTGTGCTGGGCCCTGAACTAGGCCCTGGAGATACTCGGATGAAATCTTTACCCTGGGGGAGTAGTCAAAAGCCTGAGGGGGAAGGCAGAGAACCGAACACCTAACTACAGTACAGTACGATAAAAAAAATGAGGCCCACACAGGCGTTATGAGAGCATAGAGGAAGGAGCATCTCACTTAAACAGAAACGGTCCGGGAGGCAAAAATCTGAGCTTACTCATAAAAGACGAGCAGCCGGCAGAGGGCCCAAGCACGCCAAAACGAGGAAGGGAGAGACGGCCTGGCACTGCCACGGCCCGCACGGCTCTCAGGAGCTTATGCTCAGTGCACAGAAGCCCATCGCCACAGGCTACAGATTCCATTCATACAACACTCTCAGGGTTCTGAGACCAAAACAAACCAGGGATTCCCAGGGAACAGGGATGGAGTGGAGAGTGGGTGTGAAAATGAAGAAGGAGCACAAGGCAAGGTCCTTCATGACAGCAAAATCACATAAAACTATGCACATGCACATACGTGTAAAAACCAGTGCAAACAATAATGAATCAGGTGGTAATTTAACAGTAGTACTACCAATGTCAATTTCCTGATTTTGATATTATACTACAGTTCTATAAAACATCACCATTGAAGGAAGCTGGGTAAAGAGGTCCTATGTGCTATTTTTGCAACTTCCTGTGAGCCTATAATTATTTCAAAATAAAATGTTTTTAAAAATCAAAAGAAGAAAAAACAGCATATCTAGAAGAAGGTTTCCAGAATAGAAATTCTTTTAATTACCAGAATACTGTGGCTGGTGTGGCTCTGTGAATTGAGCACCAGCCTGCGAACCAAAGGGTTGCCGGTTCAATTCCGTCAGAGCACATGCCTGGGTTGAGGGCCAGATCCCCAGTGGAGGGGGCACAGAAGAGACAACCACACACTGGTGTTTCTCTCTCTCTTTCTCCCTCCATTCCCCTCTCTTTAAAAATAAATACATACAATCTTTTTTAAAATTACTAGAATAATATGCTATCACTGGAAACAAATTCTTCTTCAGGTCTCAAAATAAAATTACAGTATTTTCAAATCTACAGATACTAATATTTGATGGTAGTAATAAAATCACCTACTTGAATGGCTTTACTATAATCAAGCACCCCATCCACTGATCCAGAAGGAGTATCATCAACATGATAAATCCTGGGAAAAAAAATCAGAACTTCAAAGACAGTGTAAAGGTTATACTATTTCATGATCTCTAAAACAGCTAACAGACTGGATGGAACCAATGAATATTGTTCATATAATTGTCCTTATTAGTTTAAACAGCTCCTAACAAAGCTCAATCTCACAAAGGTAGGTATTATCTACCAGGTGTTTACTAGTTTCACAAGCAATATGTTCCTGAAAGCTGTGCCAAAACACATCTGAACACTGAATCACGTATTTCCAGTGAGTTTCATTGAGCTGCAAGGGATGTTTTCCTTATTCTCCAAATGAACATCAGTCAGGAGTAACTTCTAATACACTAAGTCTCCCTGTCGTTTCTACATAACTTCCCTTCTATCAATGTGCTTAATGACAGTAAAACTTAAATGTATTTGGAATTTTTGTTCTGAAGTAAGGAGTCCTTCCCTGTGTTTACTGTGTTATGAAGATGCACTCCTTTGGGACCCCCACCTCTCTGACACCTTTATGTTAATACTTATTCACGCTGCATATCAGTATCACTGCTGGTTCACTCTCTCTCCCAACAGGTGGCGAGCCTCCTGGAGACAAGGGCTGTTTGTCCGTTGTGTGGCACACTGCCACACGCTCTCAAGCGCTCCATAACGTATGATGAAAAAACATTCAAATGAATGGAGATAAACAGAACAGACACATCACAGAGTAGCTACGAGGCCCTGGGCAAGTTGCTTAACTTCTCTGAACCTCAATTTCTCCATCTATATAAAAGGATGACAATTCCTCCTTTGGGGGGTTTTGAGAGGCATAAATAAAATTGTGCTGATAAGGCATATACATACACAGCCTGATACATAAAAAGAATTCAAAAAATTGTTGCTGCCCTAGATGGTGTGGCTCAGTGGACTGAGTGCCAGCCTACAAAGCAAAGGTTCGCCAGTTCGATTCCCAGTCAGGGCACGTGCCAGGGTTGCAGGCCAGGACCCAGTTGGGAGCATGTGAGAGGCAACCACACACTGATGTTTCACTCCTCTTTCTCCCTCCCTTCCCCTCTCTCTAAAAATAAATATTTTTTTAAAAATTGTTGCTGTAATATAATTACAGGAAAATCAAGCCATTTTCCATCTTTAAAATATCATGAAATTGCATCACTGTTTAATTGAAATCATAATTGTACTTTCATCAATGTAACAAGGAGATCAAATGTTAAATTTAATAGAAATATATTAAATATAGAAAAGTGGGCCAATTTAGAGGTACCATGTCACTGCATTTTAATACATTTCTATTAAGTATACAACACAGTCACTATTTCTACTTAGTCATCAGAAACAGAAGTTGAAATAGGTACCCAGAGAGATCTGACCCCCCCTCTGTTAAAACGAGTGGGTACGCCAGGACAGGCCAGTCTGAGGAAGTGGCTCCAAGGCCGAACGGCCTCCGCGTCTGGTCTCTGCTTATCATCGCCTCGTGACCTTCGGCAATAACTGAAGCAAGTCGTGTCTCGGTTCCCTCTCTGTGAAAGACTAACTGGAGGACAGATACAGACCGTCCACAGTGTCTGACATGGAAGAAGTTCTCGCCACCACCAACTGTATCTGATGGACGAGGACGCCGAGGAGCGGCAAGAACTAGCCCACAGTCGCTGAAACTGGCCAAGGCGTTCCCGACAGAGACACAAGAAAACGCTGCCCTCTCTGTCTAAACAAAGCCAGACCCCCTTCAGCAGGCTCACGGAGGGCACGGACTCCACACAGGGAGGGACTGGACTTCTCTGCCCAGCGCCGTCCTGGGGTCTGCCCCCGTCCCCAGACTGCAGGCCTCACTGACTCCACCACGGCCACAGACCGTCCTTACAGAGGCTGAGGATTATTCCCGCGGAGTCCTTCACAACTACCAAGGAGCCAAGATACGGTGTTTTTCAACGTTTTTTTCTGCTTCCGTGTGAACTCACAGACCCAAAATACTCTTACGGGGCATATATCCCCTATGTTAGTGCATGGGGGAGCCTTAAAGGGAAGGGAGGAGACGGTTTGAAGAAGGAACCTGGGATTTCTGACATGACTGCCGGCTCTCCACCCCAACACAGGCCTACGCCGTCATTAAGACTCATTAGGTTAAAGCATTCAACAAAATGCCTTACTTAATGGCTTAGGATAAGAACTAAAGGGCAACACACAGAGTATCACTGAGAGGGAACTTCCAAACACAGTAAGTGCGGCTGCACTTGAGACTGACTACAGAAGAGTCCTCCCTGGGGGCTCCCGACTTCTCCATGTGGTACCGCTCTCTCTGCCCCAGTCACCAGACAGAGCACCAAACCAGACGCCCTGGGATCCAGGGGAAGGGGAAGAAGCCGCGTGACCCGCGCACCCTACCTAAGGCCTCCTCCACACCTGTGCCTGCGGACCTGCCTCTGCTGCGGCGAGCAGCAGTGGGGCCACCCCGCCCTCCTGCTCGGGGAAAGGCCTGCACCACGAACACACAGGCTTCACTGAGTAACCAGTTTCAGTAGAACATTATAACTCTAATTTGGTGAGAGCAAATGAGTGAGAATAGCCATTTCCTTATAAAAACATGGATCTCCAGCCCTGGCTGGTATGGCTCAGTGGACTGAGTGCCGGACTTCGAAGCAAAGGGTTGTCGGTTCAATTCCCAGTCAGGGCACATGCCTGGGTTGCAAGCCAGTCCCCAGTAAGGGGGGTGTGCGAGAGGCAGCCACACATGGATGTTTCTCTCCCTCCCTTTCTACCTACCTTCCCCTCTCTCTAAAAAAATAAGTAAATAAAATCTTTAAAAAAAAATAATAATAATAAAAACATAGATTTCCAGTCTTTACCTCTAAAGGCCTTCTTTTATTATACCATGCTCACATCTCTTTTATTTTGATAAATTTAACATTTACATTTGAAAGATATTCAAATTAACTGGAAAATATTGTTTCTGTTCATCAAAACAACGTGCAGCTCTCAAGCATGACAGCCACAACTGTGCCTAACTGAAATGTGGCGTGCCTGAGGGGAGCATCCGAGACCTTGCTCCCAGCATGTCGCCAGTCTGGCTCAGATAAACTCATACAAATTCTCCACAGGTTTTGAAAAATAAAAAATATAAGCTACAAACCAAAGCATCACAGGTTCGATTCCCAGTCAGGGCACATTCCTGGGTTGCAGGCCAGGTCCCCAGTGGGGACCACATGAGAAGCAACCACACATTGATGTTACTCTCTCTCTCTTTCTCCCTCCCCTCCCCTCTCTAATAAATAAATACATAAATAAATAAATAAATAAATAAAATCTTAAAAAAATAAATTAGAAAAAGAAAAAATAGAATAAATTTGATATGGTTGAGCTTCTAAAAAATATGCATCGTAAGACATACCTTTCTCTTCCTTCTTTTCGAGACCGCATCATCTGATTAATTTCCAGAGCCGTGAGCTTCTTTGCCACGCGATATTGCCAGGTGTAAAATGCTTCTTTTGAAGCTGCGATCACGTGGGTTTTGGTCATTGTAACAAATAATGGTACTATTGAAAAGAACACAGAGGCAATGGGTTATAGTTTCACAGAACCACAGACCGTGCTGCACAGGACTTCAGTGATCACTGAGTCCAACCCCTCATCCGACAGACAACATACCCTCCGCACAGTCTGGGAAAGCAGACAGGAGTCAAAAGCTTGTAAAACCAGACAAATATATTAATTCAGAATGGATCAAAGACCTAACTGTAGAGCTCTTAGGGGAAAAAAGCACAGTATTAAGTCTTGTGACTTTGGGATAGGTGATGGTTTCTTAAATATGACACCAAAAGCACAAGCAGGAAAAGAAAAAGTAGATAAAATGGACTTCATCAAAATCAAGCACATCTGTGCTTCAAAGGACACCATTGAAAACCTGGAAAGACAACCCACAAAAGGGAGAATGTATTTGCAAATCATACACATGGTAAGCAATTATATCTAGAATATGCAAAGAACTCTTATAACCCAGAGATAAATAGCCTGATTGAAAAAATGGGCAGCCCTGACTGGTGTGGCTCTGTTGGCTGGACACAGTCCCACAAAGCAGAAGGTCTCCAGTTCAGTTCCCGCTCAGGGCACATGCCTGAGTTATGGGTTCAGTCCTCGTCAGGGCCTGTAGGAGAGGCAATTGGTCCATGTTTCTCTCCTTCTCTTTCTCCCTCCCTTCCCCTCTCTCTAAAAATAAATAAATAAATACCTTTTTTAAAATAAATAAATAAATAAATAAATAAATAAGCAAGCAAAGGACCTGAATAGAAACGTCTGCAATGAAGATGTAAGAAATTAGGGAGGGAGGGAGGCAGGGGAGAGGAGAGCAACAGGGGGAATATTGGGACAGCTGTAATTGAACAACAATAAGAAAAATTAAATAAAAAAATTTTAAACATATAAAAATGACCACTAAGCAAATGAAAAGATGCTCAACAGCATTCGCCACCAGGCAAATGCCACCGTGAGATACCCCTTCACAGCCACTGCACTTGCTGGCATCGAGCGGTCGGACAAGGCCTGAGCACTGCAAGAACGTGGAGGACCAGGAGGAATGCGCGGTGGTGCACTCCGGATACGACCCAGCAGTTCCCCAAAACGCTAAACACAGAATCACCACAGGCCCCAGCAATTCCACTCTCAGGTACACCCAAGAGAAATAAAAACATATTGAAAATGTCCACACAAAAACTCATACACAAATGTTCCTAACAGCATTATTCATAACAACCGAAATGTAAAAACAGCCCAAATGTCCATTAAGTAATGAATGAATAAATAAAACCCCATTCTTTCCTTCCCTCCCCACCACCATTATTGCTTGGTTCCAGCATTTATCCTTCCCTCTGCTCTCATACGTCTTATATTTCCTCATTAATTTAGAAAAGAAAACTCTCTGGAGGTCTTTCCTAATTTAGGAATATATTTTCCTAAACACATAACTTTTTTTCATACGTTCTGCTTCTTAGAGAACATTTAGTTAAACTCCTACTACTATGCACCCTTTAGTGAAACAGACAGTCTCATCAAGCCATCCTACAGATACAGACATGGAGCGCTAAAGAAGTAAAATTACTTGTCCGAAGCCACAAACCAAATAAATGACATCAAATTAGACAAATTCACACAAAATATACGAACACAAAAAACTCCTTCATAAAAGATCATTTTAATACCTAATTTATGAATTCACGGTTAAAATGGTACAAAAATTACTCTTCTACTCACAAATATTATGAAAAGTCACCATTTATCAGGCCAGAACAAACAGTGTTAATTGCAGCTACCATTTATGCAGTTCTTGCCACAGGCCAAAGAAAAAATATTTAAGGCAGCCAGAGACGTAGAAACCGAACAAAGAGTTAGAAACTAGACGATGGTATGTTATCAGAATAGATGAACAACTTGGGGGTTCAAATTCAAGAATATTTAAATGCTAAATAACTCAGTAAGGTGAACCATATTTAAATTTTTTCCCTTACAAGTGTCGAGATTTTCCTGTTGTGTGCTACTTGTGTGCCGGCACCAGACTCTAGAGGGAGACAGAAGCCTTTCCTGCGGGAACTCGCCGTAGAAGGGCGGTCCCAGAGAGGGTGGCTAGGGTGGCACGGAGCCCGTGGCGAGCACCGCCTGGAGGAATGAGCAGGCCAGGCCCAGGCTCTGCTCCCCTGTCGCCACAGCCGCCGCCAACAGGACACTGCCCTCAGTAAACGCTGGGGCCTTTGTGAAAGTCTGAGTAAATTCTCTCCTGGAGACTCTGATGCCGGTGACTATTATGCCCTTAATGGGATGCAAAGTTCACAAACCATAACTGCCTTCTAATAAAATAATCATTTTTCCTGAGCATATAAAAGCATTTTTCTAATGTTTGCCTGCAATTACCAATTACACTCATGCCCCTTTATTTTGATGCTTTCTAAATAATTACAAGAGTTTATCATTAGCCTGATTAATTCAAAGTTAAAATGTTAATGGTTTGCAGTAAAAGTCAGACTTCTTGTATTCAAGTCACAGGCACTTGCTAACTCCGTGGCCTTAGATAAATTACATATTCTCTCTGAACCTTAGTTTACTTACTGTAAGTTAAAGATAGTAATAACAATACCAACCTTATAGAGCTGCTTTGAAGATTAAAATAAATAATAAATAAAAAGCATAGTACAATGCCTGGCATAGAGTAAATGCTTAATAATTTTAAAAGCCAATATTTATTGAACTTTCCCAAATTATGTCAGACATATATTTTAATGTAACTGGATCAATTATAATTGTATAGTTATAATGAATAACATATAATCATATTAATATATAATCAGTGTATCACATGTATGAACTCACAGCCGCTCTCTCAGGTAGACATTATCATCATCATCGTCCCCGTTTAGCAGACACAGAAACCTAAGGACGAAATGGCCGGATGACCTGCTGAAGCCGCGCAGCTGGAGAGCGGTGGAAGCCGGGCCACGCGCCCAGTTCACGGCTCCAGACCTCTGCCCGCAGCCACTGCGGCACACGGCCTGTCGCTAAGGGTTATTGAGCGTTAGGTGTGGTTGCTATCATTGTTTTTACTTGTATTGCCTACCTAGGTCTGCATAATAAAACCATGTACAGATCCTCTAGTCCATACAAAAAACAAAATACGAACACATCTGAAACAGCTGTCCTTTTGAATCAATATGGCAGTTAATTTCAGCAAAGTCACACAGGTAGCTAACCCTATGTCCACAAATCATGCCAGATCTGTACTAACAGATCTACCCACCCAGGCAGATTGAACTTTCCCAAGGCAGCCAGAGACGTAGACTAGGAACTAGTTCCTAGTTCCCTAGACCTAACCTTTAGGAAAAAGCTAGAAGAACAAATTTTAACAGAATACTTTAGGAAGAAAACACAACCAAGATAAAAATACTCCATATCCTACTCAGCTATTCAATATCTGGAAAGGGAAACTCAGTATCTATAACTATTGGAATAAATGTTTTAAGAAAGTAGTTATGATTTCATTAATTAAACTTTGTGATGCTAGGTGGTAGTAATTACTAGCCCAGAAAGGATTTAAAATGATTTTTTGAAATCCATGAATTTACATAAGTCAAACCTGCTTACGTGATAACCTGCAAACCTGCAATATTTAAGTGCGGAGGACTGAAGTGAATGTCTAATCCGTGATGTCCCCCCACTTTCCTACGCATTCACTTCTCAGCCCTTCGAGGAGCGGGCAAACCGAAGTCGCACTGAAGTGCTCTCACCAATGACCTCTCTCTGGACACACACAGGCTCAGTGCATGCGCTCCAGGGCCCCATCAGAAAGCTCCCACTTGCTCCCACCAACACGGCTGCGGCACAGGCACCTGGTACTTTTCCGGCACTTTCCAGGCCTTTATTCTTCTACAAATGCTGTTTCCTCTCCTTAAAATGTTGCCTGAAGAAATGCCTTTCAAAACCCAGCTTAAAGGCAACTTCCTCTAAGTAGGAATGACGTCCCTGACCTGCTCTGGCACTGCCATCCGCTCCCGCGGCACCTGGCACCACGCCGGGCACACAGCAGGGGGGACAGTCACTGTTCGGTGGACTGACCACGCTGTAGTCATTCATTTGGACAGCCTACAGGGAATGTCACTATTAACTCCTTCTCCCCCCCTGTATCCAGTACAGTGCCTGAAACAATATGTACTCATTGATGGTGCACTAGACAATATGCGTTCTGTTTTAAATGTTGTCACACATTCAATAGACAGTTGTCATGGTGCAAGTACAGTCCTAGGCAATGGGGGTACAGAAATGAACAGATGTAGATCTTCAAGAAGCTCAAAATCATATGGGGAAAAAAGACAAGAAAATGAACAGTCGCAGTGCAGAGTGAGTACTTTGAATAAAAACATACGAAAGGCGTTTGGGGGCTCAGAGGAAGAATCCCAAAAAGGGTACCTGACTATTACATGTACAACAGAGGCCCACAAGTGGAACTTCTATAATACCGCATACAGCTCTTTTTTAAAGCTTTTACAGAAATGGTCAGGAGGAAGACTAAGTGACAAAACAGAAATTACACTTTCTACAATAACATCAATTACGTACTTTTTTTCCTCTAGCCTCCAGTCCTCATGAAAATTTGGCACAGAAACTTAAAAAGGGAATTTTTACAGTATGAAAAAAAAATGTTGAGTCTTGGCTGAGTTTACTTTGGCAGTAAACCAATGAAAGGACTGTTTGTTAAAATTTCAGCCACAGAGACTGCAAAAAAAAAAGTTTCTAGACTCAAAACTACAAATAATCATGCCCTCAAGCATTTGCCATTATGAAGGTAAAGAATTTACATCTGGCTTTATTTAAAAATAGAACATCTGCAATCAAAATTACTTTGAAAATAACCCTATCATCATTATGATTCCATGTTAAAACTTGATATTAAAAGAAAAAGCATATAATCTGAAGACTGGCAGAATTCATTCCTCAGACTTTTGTTTGTAATAAACAGAAGATATTCATGTGACAAGTCTATAATAATTTTAAGCTAAGCCTTTTAACAAGGGACACTAACATATATATACACATATATACAAACATATAAACATACCTATGTAACAACAAATATAAGACATGAAGTTGAAAAGTTTCAAGATGTAAAAGTGAGTTCCCAAGACCCTAAACATAAAGTATAAAATCTTTGAGGTCAGTAAATGTATCTCAAATTTGCTTGTATTACCCAAAGCGCTCAGCAAAATAACACACTTAAAAGGCAGACACTACGTTTGACTGTTAAGGCTAAATGTGAAATCTGAAGGAAAAAAACTGGTTCTCAGATTCAGAACATACCAGTAATCCCATGGTTTTCAAGTTGTTGAAATCTAGTAATTTTTCTAATACCATATCCAATAACTACCATATACTCTGGAAGAAAACCTTACTTCTGGAAGTTGCAGTGAAAACACAAGAAAATATTTAGTAATGATTGTTAACAAAGTACTTAGAATAAGATTTGAAATTTCTTAATGATTACTTTCATAGCAATTGGTTACAGGGAATGGTACATCTGAAGTAACAAATACCTGAAAACAAAAAGGCAGGAAATTTTTTAAGTTGTCCCTATTAGTAGACATGTTTCACTGGAAAATTCTGGAAAAAGAAAACTCACTTTTATAAGCAGCTAAGTGTTTTTTATGGAAGAGAGGTATTTACAGGCAGTTTATTAATAATAAAAGTGGTCTAAGGGCAAAATTCTTTCTATAATCCTCAGTTTATTACATACTAATCATTATGTTGCATACCAACTCCTACACAATTATAGTTCCCCTTTAAAGCAAATGATGGCAGTGCAGCAGCTGTGAGATTATTAAGGATTTTAGATGGAATGACCTTATAATTGATTGTATTGACCAGGATATTACTGGTTAAGTCCGTGAAACAGAGCATTACTAATTGCACCATGATAAAAAGGCACACACTGGGCCCGGCAGATCAGGAAGTAGGCTCATCCTCATTTTGGAGAACACCATTCAAATTTAAAACTGCTGCTGTTAGGTTTTTTACTTAGTTTTACAAATAAAACTTGATGAAAGAGGAATAAGCATTGACATTTCCTCACCAATATCAATGTACTTGGGGTCCAAAGGCGTTCCGATAGAGTTGCAGAGAACCAGCACGTACTGTGAACAAACAACACAAATGGCATCAGAGCTCCTGCTGAAGCTCAACAAAGGGAACAGTGTTTGACACATCATGCCTGTCTCCCCTTCAAGTATCACTAACTGAGAAGTAACGGGCAAAATGAAGTCCAAGCATAACAGATAAGTATACTCTACAGCATTTAAAATAAAGGAATATGAATTAAAATTACACCAAGACTGATTTCTCCATAATGGAACACTGTGGTTATTAACAGGCCACTTAAGAAACACAAATACACAGGCTAATTTTCATTATTTATACTTCTAAATTTACTGATCAGCTATCACCTCAATATTCATTTTTATCCTATGATCAGCTATAAGAGCTAATTTAATGTGTTACCGTTGCACCAAATGTTTCCATCTCGTTCTCCTCCTTTGAAGCAATATATAAATAACATGAGAAATTCAGAAAATTTCAGTTAATTCAGAAAAAACATAATCCAACCTAGCGAAAATGACTTAAAATTCCCATTAGTTAACACACACCAAATAATGATCGACAACTCATACCAGGAAAACGTTCGCGCACACTGTACACTCTACAACAACTGTTTCGTTTTTTACTTTGACTCTTAAGTCACCTCTTCTGTATCTTGTACCAGGAAGAATAGTAAGAATACTATTTCACTTAGATGTTATCCTGATGAGAATGACTTCAAACTAACCAGCTCTCTATGTACTATTACATACCAACTTTGTCTTTCTTTTCCCAGCATCTCAAGTAAAACTTGTTTAATTTCATAAACATAATCTAAACAACAAAAATTATACTAACACATCATAATTTACTCTTCCACTACTTAAAATGAGCTTACTTACTGCCATGAAATACCACAAGTAACTTGTATTTGTAAATTCACTTACCATGTACATGCTCACAGACTCAAATAGTCCATGAGGCTTCTTACCAAAAACACACGTCTCCCCTAACTTCCCAGTTCTTGCTCCCTGGAGTAATTAGTAATTATATACTTTCAGCTTCTTAAACTCATCCTTTGGATGTTCGCCTCCACAAACCTAAGTGCTAACACATTTATGACAGTCCTCTTGTTTCACTTTGATTGGGATACTGCCCACTGACTCCTCACCATCACAGACACCTGTCTCGTGTGGCATGGTTCCCACCACGCAGGAACACACTTCCATCCTCCCATTCCCCACTTATAAGTGTGTTAGGTTGGAATTCCGGGTTTAATAAGTTTACGATACTTCACCTAAGTTTTTTAACTAAAAAACCCAGTGAGCACATCATTCTGACCATGTAAATACTACTCACCGCTGAGTATATCGTGATCTGTCCTCCTTGTGAGCACTTTGCTTTCCCTATAGCTGGTCATTGTCTTTATTTTTTTCTCTTTGCCTAGTTTTCTCTAATTATTACTAACTCAGGTCCCCAATTACCTCCCAGGTACGCACGTCGCCTCTCAGGGGTTCAGCTACATTACAAATTCTACCGATCTCATCCTGAACTTCCCCCGGAATCGTGGGGCCTGCTGCCACGGGACGCCTCCCTGGGCACACCGCACAGCTGCCCGCTGGGGCCGCTCTTCGCCACTGTTCTCGGGTCCTCCTGCTTCTTCCCCTTTCTTGGTTCATTCCTCATTTTGGCAGACCACATCCTGAAGTAGCTTTCTAAGATCAGGAAGCTTGCAGGGTAAAGTTCTGGTGAGCTCATACATCTAAACATGTCTGTATTTTACCTTCATTTTAAGTAATACTTCACTTAAGACATGGAATTCAAGATGGGAGATCATTTTCCCTCAGAATTTTGAAAGCAATTCTCCAAAGTATTCCTGTTGACAAATTGAATGCCAGTATGTTACCTGATCCTACAAAACATGTTTTTCCTCTTAGAAAGTTTGCAGGATCTTTTTATTCCCAGTATTCTGAAATATCCCAATGATGTGACTTGATACGGAAATATTTCTGTTCAAGGAAATTTTCTTGAATTTCTCTCAGAATTATTAGCCTCCATTACGCCTGCCCTCTCTTTTTAGAGCTATTATTCAAATGCTAACCTTCCGGACCAGTAGTCTAGTTTTCTTACATTTTCACTTCCATTCTCTATTTCCTCATCTCTTTGCTCTACTTTTCCTTCATTTTCTCTTCTAACGCTTCTTTCAAGTTTCTCATTGTTGTTATCATATCTGCGATTTCCAAAAGCTCCTTTCTTATAGTACACCTTCCTTGCTTTATGGATGTAATTTCTCTTAATTCTCTGGAGATGCCTGAAATGACTCTGGTGAAGTGTTCTTTCCGCATAGGCTCTGCTTCCTCCCAGTTCCGTTCTTCTTGTGTTTATTTTCGCGTTAAATCAGATGATTTCCTTAAACCTGATGACCCCTGTCTGTGTGCTTACATGTAAGGAGGTGACACTAAAAAGCTGTTTGGAATCTGTGTGTTTACGGGTTAGCCTCATCGACTCTCGTCCTCAGAGTAAGGTGACTGGGCAGGGACATCTCCTTGGGGACTCCCAGTGGGGCTACTTTTGGAGGTCTTTTCTCTGGAGCTGGTCTGATTCTCCTTAGAGAACTCTTCCAACATCCTGCATTCTGGGGACCAAGTGGGAAAAGACGACGAGGGGAGACAGGGCGGTGCACTCGTGATGTGACTGCCTGCTTGTCAGCAGGCTCCCGCCCCCTCACCTGCACCTGGCGCCCTTCCACCCTTCCGCGCAGAGACTCCATCCTCTCTGACGGGTAGGCCCCGTCTCTCCATGCGCCGAAGGGCAGCTGCCCATGGCCTCAGTGGGGGAAGGGATCTAGAAACTGCTTCTTTACATGCTTTTTTTTTTTTAAGTTTTCTCCTTCCTGCGCACGCAGTCTCTGGGACTTCCAAAGTAATGTTCTGTCTGTTTCTTTCTCCCACCTGGTGCCATCGAGTGCTGTGTCCCTTCGGGATTCTGCAGCGGAAACTGGTTGCTTCTTTGCTTTCTCCTCTGATGAGGATTCCAAGTTCTTAGGGCTGCTAAGGCGATTACCACCAATCCACCTCTTCTCTGACCTCCAGAACTATGTTGCCATTTCCTCTCCCTTTCTGGTCCCTGTGGGCTTATGGTTTCTTTAAAAACACCTTGTTGTGGTGAGGTTCAGGAGAAAACAGCCAAATGTACTGTTCAAATGGCCCCTTTAAACCAAAAACTCTGTACTTTTAAATGGGATAAAATAATTTAAAACACAGCCAAAGACAGCAGCAGTCCTTAGAAAAATTTGCATGTTTCTGCAAATATTTAAACTGTCAGTATAACTTTTTAACAGGCATTATTTGTGTTTTTTTATTTTGTGCCACAAGACAATGATTTTCAAATCAATATAACTCTAAATAAAAGTATATTTCTCCATGTCAAAGCTACCCAAAGCGTTACAGTGGTCACTGTTACATTTCTTCAGCATTTATACTAGACATCTGGATATTCGTTTTTGCTCATGAAATTTTAACTTGGAAAAGGACTGTGGTACTTTAAATACATTTCAGAGACAAAGAGCTTCAGTACCAAAGCAGTCGATACAAAATGTCAGTGGTCCAGCTGATCGGGGAAGAACATCAAGGGACACAGAGCCAATGGGGCCGTGTAATTTTTCCAAAACAGAGGCCCAGCCTGACACGACCGGCAGACCAGGTACCCCCGTCCCTGCCAAACAGAGCCCGAGCTTGAGAAGGGGGGTCACAAGAGCCCAATTCTGCCAACAGGTGGCCCCATCTGAGTTTTATGATATCAAGGAACCTACCTGAGGGTGATTTTCATCAGCTTTCGTAGCCAGAATGCAGAAATCTCCACAGGTTGTAATAGAAATGAGACTCTTCACATATTTAATATATTTCTCATTGTTTTTTGTGTCCCAAAATATAACGCAGTACTCTGGACGATCGGGTCTGGTATAAGCATAAACTATAGTATTTGAGCAATAACCCCACTAAGAAAAAATCAAAGGAAGAAAGGGAGGGAGCAGGGGGAGGGAAGAAGGGAAAGAAAACAGAAAAAGGGAAAAAGGACATTTAATACTGGAAAAGAAAAACTATATTATCATATTTTTACTCTAGAAATACTGCAGATTTGTGGTTTATCAGTTCTGACAAAATATATTCTTCAGAAATGGATGACAGACTGGACATTCACCTTAATACCTTCTCTCATTAAAATAACAAAAAATCTAAGAGTAATAGAGATAGTTACAAAGTATGTACTGCAAAAATAAATTAGTTTAACTTCCCTTATTTTAATTTGTAAGATTCAAGCTTCAGCGGCGAAGATTTCAGGTTTCTCTACGGTCAGTAAGAGCTGCCAGGGGGGCAACAGGAAGGGGGCCCCCCCAGGTCCCATTCTGCTCCCCAAGCCTCACTCAAAACCAGATGCTTCGCCTCCCCCCACCGCCCCGCCCCACACCCCCATTTCTAACACTTGTTCTATCAGAGTAGCATGTGCACAGAGTTTACAGTGAAGTAAGTCCACGTGGGTTGTTTAAGACAAAAACAAAAGGCAGGCCCGCCCTCATTCCCCCCAGGGCGGCCGTTTACAGCTCTGTTAGCCTGATGGTTGGGGTTTATCTCCACGTCACACAGGTGCTGATTCCAGAACTCGGATGCTTAGAGCTCCCCTTCCTGCAGACGCACCCAGTGTACTCATGAAATTCTGAACAAATCACCATTCAGAGCCGACACTATTACGACTGTGTTTACTATTCTAAGCTAAGCCGTGTTTACTTTTTATACCGGGATTACTCTAAAAATTTTTTTTTATTTTAAAATAATTTTAGATTTCTACAAAAGTTACAAAGAAAGTATGCAGCTCCTTATACTCCTCTCCCTTGGCCCCTACTGTTAACATGTTCCAGCACCACGGCGCACGTGTGAGAACTAAGAACCAACACTGTGAAGCACTATGCAGTTTCATCGGTTTCCCCCACTGTCCCTGTTCTCTTCCGAAACCCTACTGAGGGTGCACTGGGTCATTCTGCCCCCTTAGCTTCCCCAGCCGGGATGGGTTCTCTGTCTTTCCTGGTTTTTGACGGCCTTGACAGTTTTGAGATGTACTGGTCAGATATTCTGTAGAACGAACTTCAGTGTGGGTTTATCTGATGTCTTTCCCACGCTCACATTAGGATCGTCAGCTTCTAGGAAGACAATCGCAGAAGTGAAGAGCTCTCCTGCTGTGTCACACACATCACCGGGCACGTGCTGTCCGTGCGACGTCACCTCGGCCACCTGGACGAGGCAGTGTCTGCCAGATTCCTCCACTGTCAAGTAACTTTCTTCTATTTCCCTTTTCGTCCTTACTCTTTGGAAGTGAGTCATTAAACACAACCCACACTCAAACTGGGGCAGGGGGGCAACTACACTCCACCTGAAGCGGGTGCTGCCTAAGTAAATTCAAATACTTTGTTAGGGAAGATTTGTTTCATCTCCTCCATTTACTTGTTAAAATTATTTACTTATACCAGTGTGTACCCCTGGGCATTTGTTTTATAATTTGGGTTACAACCCAATGTTACTTCATTCACTTTGTTGCTCAAATCAATCCACCTTTGGCCATTGGGAGCTCTTTCTGGTGGCCCCTGTGTCTCCTGGGTAGGTCGCCATGCTTTGTCTTTTGAGCGCTTCCTACTTTCTGACACTGGAAGATGTTCCAGGCTCATCCTGCGCTTTCCCCACACTAGTCCTAGAATCAGCCATTTCTCTAAGGCCCTTTAAAAACTAGATATACAAGCTTTTTAATAGCAAACACTCTTAGTAGTCTATTGGCTCAATCGTGTACTTCAGAACTTGTTTTGGATGAAACATTAAATTTAAGATAAAATAAAATGCTCATTACTTATTATGCTGCTTATTCTCATTTTCCCTCTGATCCATCCTCTGCCCTTCTCCACCCAGCTTCGTGCCCTGGAGGCTGACTTCTATGAACGGCATTCCCCGGGCCACCTTGCCTCCTGGTTTGGCCAACAGAAGACAGCAGCAGGTGGAGACAGGGCGGAAGCATTTGCTCCTCCGGGTTGTCTCTGCCCAGCCAGGGGCGACTGGCTGTGCTCCTGCGGGGCGGCCCCTCCTGCACAGCCGCGGCCCCAGTGGGTTCCAGGAGCAACACCTCCTCACGTGCCCACTGTTGCTAGTCTCCAAGTGCTCACTCAGTGTGCATCCCTTACCAGTCCCCTAACCCTGCCCACACGCCTGTAACAAAAACCCTTCCCCAGTCTCTCTCAAGGACGCCTGTGAATGCGCCACCTGTTTGCAGCTGGGGCCCTGACTGTTGGAGTAATGGTGCTCATTACACTGACTATCCTAGAAAAGCTTCCGAGTTCTAAGGCCTTCACACTGAAAGCCTCCTTTCAGCTGGCTTCTAAGCGAGGCCGTGAATAGATGCAAGAAACATAATTATACTTGGAGCTATAACAAAATTATTTAGTTAAAAAAATAGCTTTTTTTAATAACTGCTCATAATACTCACCTTATAATCAGGTCGAATGTTTGCAAAGTATATAAAGTAATCAACAGCTAGTGCGATTTTCAGCCCGCCTCCTTCCCAAGACAGTGCGGAGATCTGCTTTCCAGAAACCTTCAACGTGCCTAGAGACTGGGAAAATAGTTATATTTAACCTGAAGTGTCAAAGTTCAATAAAATACAAATTATCACCTGACAGGGATCAAAACTGGTCTGAAAATTATTCTGTGAAAGGTGGCTAGTCACTTCAAAATCATTTCCTTGAATTTTTATCATGAACACTACACCTATGATAGTAGAAATTTACAAACTACAGTCAAAGAACTCGGTATCACATTTCATCAAATCTAAGGTGTCAAAGATTTAAACGTGCACCTCTATTTTTATGTAAACTAAGGAAAGAAAACCACACTGCTAGTTAAAATAGGACAACTCTGACTACAAGATGCATCCTAAGTTTAGAATCATAACGAACTGTGTGCTTCTTAGAATCAAGGAATTACTGTAATGGTATATCCACTCCTTAAGTCTCGCCTCTCTCCATCGCCCACCGCCAGCCAGGCCCCAGTCCCGCCGCCCCCACTCCCGTCCATCCTCTGCTCCACCTGCCTGCTCCCTTCAGGGAACTGGGGGAAGAGCCTCCCAGCCGCAATACTCACCTTCCCCCTCCTTCCGCGTTCTCACCCCGTGCCCCCAAATTCAACCTCCCCTCCACTGTCGTAACTATCATTCTGGACCACAGATCTGATCACATCCTACCCCGCTTTTTTAAATGTTTCATAATTTCGAAGACCAACAACTGCTCCCTGCCACCACATTCTCTAGCACAGCGTACGATGCCTTTTCCCTTCGGAGAGGAAGTTACGCTCTGGCTCAGTGCCCCGCCGTGTGGCCGTAATTACTGGGTTCTCGCTCACGCTCACGAGGGAAGGGCTGTGCCTCCACACCTTCGGCTCATACAGTACGAGCCACAGACCTACCTAAAATCCTCCTTTCCCTTTCCCCCACCCCCTGCTACTATCCTTCAGCCTCCTGCAGCACCTCCACTCATCCTTCCAGATGCAACTCACACAGGGTTTCCTGCCGTCTCTCCTCCCCCCATGGTCCCGGAGAACTTAGACAGTGAGCCGCCTGAGAGCACCAAGTCTCTCATGTTCACATTCATCTCCCGGTCCCTTAATGGACTGCTTGGTAAACAGGTACTCAATATTACTTATTAAGTAAATAAATGTACAGTAAATTCAAGTTAATTTCTTCTAACACAGTACATGTTATGGCTAAATTAGTGAGTAAAAAAATGAACATATAGACATTTTAAAATGTGGCCAGAAAAAGAAAACATTTTAAATCTATGCTTATTTGATAAAGCAGTATCATGCCAAGAATTTGAATAAATTATACTGGTATCCCTTGTTGTTAAGCAGATATGCTATGAAGTCAAATTTAATGTATGAAATTTTTAAACTTCACCTGCTGGGGAAACGACTGGGGAAAAAAGCTTGAACCTGGGAGGGTCCCCTCTATGTGCCCTGCTGCCTGCGTGAGACCACAGGGCACAGGCAGACCCTCAGTCACAACAGCCCTCCTAGCATACAGGGGCTGGGGTGCGGAGGAGGGGCAGGGAGGGCCCTGGGGGAAGGAGAATGAGGCTGCCTCCTCCCCTTGCAGAGCAGCCAGCAGGAGACCAGGCAGCGAGAAGAACCTGACCTTGGGAAGCACTCACTCAGCGCTGTGCTGGGCATCCTCTCGTTATCTCCCTCTATTTTTACAACAGCACCATGAGGCAGTACCTTTATTTCAGAAAATAAGTAAACTGAGACTCGAGGGTTAAAAAACTCCTCTAAGTGGAACCTCACTGGGGAAACAGAGTCCAAACTGTATCCAAACCCACGCTGCTACCCGCTCCGAGAGCTGAGACCACAAGTCAACCCTGGAAGACCCAGCCTCTCAGAATAGAAAACAAATTCTCCCCTGCAGTTATCCTTATGTATAAATCTTTTGATAGCTTCCTTCCAAGTTATCTTCCCTATCTTAATAAAAAAAATTCCAAAAATAAATCTCCTATATATTCATGCATTCAAAAAATATTAAGCAACTAATACACCCAGAGGAACTATGCTAGATACTTTCAATTACAACTATTGCAAAATCCACTCACACTTTTCAGTTTCACACATAATACACTGTTCTGCAAGATAACGCAGATAGGACTAAGAATCCATGTTTCTCTACTTGGAAAAGGCTGAACTAACAAAATAAGCAGTTAAAACAACTTAATGATAAATAAGCTGATGGCAATGAACGAAAATAACCGATAAAGAATGGCAATTAAAAGAAAGGCTAGAAACATCAAAATAAACATCAGGTTCTTAATTATTTAGGAACCTTGAGAACTATGCTTCTGGTTTTCCTTGGCGTACACGTCTATCAGAAACACATTAACTGACTATATATGGGCAGCACCCAGTCTCTACAGCAGAGTTCACTGGGTCACTTTAAGATACAGATTCAAAAGTATCAGCTGACATCATCTCTTATTCTTACACAAATTATTAAAACATGTAAAAATGTTGATATTACAGTATTAAAATAACTGGTGAAGGCTTTGTATAGCAAAAATACACACTTTTGAAGTCTATGGTAAATTTATAAAAACCAACAGGATATCCCAAAGGGACTGAATATATTCCAAAGTTAGAAAATAAAACGTTAAAAATTTATTAAGCTTAGTTACTTACTAATAAGTTCTCATTTTCTAAATTCTTTAAAATGCATAATATATTCATTGTCTTATTTGATATTTTCCATCACATCAAGAAATTTCTCATTAAAAACTGAATTTAGAAGTAACACTACTGAAAAGGCTAACATATGCATTTATGAAAACAATGCTTATGTTTTCACATTGAGTCACCTAAGATTAATTATTAAGGCAGATTTTCTTAAATTATTGATTATTCCACAACAAATTAAAACTATTAGAAGTTTGGGGGAAGGACAAACAGATATATGCATTCAATATCTATGCACATCTAATATATTACATCAAAAATAAAAATAATTAATCTGAAACAGCTGAATTACACCAAACACAACTCATAAACCAGCTATGAAAACAGATGCATATTCAGATCAAAGAGAAAATCCTCTAAATAACTATTCCATAGTGATATTCTTAGGTGAGACATCTGGTTTTCTAAATGTACAGACCATAAAATAAATCCCACAAAATACAACTATGGAGACTCGTGACGAGGTTCACTCAAAACCATACACCCGATAGTTCTACTGAAGTTGTCCCTTCTAAAAGATGTGAAAAGCGTGTGCCTTTTCCTCCATTCCCTCTTCCCCACCCGACGGGCTGCGTGTTCAAGCGGAAAGAGAGAAGACGCGATCTCTGCGGCACGCACCTCGCCAAAGGGCGTGTAGAACTGCACGATGTTGGCGTCGCCCTCCTGGGCGGCGGCCCGCTGGGAGCCCGCCACAGCCAGCACGCTGCCCGTGTGGTTCCACTGGATGCTCACGACGCACATGTTGGTGTCGATCAAAACGGGATCTAGTCGAAAAGAAAATGAGGCGATCGCAGTAAAACACTTAGCCTGGAGAACTTTATAACCCCCAGGGCAATCTTTAAATACGTTCTTAACGCTCCACACTGAAGGTGTTTTGAAAACCACACACTCTGGTCATTCTCGTGTCTCATTATCTGGCACCTCCCGTTGTCGAAACAAATGGCGAGGCAGGGGCAGTCGGGCTCCACGTAGCCTTCCGTGCCGTGGTACCACTGGATCCCCGCGATGCTGATCGCTCCCGTGACGTTCACCAAACAGTTCAGCTTCATCTTCATCTGAGTAAAAGCAGTCAGGTTACACTCTATGTTTTAAAACAGATCAGTAAGAACAGAGTACTGTATAGAAAAAAAACACAGAAAATAGGACTTAAAAATCTGGTTTCAAATGCAAGCTCCATTCCTTACTGGTTTACCAACCCTGGACAAATCACTTCCCCTGCATTTCAGTGCTCTGAATGTGCAAAGGGGGGTTGAAAACCCCAGAGTTTTTATGAGACTGTGGAAACAGCAAAGTGCCATGAAAAGCTGGCTCCCGTCACTCCCATTAGAGAGGGCATCGAGGCCAAGTCCTGGCGCTGACTGAGAAGAGAAGTGCCCGCACAATCGGACCCATCACAGCTGACTCCTGCAAAGTCAGAGCCTTTCTCGAGATCATGCTCCCTGAGCCTATTCATTTCACCTTCTCTACAGGCCCTGATTTTTGTCCCTTGCTGTTTACGTCTTCCATTCTCTCACAGACAACTTTTAGTGGCTTGCTACAAAGACACATGTGGAACCTCATGTGAGCTCTGGCTTCAGGGATGAGCAGACACAGGATTAAACTGCACCCCGTCCCGCTCACCCGCCCTCAGCTCCGGCACACAGAAACCGGGTTCTGTCCAGCCACCAGAAACCTGGAACTAAAGCATTAATGTACCTTCAGCTACCCAGAAGATTTTTTAATTAAAAAAACTCGTAGACAATTTAAACCTGAATTGAAGACTTTCTTTTTTTTTTAACAATAGCCATTTTTTAAAGATTTTATTTATTTTTAGAGAGGGAAGGGAGGGAGATAGAGAGAGAGAGAGAAACATCAATGTGTGGTTGCTGGAGGTTGTGGCCTGCAACCCAGGCATGTACCCTGGCTGGGAATCGAACCTGCGACACTTTGGTTCGCAGCCCGCGCTCAATCCACTGAGCTACGCCAGCCAGGGAAGACTTTCTTGATTACACAAACCATCATAAGGAAATGTGTACATGTGTACAAATGATATATAAAATAATCGCATTAAAATATGTAAATAAAACTAATGAATATATGTATGTATACTTACTATAAAATTCCCTTGACTGTCATAAATGTGTATTTCTCCATTTGCCATTCCAAAAAGTAAGACTTTACTATCTGCGGACCATGCTACATGCCATAACTGTACACCCTTCAGGTCTTTTCCCCAAATGCGATTCCCTAAAACAGAACATGCAACAGAGTTATTTCATTAAAAGTTCAAGGTTATGATTCTCCACAAACTGCTCTAAAAATCTTTGTTTTTCTAAAGAGGATTCACACGTTTGTTCAGTGTATTCGGTCAGTAAATACTGGAGCAACCACTATGTGCTCAATCGCCTAACAAACATTTAAAACAGCAGCTGTTTCCAACCTTCTCCCTTCCCTTCCAAACTCTGGCCCAGGACCAGATTAGTAGACGAATTCATCTTCTACTTTGGAAAGAAAATAAAAGCTTTCAAAAAAAGGAATCCTTCATTCCCACTTTCAAACATCCAGAACGTAATTCACATTTACCCCTTTCTGCTGTGCCCCCCGGTACAAGGAAAAAAGGTATGTGCCCAAGCACACCCACCTAAAGCTAACCCTCCACCTGTTCTCGGCTCTAACCCCTTCGCAGCTTTGCAAAGATCTCCCTCTGTGGACAACTCACGTCTTCTCTTTCTCTTGAAACACTTCTCTCCAGGCCCTTTCTCGTAAGCATTTAAACACAGTCAGATCTGTTCCTCTTCAAAACTACCATCTCCAATAAAAACAAACAAACAAACAAACAAAAAACCCTTCTTCAAACCTAGATTCCCCTCTAGCCACCGTCCTATTTCTACCACCCCTTTCCCAGCCAAAGCTCGTGAAGGAGTTATCCACACCTGTAGTGTCCGCTTCCTCACCTGCAACTCAACCCTCAACCCAGGGCAATCTGGCTGCTGCCCCACAACTTCACGGCAACTGCCTTCACTCAGGTCACCAACGGCCTGTTGCTAAATCCAAGGATACTTTTCTTTCCACCACCCCTCCCTCCCTTCCGTCCTTCCTTCCTTGCTTCCTCCCTCCCTTCCTCCCTCCCTCCCTTCCTCCCTGGTTTCTAAAAGTCCATGTACTCCTTTGTCTCCAAGTCTTCTACTTTTCAGTATCCTTTATGAAATTCTCTTCTTCTGCCATCCATTAAATGACGCTGGTTCTTAGTTCACAGACGGCCCTTAGGTTTTTCATCTATTCCAATGGTTCAAATTACCCTCCATATGCTGGTGATTCCCAAAATTACGCCTTCAGCCCAGATATTTCTGAAATGCAGACATACATGTCTGTGGTCGAGACATATTGACTTGGGAGTCCCACAGAATGACAAAATCAATGTGTCCAAAACCAGTCTTTCTCCCACAGCCCTTATTTCAATGAAAGGCACCACCACCCATCCAGCCACCAAAGCTGAACACCTGGATATCACCCTAGACACTTCCAACCCAGTCAATAATAACGTCTTACCTATTCTACCTCCTAAGCATCTCTGCAGTGTCCGGTCACTGCCTCCTCCTTGCCATCACCCTGGGCAGCTGCATCCACCATCACCTCTCACCTGAATTACTAGAATAATTTCCTAAGTGGAATTTGAAAAACATCGTTTCTCATGCTCAGCTCACACGCTCCTTTTCTTTCCTTTCTCCATGCTTCATATTTCAGGTTTCTCATATGTCAGTATTTCTCACATCTCAGTCACAGAGTTGTTTCCAGAGAACAAACCTGATCCCACCGTTCCCACTCTTAAAACCTCCCATTGGGTTCCCAATGCTCCTAGAGGTAAATCCAAACTCATCTTCTAACTTACAATCTTCACGGTATGGCCTCTGCCAATCACTCTAATTTCATCACATACAACTCTTCTCCCTAGTATTATACTATACTGATTCTCAAAATATTTTCCATTCCCCAAATGTGGCTACGTTCAAACCCTCTAGACCTCCTCAAATGCTATTGCTTTGGCCTAGGACACTCTACATATCAATCTTCCTTGCGGTTAATGCCTCATCATAGACATCACCTCCTCCAGGATGCCCTCCCTGATCCCTCCAAATCTGGGTTCAAAACATACTTCTTCTTCAAGTTGCTGTATTCTCCCTGTCTTATTAGCACTTAGCACAAGCACTGTAATGGTTAGTTATCCACCTCTCCTGATCTAAATCTGCACTAACTCCTCTGTTGTACCTGGCACCATAGCTATAGCTGTGATTTTGTAGGCTCTCAGAAACATTTGTGAAATACACAAAGTTCTACACACACAAGAAATTTTAAAACCAGAAAAATGAAAATGACTTAAAAACAAACTATTTCTCTATAGACAGTTTCTTATTAAAAGAAAGGTAGAGACTTTCAGAAGCCCAGGGTTATCTATGAACTAGAATTTGAGAGATATAGTTTCTCATGCTCAGCTCTATTAAAACATGACTGGTCATTGCACAATATATAAAATAGCAAATCATTATGTTGCCCACCTGAAACTAATGTCATATGTTAATTATATCAACTTTAAAAAGTAACCGGAAATTATTATATATCTATGTTCTTTCTGAAATTAAAATCCATATAGTTGTCATACAGTGTGACAAGTACAAAGATAAGTTATATAATTAGGCAGACATATTTAAAACAATCCTGAACAATTAATTAATTCACTTTTTTTGAGTGCCACTGTAAGAAACTTTTTTACTTGAACATACTTAAAAATAAATGATTCTTGAATGTCATCAAATTATATACCAACTGTTTTCTCGTTTTATGTTTATTTTTCTGTCCGCAGACTAACAGAAAATCAGTCTAACCCTCCAAAGACGGCAAGGTCGGCTAACTCTGGACCCCAGCCCCGGGTGCTGGGAGGCGCAGGCAGGCTCACCGTCCACGGAGCCCACGATCACTGCGCCGTCCTCGTACACGATGCAGATCTTCTGGCCGTCGGCCGTCCAGCTCATGCTCCGAACCACTGACTTATTCCTGTTGTTGATCATTTCCTCATACCAAGACCCTGTTTTCACAAAAGGAAAAAAATTACAAGTAAAACTTCCAAGGCTATTAAGTGGTACTTAGATTTTAAAACTTTCCATGAAATAGAATGTGAAGCAAATAACTGCAAAGCTAACCCTAACCCTAACCCTTCAAATCCAACACAAACAAGTGAAAAATTAACTTAGGCCTCGACTAATAATTGCTTCAAAGATCATCACAGAAAACACAATAAATTCCCATCCTTTTTCTTCTCGCTCTCTGTTTATTCCTTTCAGTCAATTAAAAAATAAAACTTCATTTGCTTTTCAAGGGCCAAAACAATGGATTTTCTCAAGGCCTAACTTTTCCCACTTGAACACACTTCAGGTAATAACCAAGCAAAAGCAGAACAGCCACAATAACTCTGCAAGGGTGCATAAACTCTCCAATGATTAATTACAAGCATATGAAACATAAGCACACTAGGTAAAAACTCTGAACTACCTGAAAAACATTTTACACAGGTTATATCACGTATCACATCACCAATGCTGAATGACAAAAATATTCCCGTGCACGGGTTTGGAGTAAGATGTGAATTGTCTCAAGGTATAATCAGATATGAGGCAAATCACAAGTCTATTCTGTTTTGTTCGTGGTTTTAAAAGGCTTTACCGCACTGGGTACAGGGAACCCCGGCCACAGCCAAACAACAAGTCAGAGCAGGGCGTCACCAGAGCCAGGTCAGAGGCCCGGAGAACGCACCCTGGAAAAAGACCAAGTTTATCCTAACCTCCTGTACGTTCACACTCCACTCCCTACACACACGCACACACACACACACTTCTTAAAAATTGATAAGTTCAGGTACTTAAGTTAAAAAATGGCATATATTTTTTAACTGAGAATTTTAAAATGGTATACCCTGAACATTTTCAAAACAACACACATGAAGGAGGGTACCCTTTTCATGCACAGATGACGGCTACAGGCCTCAACAGAACACATGTTACAAGGGGTTTGGTTTTGTGAGGGTTTCTTTGGCAACAGTGATGCACCTAAATTAATCCTTCTCTTACTCTCTCTTGTGGGCAAAAGGCACAAATTGTGAGCCAGTCATCAGAGCTGACATAAAATCTGTGTCTGTGAAAGAAAAGGAAGCTAACTGATTTAATAAAGGAAATAAATGCCTTTGACTTCTTAATAAACACGTTGTTATCTACTGAACCAACTCTAGTCACTGACCACATGGACACTAACTCTTACTGGAAACCTGGAGAAACAGCAGCTACCTCCAGCAGAAATTATTCTGTAAGAGTCTAACTTAACTTGGGAGATAACCAACAGTTACCTAATTCACTTTCCCAACACAAGGTCACAGTTCAGAAGGGAGCAATAAATGCAGAAATGCCGCCCCGTGCAGGCAGGATGAACTCCTGCTGCTGGTGAGAGGGGCTCTATCTCACAGACGTTCCTCCCCCACTCCAGCTCTGCAGTCCACACTCCACCCTGTGAGAAGACTCAGTGAGCTCCCCGACACACCTTTGTAAAACATCCAAACAATGATGAGCCCATTCTGATCGCTGGTAGTCAGCTTTTGATACTGCTCATTCCATGTGACAACTTGAACAGAACCTAAAAAAAATGAAATCATTTAGAAGTTGTAACTAATTTCACACATATTTTTATGACAAACACCAAGAGCATGTTAAAATTAATATGGTTCTTGTCCAGCTTACCCATCTTTAATATAGTCAAAAATATTCATAGGATACATTTAATAGTATCACTCATTTTTTAGAATGATGCATAATATTATTTTTAATTTCTGTTCCTATTTCACACCAACAAAGCACCTATTATGGCCAGCTGCAACATCTGCCACACAGCTGATGACAAAACCAAATGTACGATTTCCTGAACTGGCCAGGCCCCCAGGGCTCTAATGCCCAAAGGACATCACACTAAGTATTCGGTTGCTTTTTCGGGGGGTTTAGGGGTTGTTTGTTCGTGGTCATGTGCTCTGATCTCTCTCCACCCTCCCCCTCCCTTGTTTTCCATTCTGCTGGTAACACACTCTTGAGCATATCTTAAACCTCTGGGTTATATGACAAATTTGTTTTATTTTATTTTATTTAGTTTTTGAAATCTCTAAGTACTTTAGTGTATATTTCTTAAGAATAAGAACATTCTCTTTCATAACCACATTACAACTTCAGAAATTTAACAGATACAATATTATTCTATAGCCCACAATCCACATTCAAATTTTATCAATCATCTAAATAGTATCCTTAATAGATACTTGTTTTTCATTCCAAGATAAGATTGATAAATCTCATCTAAGATCCAATCTAAGATTACATAGTGCATCAGTTGTGACATCTCTTTAGTCTACTTTAATCTGGAGCCACAGGACAAACTGTCAAAAAGATTATACCCTATCCATAGACAGATATGGTATTTTCTAACATATAAAATAACAGCTCCTTTCTTCAGATTTATTGAGGATGGTGTTTAATCATGTAATGTAAAAGTTGTTGAATGACTCTAGACTATGTGATGGCTCAATAGAAATTATTACTTTAGCCCCAGCTGGTGAGACTCAGTTATTGAGTGCCAGCCTGTGAACCAAAGGGTCGCTGGTTTGATTCCCAGTCAGGGCACATGCCTGGCTTGCGGGCCAGATCCCCAGAAGGGGGCGCATGAGAGGCAACCACACATTGATGTTTCTCTCCCTCTATTTTTCCCTCCCTTCTCTTCTCTCTAAAAATAAATAAATAAAATCTTCTTTAAAAAAAGAAATGATCGCTTTAAATAGTACCATTATTGAAAATGATAATTCTGCAGTATATGGTTTCTAAATGCCTAAAGATGAAATATGATTTAAAAAGTACATGCCTTACCACTATGACCTTGGAACAACTATAATAGCGTAATCAATAAAATATGATTTTTAAAAATGTATATATGAAAAATCAATCCACAGATAAAACACACAGGGTGGCACACAGACAGTTAAAGAACAGACAGCAATGCCATCAAGTTTGACATTCCACCTGCAGAAGCTGGGAAGGCAAAGGGGGCAGGCAGTGGGGAGTGAAGGGAGGGACAAGGGCAGGAGGTCCAGCGCCGGCCTCATCTTACAGAGGAAGCACCCAAGAACTGCCTTCTCATGTTAAGGGCATAAGGATTGAGTGTTTTAAGCACATATTTAAAATTGCTAAGGTAACTAGTATAAAAAATAAATATAATTGCCAAAAATAGGGTGATATAAATGGGGAGTAAACTAAATCTTCATCTTTCACAGTGGGGAATCTGTGTAGGTCTAAAATTACCAAATCAAGCCATAAAGATACAACAATATTAGAGACCACCAAAGAGCACAGAAAACAAGACCACAGTGGTTGCCTTTGAGGGATGGAACTACGCGGATGGATTCACAGGGAGTTCTTTCTGACCAGGTGGCTGGAAAGGAAAGCAATCAGATGGGTTTACAGATGGTTCTGCAGATACATCAGCACCAACCAGAGGTGAATGGCTACATGACAATCCGGGTCAACACGGTGTCTCTAAAAGAGCGGTTCAGGGAAATCCTCCCCATGGACAGAAGTTCAAGCACATCTTTGGTGGTCCTCTTCGGCTGAACTGAGAGAGAGCCTGAGGTAAGGATCTGCAATGAGGATTGTGGGCTGTGGTTGATGGTTTTAGTAGATGGTCCAGGACTTGGGAAGAACAAGGTTGGAAGGTGATGAGGAAGAGATCTGGGGAAGAGACATGTGGATGGAACTCTTGCAGGGAGCACAGAACACAAATATACTGCATGCTTTCTGAAGCTCTCTCACCAAAGGGCAGTCAGTCTGGAGGAGGTTTTCAACAATCAAGTGGACAAGAGGGCATATTTTGTGGATGCCCACCTGCTTTTTACCCCAGCCATCCCAGGGGTTGCTCAATAAAACTCTGCAAAAATAACCATGGTAGCAGAGATGGAGTTTGTGTGTGGGCTCAAAAGTATGGAGTTCAGACCTGGCTGGTGTGGCTCAGTGGATTGATTACCAGACTGTGAACCAAAACATCACTGATTCCCGGTCAGGGCATTTCTCTCCCTCTCTTTCTCCCTCCCTTCCTAGCTCTCTAAAATAAATAAATTAAATCTCAAAAAAAAAAATAATAATACGGAGTTCACGCACGAAATCTACCTGGCCTCCACCTTGGCTGAGTGCCCAAGCCAATCACAGCAGAGAGAGCAATGCCGAGTCCAGTGCAGCACTATGGCCCGGCAGGGTCAGCCAGAGACCTGATGGCACGTAGATTATACTGAAGGGGAAACAATTGCCTTTGCTGAAGTAATACACAGCATGGATCTATATGTGCCTTCCCTGCCTACAAAGCTTCTGCCAGCCCCACTTCCATGACCTCTCAGAGGGTCTTATCCACCATCACAGTCTCCACTCAACAATGCTCCTGATCACAGAGCTCATTTTGCAGAAGGCCATGGCCCCTGCCCACGTTAAGGAATGGTCTTCCCACACATCCCATCACCCAGAAGCAGCTGCTCCGAAAGAACGGGAAATTGGTTTACTGAGAATTCAGTTATGATGCCAGTAGGACAACAATATCCCTCCCAAAAGGCTGGTTTCACAGGATGCAGTGTGTGCTGTGCATCAGTGACCAACATACGGTGATGTTTTTCCCAATCCCAGAACACACAGGCCAGGGAAAAGGGGGAGAAAATAAATAACTAAAACAAAAAATAAAAGTTGTTGAATGACTCTAGACTGTATTGTAGCTCAACAGAAATGACTACTTTAAATATTACCATTATTGAAAATGATAATTCTGCAGTAAGTAGATGATTTTAAAGGCCTAGAGACAAAATATGATGTAAAAATTATATGACTTACCGCTATGACCTTCAAGATTCTGATTCATAGAAAGGTTATTAGGAGCTGCAAGACCCCTCAATTTTGCATCATCTAGAAACACAAAAAAACAATAACAAAAAATACTATGGAAAAAATAAAAGTGACAGATAATAAGATTTTCACATTTCTTGCCTTTTTGAAAGGAGATCCTATTCTTGGTTGATAATAGGAGGATTTTTTTTAAGTATCTATTTTTCTCCTGATGGAAACATAGACAATAATATATATACCATTGCAATGGTATTATTCTGGCAAAATAAAGCAAAATGAAGAACATTGTTTACTCAGTATATTAAATAATTAGTAATTATTGTTACTACTTATTCCTTCCCAAAAGGTCACAAATAGAAATATTTATGACATATAGATTGGAAAATCTAAAGCATAAGAGGGACTGAAAAGCAAAGGTGTGTATTCTGACAATAACATGAGTAAATCTTATTTTCCATCAAGTTCAAACATTTGGCTTGCATTCATTCACCTACCCGTCTGTGTCTCTAATTTCAAAACTTTCAGTAATCCATCTTCACCACCACACGCTATGAATCCTTGGTCCTTGTTCCAAGATATACATTTCAGCTTCACGTTATTGGGAATGGCAATCTGAAAAGCAACCACAGCCACTCTCACAACTTTTTACGAAGGAGTTGGGAAATGAGTCTACAGGAGATGAAAGGCTGAAGAAAATCCGCCCAAGATGGAAAAAAAACGGTCAGCCTTGCAGTGTGACACGTTTTGAAAACGGGCGTAGTCCCTGAATTGCGCCGGGCCCTACTATTTGGAAAAGAACGAAGTGACGGCGGAGAAACCCAACGGGGGAGTCGCCTGAAAGATTTTTAAAAGAGGTGAGTGGGAGATAGGAACCCATACCATCCGTCCACACACAACACTTAGACTACCCTTTTGCAATTATTCTTCTTTTCCCCGGCGGCCGGTGAAGGTCCAAAGAATTTAAGTCACCTGGATCAGCAACAGGTGGAGAAAGCACTCACTGATCTGTCCAGCGGGCCCCGCTAAAAAACCCAGCCAGGGGCAGGGATGGGAGAGAGTCTATAAGAAGGGATGCTGGCTCCACCAAGGACGGTCTGGGGCTCGGGGACCGTCTGGAGGAGGGCCGATGCTGGACCAGGCGGGAAGGTCGGAGCAGGGATGGAGAAGCGGCGATCAGGACGCCTGGCTCCGCGGGCGTGCTACGCTAACCCAGGAGCGGGCGCGCCCCGCGGGAAAACTCACTCTCTTGCTCAGGTAAAAGAACATCCTGGAGGTCCCGAGAGGACGACCCCAGCCGCCAAAGCCCGCAACTGGAAACTCTCTCTCAAGTCGCCAATCGCCAGTACCAGCGGTTCTTGGGAGCTCCCGTCGCCCTGGCAACCGGTCGCATCCGGGGCGCTGGGGGACACTTCCGGTGTCGGCCTAACTTGGCCCAAAGAGCGTCGCGCGCTTGCGCGGACGTCGGGGGCTGAATCAGTAGTTGTGCGAGGACCGAATCCGTAGTTGGTCTTGGCCTCTAATTCAGGGCTTTTCTGCTTAAACTCAGAGCTGGGTCGCCGACCCTCAGCGCCCTGCACCGAAGCCTCAGATGCGCTGAGTCCCTGCAGGCTCGGAGCACACGCCACACCTCCCTGTGAAACTCAAAGGAGGTGTCGGTGTCCATTTAGCAGGAAAGGCGCCCCTGCAATTTTGGAGGCCCCAAAGCCCCATCATTGTTGAAAGGCAGAAGTCATTAACGGTGTTTGGTAGGTTGGTGCCTTCGGGGCAAATGAAACTGCAAACATGCCTTTTCAGAGATTGAAAACCTTCCCTTGGGCCGTTGGGGATTAGAGAGCTCCCTGGAGCGATTTGAGGGTTGGAGTTTGTGCTCGTTCTGTTTGTTTTAGGATTTTTAAACAGTTTGTTTAAGCTGTAACTGAGCCCAAGGGCCCTCATGAAAATAATGTATAAACTTTGGGCCATTACAGCATATAATTGCCATTGGGGCATAGCCTTTGATTTTTTAACAATTTTAGTATTTGGTATTTTCTCGCCTGGAGTCCATTGTTCTATAATCACTTCTTTTTCTACCTTCTTTCTTCAGTTCTTTGTGCTTTTTGATGCCCTGGAAAGTTACAATGCGCCACACTTTCAGGGACAGGGGACAGGGCCAAAACTCTCATGAAATTATTGTCTCCCCATTTTTCATTTTTCTCTGGTTTCCCTTTTACCATATTCTACAGCTTCCACTGTTGATTTGTATAATCTAATATGTGCTTTATGCAGCAGTAGCCAATTTCTCCACCTACAGTCTCGCCATCTCAGGCAAATAATGTGCAAATCCTTCTCCCGAGCCTGTTTGCCTCACCCAGTGCACTCAAGAGCTGATAACGGTCCTGGTGTGTTTCCTATCAAATTTAAACCCCTGCTAAAATCAGATTTCCTTCAATCCTAAAATGGCTTTACTGTGGCGCCCCAACTCTAAGCAAGACAATATGCTTTCTGCACCCCACCATTCCTCTCCGCTTCCAAGGCGGCTTCATATATCCTTTCATGTTCCTACCCTCTTGGCCCATTGCGCCTAGCCAAACGCATCAGTCAGTTCTCCCTCAGAAATTCTTCCCAAACTTCAGCCCCAGCCCATTCAGATGATATATGTATTTGTTTTCAAATGTATGAGTATTCATTTTTTCAGCACCAAGCTGTTAATTGCTAAGGTATGTTGGCACCTCCTCACAGGCTCCCTATACTGGACTCCTGAAGCAAATGAGTGTTCCATAAGTCAGGGGACCCCAACCAACTGGTCAAATTTCAGACAGGATTAATTGCAGCTAGTTTATAATGGTCACACTCTTGAAAAATCAACTCTCAATACCTTTCCGTAGTTCTTGATCATGGGCTCTCATTTATTACTTCTGTAGTGCCATTGCTCTGTGGTCTAGTAATATACAGCATATTACTGATTCTGTATTCAATCAAGTTTGTAAAATAATACTGCTCCATCATGTCCTTTCAAAAGTGTGGAGAAATGACAATGCATGCTTCATAAAATATATATTGCCTTGATGTATTTATTTTTCATTTATTCCCTTTAAAGTTTATATTCTAGGTTTTTGATGGTTTCTGGGTTTTGACTGTTCTTTTTTGTTATATTTGCTTTTCAGGCACACATATTAATACACCCTTATCATTATTTCACCTAAATTTAGATAATTTTGCTCTATTCCCTCTTCCACAACATTCTTGATTAAAGCCTTTCTATTTAACCTGAACTTACATTTTTAACCTTAAGAGCATCAGATTTAAATTATACAGTGTCACAAAATTATGTCCTTTGAATAGAAACTGTTATATATTCAAAATGATCCAGTTTAATTTAAGGAAATATGTTAACAGACAAAATTGATATGAGCCACCAACCTGTAAAAAAAAAACACACATGACAGTAATAATATATAAAGATATTTTTATTATACTAAAGACAAAACAAACCAAAAAAATAAAGAATTGAGTAGAACACAATTTAAGGGACTGTTTTCTTCTAAAAGTGAGGCTTTAAATGCTGAAAAAAATTACACGTGTCAAGTATATAAGTGAAAAAAGTTTGGCTTATCACTAACATTTACAATGACAAGTTTTTGTTACTTGTTACAGCAATATTTATTAAAATATTTTTATTATTGACCCATAAAGTAAAAGAATAAAATTAATTGAGGGGTTTTGTCCTTCGTAAAAAGTTATAATACTCTTTATTCACAACTAATACCTTTAGTTGTGTGTTTCTTTCAAACATCAGAATGAATTAAAAATGGCATGTAATGTTCACTTGATCTGTGTTCACTATTTTAGATGCATGTATTACAATCCCCTGATCACAGCTTCAGTAATACTCTAATACAAATGGCAAAAAACAAAGAGTATTAAAAAAACTGTTCTAAATTATATTCATCTCAATTTAATTAAAGGAACTTTTTAATGTGTAAATACTATGTAAAATTTATGCTCTCAGTAATAAGAATGGTTTAGATTATACTATGAAGAGCAAATAGATCAGAGGTTTCCATTGTATGGAACAGAATAGAATTCAGAGTAAACCCATGCTTTTATGGTCAATTAGTATTTGACAAAGGAGGCAAAAACATACAATGTGGTAAAGATAGTCTGTTCAATAAATGGTGTTGGGAAAATTGGATAGATACATGCCAAACAAACTAGACCACCTTCTTACACCGTATACAAGAATAAACTCAAAATGTGTTAAATGTAAGACTCAAAACCATAAAAATCCTAGAAGAAAACATAGGCAGTAAAATCTCGGACATTTCTTATAGCAATATTTTTTTCTGATAGACTGCCTCAGGCAAGAGAAACAAAAGGAAAAAGTAAACAAATGGGAAGACATCAAACTAAAAAGGTTTTGCACAGCAAAGGAAACCATCAACAAAATGAAAAGACAACCCACTGACTGGAAGAACATATTCGCCAATGATACATCTGATCAGGAGTTAAAATCCAAAATGTATAAGGAACTTACAAAACTCAACACCAAAAAAACCCCCCAAAGAATCCAATTAAAACATGGGCAACGGCCCTGACCAGGAACTCAGCTGGTTAGAGCGTCATACCAACACAGGAAGGTTGCCTGTTTGACTCCCAGTCAGGGCACACACAAGAAGCAACCAATGAATGCATAAATAAGTGGAACAACAAATAGATGTTTCTCTCTCCTCTCTTTCTCTCTCTCTTCCCCACCCCTACCTCCTCTCTCTAAAATCAATAAATTAAAAAAATTTTTAATGGGCAAAGGACTCGAATAGACACTTCTCCAAAGAGTATATAACAGATGGCCAACAGACAAATGAAAAGATGCTGAACATCACTAATCATCACAAAATGCAAATTAAAGCCACAATTAGATATCACCTCCCACTTGTCAGAATGGCTACCATCAATAAATCAACAAGTACTGGCGAGGATGTGGAGAAAAGAGAACCCTTGCAAATTGTTGGTGGGAATGCAGATTGGTGCAGAAAGCAGTATGGAGATACCTCAAAAAATTAAAAATGGAAATGCCTTCTGACCCAGTGATTCTGCTTCTGGGAATTTATCCAAAGAAACCCGAAACACTAATTTGAAAGAACATGTGCACCCTTGTGTTCATTGCAGCATTATTCACAATCGCCAAGATTTGGAAGCAGCCCAAGTGCCCATCAGTAGATGAGTGGATAAAAAAGCTGTGATACATTTACACAACGGAATACTACGTGGCCACTAAAAAAAAAAAAAAGGAAATCTTACCCTTTGTGACAGCATTAATAGATCTGGAAAGCATTATGCTAAGTGAAATAAGCAGTCAGAGAAAGACAAATATCATATGATTTCACTTATATGTTGGGTCTAATGGACAAAAACCAAGTAGAAACAGACACATAGACAGAGAACAGACTGACAGCTGTCAGAGGGATGGGAGGTTGGGGGCTGGGTGAAACAGGTAAAGGGATTAAGGGGAAAAAACTCGTAGTCCCAGACAATAACATGGTGATCACCAGAGGGAAGGGGGTGCAGGTAGAAGTGCATATGGGGGGATAGAGGGTGGCAGAAGGGACCTGACTTTGAGTGGTGAACACATTACAATACACAGATGATGTATTATAGAATTGTACACTTGCAATCTATATATGCAATGTCACCCCCGTAAACTCAATACATTTTTTAAAAGAACAGAATTAAAAATGTTCACTTATCTTGTAAAGGAATAACACTGAAAAAAATAGTGAAGTGTTACTAGTTTTGTACAGGTGATTTTTATTTACTTCTTTATACTTCTATACATTTAAAAATGTCTATAGTGAATATATAACATGAACATAATTGTATTGTAGAAATAGAAGACTTGTGTTTGAGAATAGAATGAGAACTTAGGAACTGAAAAAAATTAAATGGCTCAATTAGTAAATAAAGAAACATTAAATTTTTCATTCTATTTTCACAGTCATAGCTTAGAGACACTAAAACTTTTAATAAGTATCTGGACATTTTCTTCTGGACATTTACTTCTTTAGAAGAATCATACTGATTCTCTAGAAGATCCTCAAACTATTTATCCAGTAATACCCAAGCATTGGTAATGGCAGAACACTAGCAGGAACATTGCAATGTGCAAAAGTATTAAATATACCAAATTCTCCATATTTCCAGGTGAAATTTTCAAGCAGTTTAACGATGTATTTGTCCATATTCATTTGCCTGCAGCTTCCCCAATATGTCATCAAGTGGATAGTTGTCAAGGCCAACACCATTATTTTTAGATATTAGAAAACATAAACACACTTTCAAACACTTCAATACAAAATAAAAGAAAATAACAGTGAATCTTTAAAAAGTGAAACTGTTTTCTCATCAAACAATGCACTCTGCATTGTAATGCAAATATAATGAATCTAAAACTCAGAAATTCTTTCCTTTAGAAAGCATAACATAAGCAGTAGTCTACAAACCTTTGTGCCATGTCTCCTAAAATAATTTGACAAATAAGAGATGCCTTATGCGTATTTAAATTATGTAAAAATTTTCATCATAAGTTTTCATTCAAAATATGCAATTTCTGCTGTTACAAATATTGACTCCCTAAAATAAAATTTAGCCCTGACCAGCGTGGCTCAGTTGGTGAAGCATCGTCCTGCAAAGCACAGGTCACTGGTTTGATTCCAGGTCAGAGCACATGCCTGGGTTGCGGGCCCTGTGTCCAGTGGGGAGTGTGCAACTGATCAATGTATCTCTCACACACTTGCATTTCTCTCTTTTTCTTTCTCCCTCCTTTCCCCTCTCTCTGAAAAGATATAAATACTTTAAAGTTTATATCAATCTTTCAAATGTATCCCATACTGAATTGACACCTAATATCATTCTTCTAAAATAAAATACTTAAAATAAAATAATTTATATTTCCTTTCTACTTTCCCCACAGAAGTCGAGTCTACTTCGAACCTTGGGAATCTTTTCTCGGTCACTCTGTGTGCGCCTCTGATGTAAACTTGCACAAACGAGCACACACATTTATGTTGAAATCACCTTTCAGTTACCTTTCCTGCCCATATGGCCCCAGCTGTTTTTAACCACCTGGACCGGGTTATAATCACAACTACTATGAGCACATAACGCATCCAAACAACAAATAAGTTACAAATGTTGACGTAAAGTCACTAAAAATAAAAGGTAAAATTGAATTGAAAAGGTGTCTCTCAACGGAATGGGTTTCGGGAGAAGTGTTTATGAAGCGCCGGTCTAAAAAACTGTTGAACTGTCCCTCTGTTTGGCTCTCGGGGAAGATTTCACTTTTCCAAGAAATTCACCCTAGGGAGATGCGGGCTGCGTGAGAGGTGTCCCTTTCTGGTGTAAAGTTAGGAGAACTGTGACTCTGAAGTGAGGGATGGGAAGAGAGAATGCTGACTACAGGTAGCATTTTAGGCAGAACAGTTTAAGGATGTGAAGGGTTTGGAAATTGATCCCTTTAAAACTTTCTGCCCCCACCCCTCCCCCCCACACACACCCAGACCCCTTGAAAGTCTCTGTATACCCCTAGGGTATCCCTGTCACAGTTTGAATTCCACTCCTCTCAGATCCCCAGGAACAGTGTTGTTAACTTGAGCCATGCTAAGGAAAAGTACTTTTCCTGAATTACAATTTAGGCTAAAGAACTGATTTTGGAAGTTACGGAGATGGTGCCACGTTCCACTTCAGATCTGCCTTGTGACCACGTGGCTGGCCAGCGTGCACGGCTCTGGGTCATCTGCGCTCTCACAGCCCACGCGCCAGCTGCCCCGTTCCGAGCAGGTACAGATTCTGAACTGAGAAGCCATATTAAGAAATCATAGCATAATAGCTCCATCTGTTCATCAGAGCTCAATTAGGAGCTCTTACACTGCTCCTAATACACTGCTATGGAAAAACACTAGAGGAAGAAATAGGTAGCTTTTCCTTGTAAATATTAAATAAGTGAAAGTCTCTTAAAACATTTAAAAGGAACTCTAAAAAAATAAAAGCTCTGTAGTATTCCTATCGCTCATCTTAAAACTTAATGAATAGGGAGGGCCCTTATCCTGAGGAATATCCTAAGACGTTTGGCTCACTGCAGTACCTAGGCTGGCTGGCGACAGCAGCAGAGAACCTTCCAGAAAGGATATTTTTGGCGTTCAGTCTCTGCAGGGAGGAGCTGACCTTCTCCTGGAATGCGAGTGTGGCTTCACATCCACAAGCATCTTCTGTGGAGATGAGTCTTCGTGCTTCTTCAACGGCTGGTGACAATAACAGTGCATGAAAGGTGACAGCTAATTAGAAATCACAGCGAATCAGGAAATCTGCGATTCGATGGTTCCGTTTTTTTTTAAGACCTACCGGAACGCATTTTCTGGAAAGAAGGATATAAGAGCACACAGAAAGAGGAGGAAATACTTCGGAATGTGACTATCACAGAAAAAATTGAATTCAGAAATGTTGGGGACAAGTTTACATTGCCAAAGTTGGGTGATGGTTATATGCGAGCTCATTATATTTTCTCTATGCTTTCGTGATTATCTGAAGTTTCCCATGATATAAAGTAAAATTTTAAAAGGGCAGTATCGTGGGAAGCCATGAATGCAGAGATAAGATAATTAATTTTATGATACTGTATTCTCATTAAAAAATGAAAATGAGAAAAACCTGTATTTGTGTGGCCAAAAGACTTCAAGAATTAAAACTAGGTAATTTACCCTGGCTGGTGTGGCTCAGTGAATGAAGCAACTGCCTCTGAACCAAAAGGTCGCCAGTTTGATTCCCAGTCAGGGTACACGCCGGGCTTGTGGGCCAGGGGCCCAGTGGGGGGGGGGGTGTAAGAGGCAACTAATCAATGTATCTCACACACTGATGTCTCCCTCTCTTTCTCCCTCCCTTCTCTCTCTAAATAAATAAATAAATAAAATCTCTTTTTAAAAAGAACTAGATAATTCCTAATTTCCTATATGGGCGATTCTTCTACTGACTTGTTTAAATTGAGAGTTCTAGTTCTTGCCCATAAATACTTTGGAACTAAAAGTTGTATTGACATTAGAGCAAAGAACCTGGGAGAACAATAAGGCTGACCCCTGTTTCTTTCTGTAATTCCATGAGGCAGCTGTTCCTACTCAATATCAGAGCCCCCCCAAGTGGCCTAATAGAAATAAGAGGAACTTCCCACACCAGGTCTAAAGACTGGTATGCAGTCCTCCCACTGAGTGGCGCTACTGCCTGAGGACAGGGCGGGGCCCTTTGCTCCTGCATTTTTCCCTACATTCTGCAGAGATCTGACAGAGGGCTGGGGGACTAAAAACTCACCTGATCACACGTAGTCTACCTACCCGTCCCAATCCTGTTGAACCTGCTAGGGATGGCCAGCTCAAATCCCATCTCAACCAGTCACTTTGAGACTTAGGATACTTGTTTAGTGTATCTGCACTGACAGCCTGTAAGCGCTGTGAGGGCAGAGGCCCAGGGGGATGTTCTAATTAAAAGGCCCCTTAGAAAACTGGACAACTGCAACACAGCTCAAATGAAAGTTGACAGATGGATCCGTTCCCAATAGCATCAGAAAGAATAAAAGATTCGGGAATAAATTTAACAAAGGAAGTGTGAGACTTGTTCAGTACACTGCTAAGTACAAAACCCTGGTCCATCTCCAGTCCCTTCCTGGGGACCTGGTTAAAGGACTTGGTGTGTCCCAGTAGCTCCAAGAACAGTCGCTGAACAAATAAATCAGCGAATGGCTAAACAAACGAGGTCAGAACCTAAACCATTACAAATCAGGGCGAATCCCCATCTTCCAGGAGTAGGAAGAATGCCCAAGACTGATTTTTCTTTCTAATTAAAGAGAGAGAGAGAGAGGATGGAACCACATCAAGGAGGGAAGACTCCCTGGTGGGAGGAGGAGAACTGTTTCCTACTGATGCCAACAGGGACCCCCTGGAGGGTTCCGACCGTGAGAAGGGGCCTCAGACTTGGAGAGAGAACCGCGTACCCCTAGGCTGTCCTGCCAAATGAAACAGGAGGAAAGGGGCATTCTTTACCTGAGCACGTCCTCTTGTCTTCATTCAGGGTGAAGCCAGTGTAACAGTCGCAGTGGTAGGAGGCCACGCCGTCACTCACACAAATGTGCTGGCAACCGTGGGAGCCCAGGGCACACTTGTCACGAGCTGACCAGGGGAGGCACAGGGAAGGAAACAGCCACAAATTACAACAGGAAACGAAACACAGACTTCTGGGAGAAAAAGGCCTTGGTTTGCCCCCAGCACGTGTTGAGAGCAGACCCTCCGGTCATCAGCAGCAAGTGTCCCTCGTTCTGGAAGAAGAAAACCTGTTTTCCTGTCCCAGATGTCACCTCCCCTTTGCCCCGCCTTTTATCACACACACCCCTCTCCTTCTCCTTTCCGGCAGATAGCTGCGGGGGAGCCCTCCCCCTGTTTTCCTCCCCGCAGCCCTGGGGCTGCAAGGGGTCTTGATTCTATTCTAGAACTCACCTCCAGCCTTGCCTGACGACCACCAAGGCATCCGGTATCTCCAGCCATCCATGGTTCTCCCCCGCCACCAGGACTGTTATTAGGGACCCACCTACCCATGGCACTAAATCTGATGCTGCACAGAAAGGACTCCAGGGACCAAGGGCCTGCCCTCGACAGCTTCCAAAGTGGGACAGAAAAAACGGGCCTGCACACACACACACACACACACACACACACAGAAAAATGATGATGATGGTGATGATGATGATGAGGTGTATGATTGGACAGTGACATATTTATTATCCCTCACGAGTAAATACATTTCATGGAGGGACACGGTTTGCCCAGATTCGAGTGGGGAGCAGACAACAGTGCTGTCCTCGCCCCGTGGCCCAAGTGACCTGGGACAAGTGCAAACCACAGCTCAGAGCAAATGCAAAAAGGCCTCCTGCGAGACACAGGTTCTTCCTCTGTCATCGCAGGGGCCAAACTTGTTCATTTGTTTCACTCCTCTTAAGTGTCACTTCATGGCCAAAAACCTTCCGTGGCTCACTATTGCCTCTAAAACTGCTTTGCGTGAAAGGCAAGGCTCTGTGTGATCTGTCTGTGGAGTGACTTTCCGACGTCATCACTACAACTCAAGTTGTGCCAGCAACACGCCGACTAACAGAAACCTTTATGCTTCCCTTCCTCCCCGCTTAGCGGCCAACTCTAGAGGTAACAGCTGGGCAGGTCTCTGCTCTGGGCCTCCACATCTCATCTGCAAGCCTTCCTACTGCCCAGCTGGGGCAAAGCAGGCCATTGGAGAGGATCTGACCCATGCACTCCAGCGTTGGATAGTATCCATGATTACTCTCAGATACATAAACACTGCCTTGCCGCCATCTTGTCTTTCTCTTTTACCTCTCTTTGCTCTCTTGTGCTTTGCACCGTCAGGCAGGGTGGCTTAGTGTCTAAGAGCATAGGTAACCACCAGAGCAAGTGCCCGAGTTCAAATCCTGGCTCTGCCACTCCCGCACTGAGCGACTGGGGCACATGACTTAACCCGTCTGCGCCTGTTTCCTTGGAAAGCCACTCTGAGCACCAAACGTGTGAGTGTGTCTAAAAGGCCTAGAACCACCCACACGTGCAGTAGGCACTGGAGAATGCTGGCTGTCATTAGCGGGAGTATTCCTCCCGTAGTCCGCCTTGACAGAAAACTGTCTCTGAGAATTGGTGGGTTCTCTTAAACAAAGTGTTCCATTTGTTTCCCTATCTGTTCGTTGAAATGTAACTTTGTTTTCCTTTCCTTCTCCCAGGACTTCAGTGCTCCTGGCAGCTTACAGCACCAAGCGTGATACTTGCAACCATTTGAGAAGCACAGCCATAGATAGTTTCCACCCCACCCCACTCAGCCCTCCCTCCCAGAACAAGCCAGAGCAAGCCAGGCCCCTAGCCCGCTCCATCTCTCCACTCCTCCTCCATTAAACTGTCACCAACTTCAAGGACCCGCCTCCAGCCCCACCCTCGTCCACCTCCAGCCCTTAGTCAGTTAGTCACCGTCAGCCCCTCTCCCTGGCTACTCAGTCTCTACTTATTTAAGGCGTTGGTTCTTTTACACCCAGCCTGCAGGTCACTCACAGGCAGAACTTTTGCCTCTTCATATCTTTACAGTGATTAGCAAAGTAGGTGCTCAGCACGCTTTCACTGATGTTTTTTTACAAAGGAAATCGGTGATAGTCATTCTCCTTCATCCCTCTTGAAAAAGTCACCTAATATGCCTCCTCGAGAGAGAGGAAAATATGCATACAATCTAAATAAACATATATATTGCATATACCAAAGCTAAACACCACCTGGAGAGCTAGGCATTTCTCTTAGGCGTGTTTTTAGATTATAATTGCCACCCGGTTCTGCCAGTGAGTTTAAATCAAATTAATGAGGATTTGCGTTCTGGCATGGGCTCGCTAGCCAAGCCTCAGATGCATCGAAGATTGATCATCTAGCAACTGTCAGGGAACGGCTGGCTCCCAGCTTCCTGGAGGGTCTGTGTGGGTCTAATTCAGTCCCTTACAAAGTCTCCTTTGCTAACACGATCCAGCTTTAAGATGAAGGCTACAGGAAAATGCCAGGCCAAGTTTTAATTGGAAAAGGATCAGTTCAGGCTATCACACCAAATAGTACTGTCCAACTGACTTCCTCTAAAGTTTCCTATTTGCTTTAAAAGCCCCCAGTGTACAGGGTGATACATTTTTCCTGGAGAAGGACCCTCCATTCACTGGGCTTTTCTCACATGCTCCACTCCCTCCCCATTTCCCAGTAACTTTCTGGAGTCGTTTATGTTTGCAGATTCTAGTGAGCTCACCGCCCCCTAAGCGATGCATGCCTTCCTCAATCAGCACAGCAGAGTGTCTGCAGCCTGATTCTCCAAGTTACTTTGAAGAATCTGTCTCCGGGTGATTTGCAAGTTGGTTTCATTGCAATAGAAAGGGCCAAGCATGAAAGAATCTGTTGAGTGTGCCTTACCCGAGCAGGTTTTTTTATCCGCATTCAGAGTGTAGCCCTCATAGCATTCACAGTGATGGGAACCAGCTCTGTCACTCACACAGACGTGCTGACAGCCATGTGTACCTGCAGCGCATTGATCCTGAGCTGCCAGAGAAAGTCCAGGGGAAAAGAAATGAAGCATGGAAAAGTCTTTTACCACCTATGCACAGAAGTCTAATTTGCAGCCCTGACTGGTGTGGCTCAGTGGATCGGGCATCATCCCACAAAACCAGCAGGTTGCAGGTTCGATTCCCGGTCAGAGCACATGCCTGGGTTGCGGGTCAGGTCCCCAGTGGAGAACACGAGAAAGGCAACTGATCAAAACACAACCGGTCGATGTTTCTCTCCCTCTCTCTCTCCCTCCCTTCTCCTCTCTCTAAAAATAAATAACTAAAACCTCTTTTAAAAAAAAGAAATCTTAGCCCTGGCTGGTATGGCTCAGTGGATTGAGCATGGGCTGCGAACCAAAGGGTCACCGGTTTGATTCCCAGTCAGGGAATAAGCCTGGGTTGTGGGCCAGGTTCTCACAAGACTTAGAAATGGGAAAAGCCAAGGGTGGCCAGAGAGGCAAACACCAAGTTTCCTGTCGATGTGACCCTACCCCTCCAGCACTGCCTGGACACGAGGTAGACGAAGAGGTGGCAATAGTAACGCCTCTTCACCCACTTACCTGAACACGTCTTCCTGTCTGCGTTCAAAGTGTAGCCTTCGTAGCACTCGCAGTGGTAAGAGCCACTTCTGTCATTCACACAGATGTGTCCACAGCCGTGAGTGTTAAGAGCACACTTATCAATAGCTACGAAAAATGATCAGGACCAAAAGAGAAAAAAGTTTAAAAAATTCTTAGGACATGCGTGAACACAGGGAAACGTAGATAAGTAATCACAGACCGCACACGCACAGCCAGGAGCAGCTCGGCACAGGAGGAAGGCCGCGGGGCCGGAGGCTGGACCTGACTGAGGTCTTCACTCTTCATTAGCAGACCCCGTGCATGGATAAGTCTCCCCACTTTGGGTCTCAATTCGTGATCCATAAAATGCGTAAGCCAAATTCCATGGCCTCAAAGTTTTGCCCTGGCTGGTGGAGCTCAGGGGATTGAGCGCCAGACTGCAAAGCAGAGGGTCGCTGGTTCGATTCCCAGTCAGGGCACACGCCTGGGTTGTGGGCCAGGTTCCCCTGCGCGGGGATTACAAGAGGCAACCACACATTAACATTTCTCTCCCTCTCTTTCGCCCTCCCTTCCCCCTCTAAAAATAAATACATAAAATCTTTTTAAAAAAAAAAGATCTTGAAGTTTTCCTCTCACAAACATTTTCCCAGAGCTTCAGTTTAAAGTGGGCCTGAGTCCCATGCTTGGTTGACTATGTGTGAGTACTCCTGTACCAGACGAGTGAGGACTTCCCTACATTTTCTCCTTCTTCCAGGTTCCAGGGGCATCTTCGGCCACAGAGACGAAAGGGCAGCTTTTTATGTAATTAAATAAAACCCAGGGAAAATTCTAAATCTTCAGAAGGACCCGGAATTTTGTGCTATCACAGGCCAATATATGTGTTACCTCACTTTTCTCCTCATTTCCCTTTTTGAGGAAAATTGTTGGTAAGCAACAGTAAACCAGCCGAAAAGCAAAGAGCAGGTAAGCATAAGGCCCACCCCAAAGCCAGGAGAGCAGGTCCCCAAATAGAAGTTCTCATCGGCACCCACCGGGTAAGCAGGCCTCACCTGAACACGTCTTCTTATCGGCGTTCAAGGAGTAGCCCTGGCTGCACTCGCAGTGGTGCCTGCCGTCCCCGTCGCTGACGCACACGTGCTGGCACCCGTGGGTGCCGAGCACGCACGGGTCCGCCGCTGCGCAAAGGGAGTTGCCAACAGTCAGTGTCGACACGTCGACCTCTCGGGGAGTGTCTCCCGTGCCGAAAAGACACCGCTCTCTGGTGTCTTTCCCATCCCGTCTTTGGCTCACGCTCAGCCTTGGCCTCTTAGAAATGTCACTCTTAAACTAGTCACGTTACCAAGTTTAAGTCACAGACCTTATGGTTAACTTTCTCAAAACAGAAAGGGAATTTTTCATTTGGAGCCGAAGCCAAACACGTACATGGGTCAGGTAATTTGATATTTGTTCAACGTATCCCCCATCCATGAAAAAAAACTTTGCTTCCCCAAAGCCAGATACAGGGAGAACAATAATGTACTTGCGAAGTTCTGTGAGCTCATTGGCCCACTGCAGCCACAGTCTGCTTTCCAAGGTTCTATAGTTTGTGTCTATAGACTATGACACAATAGTGCCTAGCACGCAGGTGCATTGCTCTAGGCCTGGAACTCGCCCGCAGTTGGGGAGCAACACATATCTGAACTTGTAGAGGGTGCAGGTCGGTGCAGGTAACTGCTTTCCGAATATGCAGCCAATTCAAATGTGCACTTCAGGGCCTCCGATATCAGTAAGGAGAATAAAACTCATACTAGACATAAACAGGTAAGAAGAACAACCTAAAGAAGACTATATTAGCTAGAATTTATCTCCATCTTTTCCCTTCTGTAGCCATGTATATCTCACTGGATTTTTTCCTAGCAAGATGTTTTGAAAGAAGAGTCAATGAATTTAGTCATTGCTGAGAAACCGAGAAAGCCTGTTGGAGGAGGCTGCCACCCCTGTGGCAGGTAACCCAGCCTCCCCGGCTTTGGCCCTGGGACAAGGCTAATATTTCCCCAAGAAGAGCCTTTTCACGGAACGGTCTTTCCAGTCTGTGCGCTACAACGAGCTGCTCCGCAGTCCTTGTTTCCATAGAGCGGGCATTTTCCCCCCAGAACAAGCAGCTCTTTTGTACCAGAAGGAAAAGGTACAACCACTCACCACTTGCTACTTTATGGCCTTCAGGCCCAACCCCGGGTGCTAGCTGTGAGACCCAGCTTTGCCGCAGACCAGCACCTCTCTGGAAAAGCTCCCGCCCACAAGCACAGGCGGTGTCCTAGGAGAAAGAACACCCTTTTCCTTTGGGAAACCCATGAATGCCAAGTAGACGCTCCCAAAGCCTATGGCAGCCTGTGAAAGCCCAGTGTCCTGGGACAGGACAGACAAGGGGATCCCAGCCAGGTCTGGCTGAGATGAGGCTAGCTTCGCTCCAGACCGAGACATTATCTCCATTTCCTGATAAACGGGCAATTGCTGAGTTTCCCATTCGTTTAGTAGTCTCCTCGAAACATGCAGCTGTGATGATCGGCTCCGCTGTTTGTCTCGTCCCCACCCCCGGACTGCTGCTTGGATGGTAGGGAGGGACTAACTTCATCTTTGTATCAACAGTGACCCATAAACGTGGGTTAAACAAATAAATGTGGAATAGATTATATAGCAAAAGGTATCTACATCTTAACATTCACCTCAACTAAAACTCTGTCCACACCTGCTTGGAGAATTCCATTGGAGGGCTTCAAAAGATTATCTCCAAATGATAAAAAGAAAAAAATACATAAAGCATGATGATAGATAGGTAGATATAAGTAGATAGAAAAATAAGTAGGTTTAAAATGCAAAATAAAAGAATATAGTATAAGTCCCACATTCCTAATTCTGATCAGTGACTGATAATAAACCCCAGCTTCAGATGGATCATATTCAGGATTTGGCTAATTCATGCTAAAAATCCCAATGTCCATCCTACAGGAAGAAATTAGAAGGGCCGTCGCAGAGTGATTTAAAACAACAAAACAAACCCCGCTCCTTCTCCCTGCGAACTAGCGGAACTCCCAGCCTCCCTGGTTCCTCCTCCTGCCCCTCCACAAAGAATCATCAGAGAACGGGCCGGACCTCCAACCTAGAGCGGTCAGGACACGCACACTCTAACTGCCGGTTACCCCGGAACCCAGGCCGGCTGGTCCTTGCGTGGACAGGGGCGGGGCCCTGTGCTCTGCAGGAAAACACGCAGAGTTCTGTGAACCATAGACGTGGGGAAGCTAAAGAAAGCATCTGGGGAAAACGCAGCGCTGGGCGGAGGGGAGAGGAGCAGCACCCTGAACGTTTTGTTTTTCTTTTGCTCTAACCCCACCAGGGAACAGTGGGATCATTTATCCTGGATATTTCCAACCTTCCCACTGCTAATGCAAACATGCAGATTTTTATGAGCAAACCAAGTTATATATAAGGCAGCTCTATATTCCTAAACACTGTGAAAAAGCATTGCTTGTATTTCAGTTTTCCATAAAATTTCCACTAAAAAAAAAGGGGTGGGGGAGGGGGGGAGAAGAATTCACTTTTTCTTTGGATTCATAATGTAGGACTATAACATCCTTTCTAGCTGGAAGCAAAGACTTACCGCAAAAGGTTTCCTGGAATCTGGAGGAAAGTTTCTCAATGACCCCGTACGTCTCCACGTAGAACACGTGCTCGTCCAGGGGCTCGCTCGCGATCATCTTGAGCGACTCCATGTCTGCCCGGCCCACGCCCACGGCGTAGAGCTCAATACCGGCCGCCCGCGCCCGCGCCGCCACCTCGTTCACCTGGTCCTGCGGCCGCCCATCTGTCACGATGATAGCTACCTTAGGGATGTTGGAGCTGGGCCCCCGAGCTCCTGCCTCCACGGCGAAGGCTTTCTCCATCGCTGTTTGGATGGCCAGGCCCGACATGGTGCCAGTAGACAAGGGAGTGATTCGCGCCACGGCCTGTTTCAGGGGCTGCTTATCCGAGTAGTTCTGGAGATGGAACTCGATCTTCACGGTGCTGGCATAGTTCACCAGGGCCACCCGCGTGTCCGCCGCCCCAATGTCCAGGGTATCGATTATCCGGGAGACAAAGGTTTTCACTTTGGTAAACTCTGAAGGCCGTACGCTGCGAGAACTATCGATGATAAACACCAAGTCCAAGGGCCTACTCTTGCAAACACCTGCAAGGAAGGGTGTGGGGAACAGAGGTGACTAAGCAGTGATCTGAGCACAGTCAGAAATGGGGCCATTGCTCATACCCAGAATGCTCTGGGACTGGAGGCCAGACAAGGAAGCCTCCCCTACCTCCAAATGCCCCACTGTCTGCTCTTTCCCAAGCCCATCTCCCTTTGGGTTGTGAAAGCAGCTAGGCCTTCAGAATTACCTAGTGAGCATTCACACAGAGGTGTGAGGTGTCCCCCAGTACCTCACCTGGGGGCTGGCTGAGCCCTGAAATTTCACTTAGGACCTCATCCCTCTGCTTCAAGTTTTGTTCTCAAAGTTCCTCTTGACTTTCAGGAATGAAAGAATTCCAGACCCTTCTTGGGCATCTTGGCCATCTGAGGCAATGGGACGAGTGTCCCTGAACTGTGGGAAAGGTGAACTGTCTGGGCAGCCACACTCCACTCCACCCCGCCCACTTCCATGGGGGTGAATGCTGCTCCAGACCAGCCCTGAGTCTCTCCCCTGCCTGGTCAATAATGCACGTGTAGTGAACTCTGGGGCCCAACGTGCCTGAGCTAGGCTGAAAGTAGGAAGAAGCATGACCACTAATCTAATCCACGTTCATTACACTTCCAACTTTGTGGCCGTTTCTCTCCTTTGGAGAAGCAGAGATTGCGACTTGGTATCTATCCCACTGCCCTACCGAACTCTTGCCACCTCTCTTTCATGTTTTCATCCACCACAACTTTTTGAGGGCCTCCCTCAAAAAGCCCTGGGGCTACAAAAGCAAAGAAACCATGTTCCCCGCCCTCGAGAAATGTACATCTTTCCTACACTGAAAAAAGGCATTGTAGTAACACGATACACTTTTTTCATGTGCAGTTTCTCTTTTTGTTTAATCCTCACCCGAGGATATAATTTTTGATTTTAGAGAGAGGAAGGGAGAGAGAGAGAGAGGGAAAAATATTGACATGAGATCGGTTGCCTTTCGTACACGCCCTGACTGGGATCGAACCCATGACCCAACTATGTGCCCTGACCAGGGATTGAACTCGTATCCTTTTGGTGTATGGGCACAAATGCCCCAACCAGCCAAGCCACCCAGCTAGGGCTCACCTAAACTTTCCTGCTCCAACCAACCGAACCACATAGCAAGGGCTGGTCTACACTCTCTTATCCTTTCCCGCCAATCTCATTCTATGCCCCTCCCTCTCCTAGCCGCCAACATCAAGTCCAAAAGTCAGGACTGGCTAAGAGAGAAGCTGGTTATTAAATGTCTCTTTTTCAAATCATTCCTCCTTCTCTCCCAATTCACAAACACACACACACTCACCATACACACCAAGTCCTACATGGAAGTAAGACCCCTGAACCTTAAGTGCCAATCAAAGCTCTTCGTCTTCCTACCAGGGGCTGGAGGCTGATACTGCTCTGAGGCACACTGCTCCATGAGTGGGGGGAAGTGGGTTCACAGTAAATCCCTAGGCTACGCAGTTCCTGAGAGAAAAAAGTCCTATGTGGGACGGGAATTACATGTCTCCATAGTTTTCTTTTAAAAACTGAAAAGTATCCATTTGGTTTTATTCTGCTGCCTGAAGATACTCCATTAAGAAATAAAGAACATCCGCCCTGGCTGGCGTAGCTCAGTGGATTGAGCGCGGGCTGCAAACAAGGCATCGCAGGTTCAATTCCCAGTCAGGGCACGTGCCTGGGTTGCAGGCCATGGCCCCCAGCAACCGCACATTGATGTTTCGCTCTCTCTATCCCCGCCCCGCCTTTCCCTCTCTAAAAATAAATAAATAAAATCTTTAAAAAAAAAGAGAAAGAAACAACATCCTACTATCAGTAACACTTCCGAGACCAAAGGTTACCAACACAATGACTCTGCGAAGCCAGAGGTGCAGAGGTTGCCTTTGGGCCCATTTTACAGGGGAGAAGCCTGAGTCTCCGGGAGGCGTGAGCGCTAGAAAGTGGCAGAACAGGGACTGGACTACAGATTTACCGACTCCCGGCCCAGGGGGCTTTTCCCTCTGCGGTTGTCTCTCTCTGAGGCAATGTTTTTCCGCCACGAAAATCAACATGATCTCATGCACCTAGTAAACATCCTGCTGGTTGACATTTGGCCACCACCTTGAAATAGGCTGCATGTCATGTATTTAGTTAAGTCAAAAGGAATTAAGTCCTTTAGAAGAAAAAAACAACTCCAGAATTTCACTTCACCCCTTGGTTACCAGAGATGAGGAGCAAGGGAGAAGGCCAGTGCTGAAAACCCTTCCCACAGACAGACGGACGTATTTTTGCGTCACTGCAGCAACAGGAGACGTGCATGCTGATGTGAACCCCATCTTTGACAGTGCTTTCACCAACACCCAAAGGGTGTCCTTACCAGTGTCAAGGTTATGTTCTTATACGGAAACGTGCTGATTCCTTCCTTCTCCACTAGGTTGTTCACACGGAATCCTCCCTGGGAAAACTGTCCCCACCCACAAAGATGTCCACGTCCCCATTCCCAGAACCGGTAAGTAGGTCACTTTACATGACAAAAGAGACTTCTTGGGTGCGGTTAAGGAACGACCCTAGATGGGGAGGTTATCCCGGGTCCACTATTACAAGGATCCATGAAAGTGAAAGAGGGAGGCAGAAGAGATCCGAGTGATAAAATGTGAGAAGGACCCGACTCGCCTTCGGTGCCTTTGAAAACAGAGGGAAAAGGCCACAAGCCAGGAAATGAGGACACAGCCCGTACAATCTGAAAAAGGCAAGGAGACAAATTCACCCCTGGACCCTCCCAAAAGGAGCACAGCCCTGCAGGCACCTTACTTTTAGTCCAGGGAGACTTCTGATCTACAGATCTCTTAGACAATGGGTTGGTTTTTAAGCCACTGATTCCGTGGTATTTCATTACAGCAGCCACAGAAAACTAATGCAGGGGGCTGGTCTGTCTGGGGTGGCGGGAGATCCTATGAGCATCTGGTTACTTCCTGATTCGCATCTCACTGGAAATCACTAGTTGCCCCATCGTTGTTTTTGGACCTCACCCCCTTTTCTGATAGCAGCCCTCTGATTCCCAGAACCAAGGAAGTGTCACCCACAGCACCCACCACCTCCCCTACCAGGCACCTCCCCCACCCATCACCCCCCCCAAAAAAAACAGGAAAGTGAGACTCTGAATTTCCCAAAATGTTTCCATTCTCACAATATTGCCAAATTCTGAGTTCTGCTAAAAATAAAAACCCGTTGCGAAGCTTAGCAATTTCAATTGCAAAGCTTAGGAATTTCTAAGGAATGTGGAAGGAATTAGGAACGGAAGCACTTCAGAAAAGAATGACTGTGATACTAATTAAAGGATCATCATTCAAGATCAGTTTGGATTCCAGGTGACTCCTACGTGATGCTTAGGGGGAACATGGCCGTCCCCCGTGAAACCCTTCTTCCCTCGCCCAGACCCATTCCCGAGGGAGGTGGGTCAGGACCAGAGGGAAGAATAACTGCTCGAAGAACGGCTTTATCCCTATTCTTGGCCAGGAGCAACCAGCTGAATTTACCCTTTGTGAACCCCGGCACTTCCTGGCTCACTTTCGAAATGCTGTCGCCGTTACAAATCCAGCCCGCTGGGGCTGGGGCTGGGGCAGGAAAGAATCCCTGGGTTCTTTCTCAGCATCACCCAGAAAGGTGCAGGAGGAGAGAGACAGCACAAAGCAGCCTGAGGCGGGCAGCATCCCTGGCCAGATGAGACTGGATACCCAAAAATGGTTTGGAGCAGCCTCTCTCCAGCAAGACGGAAGCTGGAGTTTTGGTGATGAAGATGAAATCTTACATAAACCATACTAAGAGCAGGGGAAAGCCCCGTGCCCGGGATGTCAGAGCCGAGCTTTATCCTGGGCTCTGACACTGAGTGGCTGGGGCCCTTCAGTTTGACAAGCCTCCGTGTCCTGTACTTGCGCTTGCTTGGGATTGCACGAGATGATCGACACCTGGGTCCCTTAGGCTCCACTGCTCTAGGACCTTTTTCAGCCACAGGAACCAACTACTGACTCAAAAAGGAAGTGGAATTGTTCGCCAAAGACTCAAGAGTGTTTTGGGTGTTTGAGGACCAAGGGCAGCATGGGTTGGAATTGGGGCCCAGTCAGTTGAAACAATACATGTGGTCAGGGGCAGAACAGAAGCTGACCTGGCTGGTGTGGCTCAGTGGATTTTGAGCGCTGGCCTGTGAACCGGAGGGTCACCAGTTCGATTCCCAGTCAAGGCACAAGACTGGGTTGCAGGCCAGGTCCTAGGCTGGGAGCATGTGAGAGGCATTGGCAAGGATGTGTCTCTCCCTCTCCATCTCCCTCCCTTTCCATCTCTCTAAAAATAAATAACATCAAAAGGAAGGAAGGAGGAAGGAAGGAAGGAAAAGAGAATCAGCCTCATGCCCTGGCTGGTGTCTCTCTGGGTTGAGCGCTGGCCCTCAAACTGAAAGGTTGCATGTTCGATTCCCAGTCAGGGCACATGCCTGGGTTGCAGGCTGGGTCCCCAGGTGCGGGCCAGCAAGAGGTAGTAGCCTCTCCCTCTCTTTCTCTGTCCCTTCCCCGATCTCTAAAAACAAATAAAATCTTTAAAAAAAAAAGTTGAGACCAGGATGGTTACAAGACAAGTGGGGGACACCCAGGGGTAACTCAAGTTTCCTCCCTGATCGCACACCTCAATCTCAGACTGGAAAGTCAGAATTCTAGCCCCGATCCTGGATGAAACTGGGGCAGCCTATGGGTTGGCAGGAGGGGCCGTATAGCCTGCCAGTGACTGAGCTGGGGCTATACAGATGGAGCCATTTCCAGAGAAGGCAGAGCACAATCTCAGGAAGCCCTCTTCAGCTGCCGCAGAAGTAGGGGCTGAGGCGCCAGTCCCCCCAGTTGCCCTGCCCAGATCACGGGGGCAGTTATCCAAGCCTGCGCTTCAGGAGACCCAAATCCTAGCCCTCTGACTCCCCTCTTTCTCTGAACCTCAGTCACCCCACAGGATTCGTCCGGGAGGGGAGTCTTTCTCCTGCACCGTGGATAACTCAGGCTGGGGTGGAGGGGGAACCCATCGATGCCCGGGTGCCCCAGCCCACCCACGCCAGGCTCTCCCTCCCTCCGTGCCCCCTGCCGGGTGTCCCTCCCGGTGCGCCTCTCCCGTCAGCCCTGGCAGTACCTGCACCGCGGGTCCCTCCAGACTGGCCGGCCCCCGAGTAGGGCGCCCCGGTGGGGACTGCAGGAGCCGGGCGGCGCCCGGGGCTGCCCCCGGGGCCATGGGTCCCCAGCCTCCGGAAGCCCGAGTGGGCCAGGGGACTGGGGGCAGTGGGGGCTGCGGGCGACGGCAACAGCAGCAGCAACAGCGGCAGCAGCGGCCAGAGCAGCAGGAGCAGTCCCGGAAGGCGGCGTGGCATGGTGTCCAGCATCGGGTCGTGGCTCGCTGGCTTGGTCAGTTACAGGCCAGGGCCAGCGCCAGGGCGGCCAATTTAAAGGTCCCGCGGCCTGGGGCCCGCCCCGCCCAGCAGCCACGAGCGTGGATCCCCGCCCCTGGCCACAGGGTGCCCGCCCTGCGCATTCCAGCAGCGCAAACAAATACCTGGGCAGCTGGGCCAGGGAGGCGGTGCCCGGAGCCCCGAACTCCCGCCCTGCACTGTGGCCGGGAGGGTGGGCTCTGGGCCGGCACCTTCGGTTCCAAACCCTGGTCTCCACTGCCGTCCCTACACCAGTCTGGCCTGACACGCCTACCCACACACACCTGCCCCGGCCCTGGGGGTCCCTCCCGCCCACCCCCAGGGTCCCAGCGATGAGGCCCGGCCTCCGCCTTTCCTCTCCGTCCTGCTCGGCCCGCCTCAAGCTTTCATCCTGCTCCTCACACTACATCCCTTTCCCCGGCCAAGGCACCCACGTTTTGCTGTGGGCTCTCGGTTAAAAATAACAACAACGAAGCCTCACAGATTCTGGCAGCATGAACAGCGATGCTTTCATCCCCGCTTCAAACATCTGCAAACACTACCGAGCTTACAGCGGTGGGCAGAAGGAAGTCACCGAGAATAGCAAGTCAAACACACGGCCCCCAGGGAGCGCCCTGCTCGCCGAAGGACAGGCGGGACAGCCAGCACCCGGACTTCAAAGGCTCCCGCCACATCCTCTTTCTGCTCCAGAATGTCAGGGAAAGGGACCAGGCTGAGGCGGGTCCGCCGCGGGCAAGGGCTGGAATGTGTGGGTTCTTAACTTCCTGCAGGAAAGATTTCACGGAGTCCAGGTGATCTGGGGTTGTTTTGAGAGTATGCGTACTGAAGCTGAGGACACGGTGAAACAAAGGAAGGGCTTAAGATAGAACAGTCAAGGGCCCGTTAGTAGTTAAAGAATAAAGAAGTGGTTCATTTACACAATGGAATTCTTTTTTTTTTTTAAGATTTTATTTATTTAATTTTAGAGAGGGAAGGGAGGGAGAAAGAGAGAGAGAGAGAAACATCAATGTGAAGTTGCTGGGGGCCATGGCCTACAACCCAGGCATGTGCCCTGACTGGGAATCGAACCTGCAATGCTTTGGTTCGCAGCCCGTGCTCAATCCACCGGAGCTACGCCAGCCAGGGCTACACAATGGAATTCTACGTGGCTCAGAAGAAAAGGGACTCTCATCCTTTGCAACAGCATGGATGGACCTGAAGAATATTATGCTAAGTGAAATAAGCCAGTCAGACAAAGGCAAACACCATATGATTTCCCCTATATAAGGACTCAAACAAAATACTAACGACCTAATGAGCTCGATGCACTGTCCGGTGTAGCTCAGTGGCTTGAGCACCGGCCTACCAACCCACCAACCCAAGGGCTGCCAGTTCAATTCCCAGTCAGGTCTCCGGCCAGGTCCCCAGTAGGGGGCGCACCAGAGGCACAATGTGTCTCCCTCCTTCTCCCTCCACATCTCTAAATAAAGTCTTTAAAAAATAAAAATGCACAAGGCTCTAACCATAAACATCCTAAAAAATAGGAGTGGGCTTAAAAACAGGGGTGGAGGGTAGGGCAGTTGGGTGGAAAAGGTAAAGGGATTAAAAAAAAACTCATAAACAGACAACAATATGCATGGTTATGTATGGTGATTACCAAAGGGAAAGGGGAGTGGGGGGAGGGAGAGGGTTCAGGGGGATATGGTGATGGAGAGACATGACTTGGGGTGGTGCACACACAACCTATGGCTGATGAATTACAGAATTGTACACTTTATGCCCTTAGGCCTATATAGTTAACCAGTGTTACCCTACGGTATTAAAGACTCAATGAGATCAATGAATGTAATTAGTGGAACAACAAATCGATGTTTCTCTAAAATCACTAAGTAAAAATAAACATAAAAAAATGACTGAACACTTCAACACTATCTGAATTTTAGAATCAAATATACTATGTAACATACTAAAGCTCCCCCCTTGCACCAGAAGGGAAAACACTAACAAGGCAAACAGTTTGGGCACATTTACAATATTTAACTGTTACGTAACAGCAGATATTTCTCTGCTGGAAAAACGACCCCTGGAATCACAATTTCTCCTTCCTTGGAAGAAAGGATTGGGACTAAAACACTGTGACTGTTCCCTATTAAGTTGAAGGCCAGTGTCCTTTTCCAGAAGATACATCTGCTTCCAATGTACTGATGGCCCATCATCTCTACCCCACAGGTAACAACAACCAGTTTGTTTAGCTTGGCTGTAGGTAGTGGGCAAACTCCTTTGCATCTATACCACCCCCACCCACACTGAAAGGAGTCCCACGAGGTCAGGGGAAAGGACTACTAACAGTTGGGCTAATACCCAAATGCTGCTTAGCGTCTCTTCAGTTGAGAACACAAGTAAACCAACAATAACGAGAAGACGTGATGGATCTCTCGTGAGACTTCCATGTCCGTGTTTGTGCAGAAACGAAGTGAGTCTTGGCCCACAGATGTCATACGGGACTCTGAAATATTCTAGAACCATAGTCACTGAAACATCTCCCACTACCAAAACCTGGGAATACTCTCAGATGCTATCATACTTTTCCCCCCAGTTCAAGTTCAACAGGAACTACAAAACATCGAAGGGGACACCCCACTACTGCACCATCAGTTGGCCTGCTCCCTACATTCAGGACATTTCCTCACAGGGGTGTCCAACCTTTTAGTGTCTCTGGGCCACACATTAAACATACAAGAACTGATGACCCCCCAAAAAGAGGTCTGGGCATCCTTTTCATGATATCTGCCACCACAGATAAGCAGAAAGTCCTTAAATGCAGCCTGTGGGCCACAGGTTGAACACCCCTGCTAGAAGAAGAGGCCTGGCCCGGCCCATACCACCTCTGGACTGAAGGTCATGTTTAAGAGGTTTTGTTCTCATGGCAGTCCTGTCACATGACCCCCAAGTGGCCCAGTGCTCACTTCTGCTTAGACATATTCCTTGCTCTTCTGCCCATCAGGTGTGATGGCGTCACTGCTGGGTTTCCAGCCAGCGGGACACCCCACCACCCCCGGTGTGTGCCAGTGAACGGGAAAGCCCGACTAGTCTGTCTCATCCACAGGGTGGCCAGCAGGGAAGTCATTCACGGAGATCTGTTGAAGGCGACCTTGATCATCAATGACCTCGATGATCCCATCAGCCTTTAAGACCCCACAGTCTAGAGTAACGGCACACTTGAGGTCTGACACCAAGGGAACGGTCATGGGCCCCAGTCCTCGTTTCTTGGGTGTGTTGATCCATGCTAGGAGACAGAGGGGAGAATCCAGACGCACTGACCACTTGGCAGTTGAGTTTCTTCAGTTCTTCTGCCCGAGCACTGAAAGCAGGGATCTCCGTGGGGCACACAAAGATGAAGTCAGGAGGGTAAAGGGAGGGCCCGTCCTTCCCCCCTAGTCAGACGGACGGGTCTCTTTGAACATTTAGCACAACAGATGGAGCTTTGAAGTTGGGGACAGGGAACCCAACCGTGGCATTTCCTGAAGACATCTTGCTGTCAGCAGCTGAGACAGAAATACCCAGACCAATCAGAAGCCACGCCTCCACGTACAGCTTACTCGTATGTTGGTGGCAGCTGTTCCTCAAAGTGAGACCGCAGCCGAACAGTCCTGTTCTCCCTTCTAAAAACACGTCAGATACTTGTTAACGTACGAGATAAGTGGTCTCACAGCTGCATTCTTAGCAAGATGCAAAGTGGAGTACTTTCGGAGAAAATTCTCGTGGTGGGGTCTGTCAATGGCAGTTCCCTTGTGCTCCCTCTTTGGCTCCCTTCTGGAGGTCAAGTGATGCCTTTTCCCACGCACTGTTCTTCATGAACGCATCACCCAACTATTTCAACATAAATACGCACCTTGCTACACCACCCATGTAATTTTTCTATCAAACCATTCATTTCTGGCCTGTGATTCAAGTAATATCCTCTTTTTAACAATACCTCTGAGTTACTGGATTCGAGAAATGCTTTCTAATGGAAAGTATAGCACTGTAGTCTCCAAGTATCAAAAACCATGGCAGTCTGAGTTTATTTTAATGGAAAATGTTAGGTTTTATCTACCAAAAAAAAAAGAGGAATAGGCTTGTTAAAATATGACAACAGTAAAGTTTAAGAGATTTATTAAAGCATCTTATCACAAAGATGAAACCACATACAAACTAGAAACATGCAACTACCGTCTTCCACAGTCACGTTACAACGTTGCGTCGTCTTCCTGCGTTCAGAGCTAAAAACCTCAGATCTTACACCCAACTCACTCACCCTGAATATCTTACTCATTTCTCCTGAAAGGATCCAGGGCAGCAAATAACCAAAATGCAAACTATCATATAAAGAAAGTGCAAAGTTAAAAAAGGAAATGTGTAGAGAACACCCCCCCACCCCCCAATGAAAGGCAAACAATGGCACTTTGCTCTTGCTTCTCCTAGATTGTCTTCAAAACCCACTAAAATGTGATAGACTTAACAAAAAACCCTGACTTTTAATAGATGTCCAAAAAGCTTGTTAGTGTTTGAAAATAATGCTTAAACAAAGAAAAAGGTAGTTTATATCAAAAAAGTTTGAAGAGCCCTGTATTGCAGCATTCTGTAAAATAAACAAGACGAAAAGCTGGTATAGGGTTTATTGACAAAGGCCGAGTGTCCTCAGGCGGGTATGTAAGGAGGCGGCGGTTCCTTCTCAGGCATCTTCACTGCCATTTCGTAGGTTGGCAACACATACTGAGAAAAGAGAAAAGAGAAAAAAAATTTATCAGACTTAATTCTCCTTTAAAATCCCACTTGGAATAATTCGGCGGTCAGATTTTACGAGTGGGGGCATGTGAACCCACAGAGAAGAGCTGGAGAAACTGTCAGCTGAGGAGTTCCTGAGTGATGATTGGCTGTGACCTCGGACTTCACACGCCAGTGAGACCCCTGATCTGAGACTG